TTTGCTTTCGCTTTCCAGTGGGATAAAAAAAAAACCTTGTGTGGGATTTGCCGCTCCTGGGATTCAGGCTTGGTCTGCTCAAAAGCTAGGAGAGAATATTCTGGCAGATCTTGAGGCTGCTACACACGCCCTTGATTTTCTCCCCAGGCGAATGCTCCCCAGGTGCTCCCGCTGACGAAGGTGTGCACCTGGCTTGCAAACAAGATGGCGGCCTGTCGCAGCCTGTGCGTAACTCTAGCCTTTTGTCTCTGGATTCCAGACGCATGCTTTTGCCTACCTGTTGCCGGCTGTTCTGGCTGGGGCTGAGGGAAGTTGTCGTTCAAAACATCTGGAAGTCACCAGGGTGGTGAAAGCTCCTCTGAACACAGCTGGTGAGGAGGACCCTAATATCGCTGGCTCCTAGCCAGAGTGACTGTGGACACTATCAGAGACAATATGTCTCCGAATTCCAGTTGTTAAGAATCGCAGATGGGGAGATTTCTGCTGTTGCTTTCAGGACCTGCCGTTGGGATTCCTGCTGGGATATCTGGTTAGCCACTGAGAAAGCTACTTCCGCCCTTCGGAGGAGGTGGAATTGCAGGCTTCACAGCCCAGCCCCGTGCGATTGGGGGGATTACCAGCCGCATCACCTCCTGGCCAGCCAATCAGCTGGCTCTGGGGGTGTGGCCTGCTTTATTTAAACCAGGACGCGGCTGGGGATCTCCCTTCTTTTCCCGCCTGCCAGCTGTTCCTGCTTTCCCCACCCTCCCGCCCTATAAGGTTTTCGTTCCTTGACCTTGCTATGGACCTCGGTTGGTCGCCGTTGAGGGGCCTGGTAGGAATTTTTCCACTTGGCAAATTGGCACCATTCACTAGGTTTTCGCCTATCTCATAGCAAATCGTCACAACTTTCTTGGCATTGGCAGTTAGGCATTGGTATAATTCTGTAGTTGGAAGAGGGGAGGTAATGCCATCACCTGTCACGCATATTGAAGGGTAGTCCGATAAAGGATTCCGGGGGGCGTGGCCCTGTCCGAAGCCTATGGAGGTGAGGGCCTAAGGCACGCCCCCCTATCAGTTGATGTGCATCAGCAGGACTCCCCCTACTGGTGGTTAACCCTTCCCGGACTTCAAGCGGACGGGCTGAAGTCGGACGTAGTCGGTTAGGACCAATGCCTAAGCCAACACCGCTCATAACCTGTAACCAATAAAGTTGTGGCCTTATTTAGCCCATTAACCTTAATAATTATGTCATGTGTCATTATTTCCACTGGGGGGGGGGGACTCGCCACACAACCGAGTGCTAGACTAGATGGGTCTTTGTCTAGCAGGACAAATTCAGCATTTTTGGACTAAGCCTCGGGACAGGGGTAGGCTTGTGGTTCCTTCTTCCGCCGCTCTTTATGAGTCATGGCACAAAATGTTTGAAAGCAATCTTAACTACAACGGGCTAACTGTAAGGAAGCCGCCCAAGGTCAGGATATTCTTCAAGGTACAACATGGCTGCCTTGTGGGATATATTCGGGAGGAGAAAAGGCTAAGGAGTAAATCCTACACAAATTCGGAGTGGAGTCCCTAAGGCAGTTGGGTGGCTCCTTGCACACCTCCTTCCAGCAACTCCTGTAGCCAAGCTGGTGCCAAACATTTTGCTCCGCTTTCCTTTGGACCACATCAGCCAGGCTGAGATGGGGGTCTTGTCGTCTGGGCATCCCTGGATCTCCAGACACACCACCCAGGCTTGCACCTCTTGCTGATGCAGTAAAAATAATGCGGGAAGCAGGAGTTACAAGTGTCTCTGCAGCCACAGCAGCTGCTGTGAGTCTCCAGCAATTGGGCTTCGCCCCCAGAGGCACACTACGTTGTCTCTTGAGACAGACGGATGCCAACAAATCTGTTCCGGATTTCTGCCAGCCCTCCAGAGAAGTTATTTTTGGATAGGAGAGAGGGAAAGGAGGTTCTGTTGAGCAAGCAGAGGTTGCTGAGCGAATGGAACAGCTTGGTTGGATGCAGCCGATTACACCAGGGGAAACCTAATGGGTAATATCAAAATACTTTCAGAGAAGTTTGCACTAAGATGCAGATGGATTTTCACGAGGATTAAAAAGTCTTAAGCTTGCACTTAAGACCTGGAAAGTGAGAGAAGTTGAAATGGCTAAATTCGCCCATCTCTACCAAGTCAATTCTATGAACAAGCTAAACTCTTCTCAAAACTTAAGAATGTTTGCACCATCCCTGGATTAAGGCTGCATTGCTGCTATCTTCCTTTGGGCTGAGAAATTTGGTGTTCGTTTGCTTTTTAAAGAGATGTTTTTAATGAGTTTTCTACGAGTGTTTCTCAAATGCTAAAGATCTGGTTCTGTTCTCTCGCAGCTGACTTCACTTGGGAGCATATCGTACTCAGGCCAACATAACATTATATAGGGTGTCAGAGTGACTTTTACAGAGCCCTATAAAAACAGAGGGAAAGCTGCCCCCAATAACCATTTGCAAGGAGCAATAAAAGATCAAGGGCATTGCTCAGATGCCATCTGAAGCCCTTCTGTTTGTTGAAATGGTTCCCATTCCCCAACGGATTTTGCTTTTCATTTTTTTTGCAACTCTTAAAATGCCCTTCCCTTTTGCCGCGATGGAAGCTGAAACAATAGAGGGTCCTTTGGCACCTTAAAGATTTATTATGGCATAAACTTTTGTGGGGCAGAGTTCGCCTTGTCAGATGCATGAAGTGGTCACCTGAGTGTGTATGTGTGTGCATTATATGTTCAGAAAGAAGAAGAACTGTTGCTTTTATAAAATGAGTTCCAAGGGCTAAGCAATGCAGGAAACATAAGAAGTTCCAATCAGTATGGATATGATTCGGTTCCCGCCAGTAGATGCTGGTGACGCTGTAGCACTTAGCATCACCGCAGCTTACCAGGAGGGGGTGAGGTCTGTATGGTGCAAGCAGATTGGCTCCACCGGTGTGTTTGCACCGCACCAACCTCACCACCAATCAACCCTCCCCTTCCCAGTAAACTACAGCAATGCCCCTGTTGGGAGGTCAGGTAAGGACCACTGCATTGCACCGCTGACCTCTACTGGTGATTAAGAGGCACAGCAATGTCCATGTTGCAAATTGGTGTGGAGAACCAGGAGCTAAATGTGGTCCTCCAAGTCTTCTTGGAGGACCCAGTAGTGTTGTATGGAAGTGAGGTGTATGGAAGTGAGAACTGGACCATAAAGAAGGCTGATCGCCGAAGAATTGATGCTTTTGAATTATGGTGCTGGAGGAGACTCTTGAGAGTCCCTTGGACTGCAAGAAGATCAAACCTCTCCATTCTGAAGGAAATCAGCCCTGAGTGCTCACTGGAAAGACAGATCCTGAAGCTGAGGCTCCAATACTTTGGCCACCTCATGAGAAGAGAAGACTCCCTGGAAAAGACCCTGATGTTGGGAAAGATGGAGGGCACAAGGAGAAGGAGACGACAGAGGACGAGATGGTTGGACAGTGTTCTCGAAGCTACGAACATGAGTTTGACCAAACTGCGGGAGGCAGTGGAAGACAGGAGTGCGTGGCGTGCTCTGGTCCATGGGGTCACGGAGAGTCGGACACGACTAAACAACAACAACAACAAGTCTTCTCTATCCAACACTCGGTTGGGACTTTCCCTGGGCCATGCTGCCAAGGGCACTTCGCAGCCAAAGGAATGCCCACGGCACATGGCCAGGTCTTTATTGTCATAGATAACACAGTAGCATCTACAACTCTCGAGATCTAGACACACCAATCTCATGGCTAGGCAGCTATTCCCAGGTCCGTGCTGCATGGAGCAGTTGCAGCAATAAGGGGCATGTCCCCTCCACCAGTTTGTGTACCTTCCCCCGATGGTCTGCATGCATGCAGCCAGAGACTGTGCCTGCGGGGAAACTTCCTCTACTCCTCCCTTTTCAATCCACCCCTGGTTCTGGTGGACGGCGGGGAAGAACATGGACCTTCCCTTCCTTGACCTGCTTCTTCCTCTTCTCTTGGCCCATCTTATTCTCCACCCTCCAACTCTGAAGCTCCCTCTGCCTCTTGTCCCCTGGCTGGTACAGTTCCCCACAAACCACTAGCCCCCTCTCCCAAATTTGACCCCAGCTCCCTTTCTCCCAGTGCACACTCAGCAGCGTCCTGGTGTTCCCTGACACATGGCCCCTCACCAGTCTTGTTCCACCCTTTGGACCCCTTGCGGAGGAGGAACATGAAGATGAGGAGGAGGAGGAAGAAGAAGAAGGGGAGGAGGAGTTTAGATTTGATATCCCACTTTATCACTACCCTAGAGGTAAAGGTAAAGGGACCCCTGACTGTTAGGTCCAGTCGTGGACGACTCTGGGGTTGCGGCACTCATCTCGCTTTTACTGGCATACAGCTTCCGGGTTATGTGGCCAGCAGGACTAAGCCGCTTCTGGCGAACCAGAGCAGCGCATGGAAACGCCGCTTACCTTCCCGCCGGAGTGGTACCTATTTATCTCCTTGCACTTTGACGTGCTTTCTAACTGCTAGGTTGGCAGGAGCAGGGTTTGAACAACGGGAACTCACCCCATCGCAGGGATTCGAACCGCCGACCTTCTGTTCGGCAAGTCCTAGGTTCTGTGGTTTAACCCACAGTGCCACCCACGCCACTACCCTAAGGAGTCTGAAAGCGGCTAACATTCTCCTTTCCCTTCCTTCCCCACAACAAACTTTCTATGAGGTGAGTGGGGCTGAGAGACTTCAGAGAAGTGTGACTGGCCCAAGGTCACCCAGCAGCTGCATGTGGAGGAGCGGGGAAGAGAACCCGGTTCACCAGATTACGAGTCCACAGCTCTTAACCACTACACCACACTACGCCACCCAGATGGTGGGCTCAGGGTCCAGGTTTGCTCCAGTGGGAAGATGTGATCTTTGAGAGGTCCTGAGCCATTCAAGGATTTATAGGTCTAAACAAGCACTTTGAATTGTGCCCAGAAACAGACTACTAGCCAGTAGGGGCTGTTGTAACAAACCCTCTTTTTTTCTGTTGCAGAATCTTGACTTTGCGGTCTTTCCAATGACACCTCTGTCCCAAGAGGGCTTTCTACGGTAGGAAGATGAAAGCATCGTGTGTCGAGTTCCTCCTCCTTCTGGCAGCTATTGTGGCCCAGTACAAAGCATCGACTCCACCAGAAGGTATGCTCAGATCTCCTCAGGTGTGGCAGGCAAAGCAAAACGTACAGAATCACCTCTCCTTATCTATGAGATGCTGGTGTGTTCTTGGGGGGGGCGGCGTATTTGCTATGCGATTCCTTCCTCGGGGAGACTCGCTTGGTTCCCCCCACCCCAATCTCGCTGTATGGAAAAGTCTGGTGAACGTGGACCCAGCAACACGAGTCTTGGAGATAATGGGGATCAGCTTTTGCCCTGGACATTGCGTTGTATCCAAGTACGTTCTACACAGAGTAGAACTATTGAAGCTCATGAACCCAAGCCAGTCGTGCCCATTCATTTAAAGGGGTCTACTCTGAGTATGTCCAGCATTGGATTGTCTTATTAGCCTTACTGATGGCTTGACTAACCTACTATGGTTTGGATTTATTTATTTATTTCAGTGGTTCTGTGGCAATCAGTTTCATTGTAAACCGTGTTCGGTGCCTGCTGAGAAGGTGGTCTAGAAATGGGAAGGAGAAATAATAGAATCATAGAATTGTGGAGCTGGAAGGGACTCAAGGATAATAATAATAATAATAATAATAATAATAATAATAATAATAATAATAATAATAATAATAATAAATTATTTATACCCCGCCCATCTGGCTGGGTTTTCCCAGCCACTCTGGGCGGCTCCCAACAGAATATTAATGTCAGTGTTTGAAAAAAGCAGCAAAGGTCCTGACTTCCTTCGTCTCCTCAGCCTGGTCCTTGGACCCTTGTCGGCATAAAGGAGTCCACGAGAAGAGTGTCCTTGCAGAGTATTTTCTGCTTTTATTCTCAGCAAAACGACCGACCAACTGTACACACATCAACACTACCAGCTTTCACCAACCAATCCACACCAAACACTAACAGTGACCACTGTATATATACAGGTACAATTAAGTGAAAGGTTTCACGAGTCATTGTAGGCCGCTGACTCATGCTGACTCAGTTCTTTTAGCATTAAAGAAACAGCGGCCAATCTTTAGCTGTGACAATTAATGATAATAATAATAATAATAATAATAATAATAATAATAATAATAATAAAGCGATCAAACATTAAAAACTTCCCAATACAGGGCTGCCTTCAGGTGTCTTCTAAAAGTCAGGTAGTTGTTTATTTCCTTGACATCTGATGGAAGGGTGCTCCACAGGGCGGGCGCCACCACCGAGAAGGCCCTCTGCCTGGTTCCCTGTAACCTCCACTTCTCAGAGCTGGACCTCAGTGTCCGGGCAGAAAGATGGGGGTGGAGACGCTCCTTCAGGTATACAGGGCCCAGGCCATTTAGGGCTTTAAAGGTCAGCACCAACACTTGTCAAATCCCTTCCAAGGCAGGAATCATTTGTGATCCACCAAGCTAAAGACCAATGACTTACTCCAAGTCACCTGAGGCTCTCAGGCTCTCGCCTTTAATTCTGTTCTGCTTCCGGTGGTGATGCCAAAGGATCGCCTCTGCCCCCAGCCCTCTTGCTAAGGCGTGGGGCACCCATCTGCCCCTGAAGTGGACTGGAGTAATTTAGGCCTTCAGAGCTTTAGGTGGGTGGGCAGAGACACATTCCTCAACTCCCCATTTATGATCCCTAGCGGCTGGTGCCCTGAAGCATTCAGAAGCCTGGACCTCCATCAGGATGACCCTTGATCCCCCCCCCAAAAAAGGGGTAGCCACCCCTATTCCAGAGCATGCCTTTGAATTTTGGGACGCCTGTCAAAAGAGCAAAAGGGAAGCTTTGGCGGCCACTCCAGAACTCACACATATTAAATTCCAAACTGTCAATTAAGCCAATATACTTGACTATAATGCTGTTTAATTCAGAGCCGGGAAGGGCGCCATAAATCAGCGCCTGCGAGTGTCCCTGCCAACCTTTTGATTTATGAAACCGGGTAATCTAAGATGCGCGAGGAAATTCTCAAATAAAATCATATTCCCCCCTCATGATTAATATAGCTGTCTCGAGTTGGCGTTATTTGTCGCAGGAGGGGGCCGGCCCACAGGGGGGCACACGGTGCGATGCTTTGTGGAGTGGAGCAAAATAGAGAATGGGTTGGAGGGGTTGAGGTCCACACGGGTGAGCGTGGGGCCCCCTTTTTCAGGCAGTTGTGATTCCTGCATTGCGCGGGGGGGGGGTTGGACTAGATGACCCAGGGGTCCCTTCCAAAGCTCTATGATTTCCAAGTAGAGCAAGAAGTTGGGTAACCCTGCCTGAAATCTCAGAGGAATGCTGCCAATCAGTGTAGTTTTTTTAAAAAAATTATTGGAATTTTATTTACAACATAACACAAAATCCCCCCCCCAATACACAAATCCACCCTCATTAAATGTGAACATAACATAAAGTGAGCATAACATACAACAATTGTTGTTGTTTAGTTGTTTAGTCATATCTGACTCTTCGTGACCCCCTGGACCAGAGCACGCCAGGCACTCCTGTCTTCCACTGCCTCCCGCAGTTTGGTCAAACTCAAGTTAGTAGCTTCGAGAACACTATCCAACCATCTCGTCCTCTGTCGTCCCCTTCTCCTTGTGCCCTCCATCTTTCCCAACATCAGGGTCTTTTCCAGGGAGTCTTCTCTTCTCAGGAGGTGGCCAAAGTATTGGAGCCTCAGCTTCAGGATCTGTCCTTCCAGTGAGCACTCAGGGCTGATTTCCTTCAGAATGGAGAGGTTTGATCTTCTTGCAGTCCATGGGACTCTCAAGAGTCTCCTCCAGCACCAGAATTCAAAAGCATCAATTCTTTGGCGATCAGCCTTCTTGATGGTCCAGCTCTCACTTCCATACATCACTACTGGGAAAACCATGGCTTTAACTCTACGCACCTTTGTTGGCAAGGTAATGTCTCTGCTTTTTAAGACATCACCTTGCCAACAAAGGTCTGTATAGTTAAAACAATGGTTTTCCCAGTAGTGATGTATGGAAGTGACAACAATACAAACGACCAAATAAAAGACTTCTTTTATCCTGTGTCTGGCCTCCTTCTTTACTTCTTATAAACTGTGTCCTTTATGAATAATTATTAAGATTTTTCCTAATTATAACTTAAATATCCACAAAGTCTCCTGCAGACATTAACTGAAACAAGTCCAGGTATGTATTTTAGGGCACTGTTTTGTGAAGTATTCTCTGTGTTTTCCCCATGCTTTTTGAAACTCTTTTCTTTCTCCCCCCCCCAATAAATTTTTATTATTTTCTTAGCACAGTCTTATACAGTACATCAAATCACATATATACTTTTAGCTCTGCCAAGCTTGTGACTTCCCTTCAACAGGTATCCCTTATTCTCTTGAATTGCGTATTTTAATATTAAACCTCTTGTCTGTCCTTACATTCTAGGAGTTATTTCAGTCCTGCCAGTGTTTTTAAAATTTTACATTTGTCCTTTAAATACACAATAAATTTACTCCAACTTTCTTGGAATCTCTGATCGTCCTGATCCTGAATTCTGCCTGTCCGCTTGGCTAACTCCGCATAGTTCATCATTTTCGTCTGCCACTCCGCAATGGTAGGAATTTCTTGTAGTTTCCAATTTTGGGCCAGCATGTTTCTTGCCGCTGCTTTGGCATACATAAATAATTTTGGGTTCAATTTCTTGATCTCTTTCCCCATTAAGCCCAGCAAGAAGGCTTCTGTTTTTTTTGGGAAAGTATATTTAAATATTTTCTTAAGTTCATTATAGATCACTGATTGCTAAAAACTGGAAAAAAGAAACTGTGCCAACAAAAAAGGAATGAAAAGCACCTATCATGTTTTTGAAACTCTTGTCTAGTGTGGTCTCTAATTGCCCTCTATTAATCTAGCCAGTTCAATATAATCTAACAGTTTGTCTTGCCATTCTGTTTTTGTTGGCACAGTTTCTCCCCCCCCCCCCAGTTTTTAGCAATCAGTGTAGACAACACTGAGTGAGATGGATCAATGGCCTATAAGGCGGCTTTCTATGTTCCTCTTTGGAGAGGGGGCCATAGCTCAGGGGACACAGAACTTGCTCATAGCTGGCAACTTACAGATTTGAAAATAAGGGACCAGCAGCCTCGAAAATAAGGGATCATCAGCCAAAATAAGGGATTTTCCCAGCACAGGTATGTTCTACTTCTGAGCCCCTCCGAGCCAAAGGCAGAAAGCCCAGCCAGCAGCCAAACGAAGTCACAAGCGGTGGTTCCCACAGCGCAGCAACCCGGCAAAGGGGATGCAGCAAGGAAAACCACCGTCACCTCTGCGCTGGGAAGCGCTGAGCAAAGGCGAGTCCCCAGGCAACACGGCCGATTTGATCGGCCCAAGGCATGCAAGCTCCACCCCCAGTCGTTCTTAGACTCCTTATTGGGTGAGCAACGCAGCCAAGCAACACAGTTGGAGCCTCCCTCCTCCCTGGCCGGCAGGGAGGGAGGGAGAGGAGCTGCTTCCTTTGAAACCCGGAAAATTTAAGGGACATCATCAATCAGGGACAGCAGCGGGACACAGCGCTAGGATAAGGGACTTTCCCGCCAAATAAGGGACAGTTGACAGCTATGCACCTGCTTTGCATGCAGAAGGTCGAAGGTTCAATTCCCGGCATCTCCAGGTAGGGTTGGGGGTGACCTCTGCCTGAATCCCTGGAGAACCACTGCCAGTCAGTGTAGACAGTACTGAGTTAGATGGACCAATTCCTGACTCGGTATAAGGCAGCTCCTCACGTGCCTAACAGTCACCGTGAGCAGAACGTGTATGGGACAGGTGACAGCTGCCAAGGCCAACTGGGCAGGGAGGTATCCAGGTCTCCCCGCCATTTAATAGAGCCACTTTTGCCCTGCAGCTACAGCAGGCAGCAGCTGACATCACGGAAACACTGTTTAAAGCAATGACAAAGCATTTTCCAGCTCTTAAAGCGCTTAATCTATTCTAATTGGATTTCGCTGTCTGGATGAATGATCTTTCGTGGACAGAATCCAGGTAAAATCGGCCCCACTGGGGAATCTGCATTTAAAAAAAATATATGTAATTTTGCTCCTTTCCTTTTTGTGTGTTTTTGGATGAAATAATTCTTTATTGAAATTCATTAATGTCATTACAGATTTAACTTCTCACACACACACACACACACACACACACACACACAGAGAGAGAGAGAGAGAGAGAGAGAGAGAGAGATTCTTAAATTAGTTTAACTTAGAATGTTAATTTGACCTTCTAATTCCACTTAGATATCAGCTAAGCTAAAATCATATGATGGTACATAAAATAAAACAAAACAACAACATACTGAAGTAAAATAAACATAGACTTCCCATCATTTCCCGATATAGTTGACATTTGTGATTTTGAATGTACTCATTACCTTACATTCAATATACTTTCTAATATTTTCTTACAGCCTATCCTACCAATTTTCCTTTATTTCTTAATATTTTATGTACATAAGGGTCATTAAAATACTACCATGGATAATATGTCGCTGTTATTTTTTTGTACGTATCTCTTAAACATTTCCCATTTTTGAGGAAATAATTGTTTGGTGTTACCTCTTAACCTATTTGCTCCTTTCCAATTTCACTCTGGTTGGGTTTTTCTAAGAGTCAAGCTTTTTTTAATGGGCTCCCACGTTTAGTTGAGGGGCGAGGCATCCTTTTCCACATCCCCTCCTTTTGACATTTTCTTTATTTGCTTATTTCATAACCTGGGGTCACTTGAGGTCACACCTGCAGCCTACATTCAAAGCACTCTTATACTAGTCATGGGTTTCTGTGCCTCCTATAAACTCTCAACACCATTGACAAACCACAGTGCACAGGATTCTTAGAGGAGAAAGCCATAATGGTAAAAATGGCACAAAAGCACTTTAAATGTATTGTGTGGATGTGGCCAGGATATCCAGAGGTTCTACTAGCAATTATAGGTACAGTGGTACCTCTGGTTAAGTACTTAATTCGTTCCGGAGGGCTGTTCTTAACCTGAAACTGTTCTTAACCTGAAGCACCACTTTAGCTAATGGGGCCTCCTGCTGCCGCTGGAGCACGATTTCTGTTCTCATCCTGTTCTGGGTTAGCGGAGTCTGTAACCTGAAGCGTATGTAACCTGAAGAGTCTGTAACCCGAGGTACCACTGTACTGAGATACCAAAGGAACAGAAAAGATTGTTTATGTATGTGACAACAGCAGCACTGATGTTACTAGCCCAGAGATGGAAGGAAAATGAGAAGAATGGCAAACCAAGTTGATGGACTACGCCGAAACGGCAAAATTAACAGTGAAGCTCGGAAATCAAGAAGACAAGAACTTTAATAAGGAATAGGAAAAATTTATGATTTATTTACGAGACCACTGTAAGCAGGTTAACACATTAGCAGGATTTTAATCACACTTGTAAAGTGTGGATAATTTAGAAGGATTAAACATTTGAATAAGTATTGATATGCAGTTGTAAATAATAATACTGTTAGGACCCGTGGAAGGGATGGGGGGAAGTCAAGAGATTCAGGGTATTCTCAATATTTGCATCTTGAATTGTTTTTTGTTGTATGTTTATACTACAGTATGTTTATACTACAGTCATACCTTGGGTATGCTTCAGATTACATTTTTTTGAGTTACGGCCCACCGAAACCCGGAAGTACTGGAACGGGTTACTTCTGGGTTTCGGTAGTTGCGCATGCGCAGAAGCACTAAACCGCACTTTGCACATGCGCAGAAGCACCAAATCACAACCAGTGCATGCGCAGACGCGCAGCTGCGGGTTGCGAATGTGCATCCTGCACGGATCACCTTCGCAACCCGCGTGTCCACTGTATTTAAAAAAAAAATACCCCCAAAAAATGGATATCCAGAGGTTCTTTTGTGCAGCAATGACCTCTCATCTGCTTTGTCTTTCTCTTCTGCAGCCTGCAGCACAGCGGAGACTGCGGACGTTTTGTTCCTTGTGGACGAATCGTGGAGCATCGGGGAAAGCAACTTCCAGCTGATCAAGGACTTCATCTACACCATCATACGGACGTTTGAAAACGTGGTGGTGGGAAAGTCGGGTGTCCGTCTGAGTGTGGTGCTCTACGGGGACAAACCAAGGTGCGCATCACTTTCCCGCTTCTGGGTCCTCTTTGCTCCTAGGATTTATTTTCTATCCGTATTTTAGGAGGTCTCGCTTCAGGATGTAAAAGGGGGCTCCTCTAACTATTTGCTGTGTGGTTGGGGCGTTACGGAATGTTCACAAAGATTCCAACTTCCCAGGAAAAAAGCGATGATTCACAAATCATGGAATTTTGTATGTTTGGGGCTCAATAAAGTAGGCAGGAGCTGGAATGCAGTTTGGGTTACTTCTGGGTCCTTTGCTGTGTCTTGAGGCTCAAGTGGCCTCGGTGGCACAGAGTGCCCACCATCAGCTTCGGCTGGTGGACCAGCTGCACCCCTATCTGGACAGGGATACCTTAATTTCCATTGTCCATGCTCTGTTAACCTCTAGATTAGATGGTTCAGAAACTTCAGCTGGTGCAGATTTTGGTGACCAGGTTGCTCACCAGACGGTTTGAGCAATATTACACCAATCCTGGGCTGAGTTCACTGGCTGCCAATTAGTTTCTGGGCCCAATTCAAAGTGCTGGTTTTGATCCATAAAACCTTAAACAGCTCAGGACCGCAATACCTCAAGGACCACCCCTCCACATATAAACCTACCCAGACCCTGCAATCATCTTCTGAGGCCCTTATTTGTGTGCCTCCTCCATGAGAGGTCTGGAGGGTGGCAACGCAAGAACAGGGCCTTCTCTGCAGTGGCTCCTGGTCTGTGAAATGCTCTCCACAGGGAGCTTTGCCTGGCGCCTTCATTATACACCTTTAGGCACCAGGCAAAAACATTCCTCTTCAACCAGGCCTTGGGCTGATTAACATCTTAAACCCCTTTTCAATGTGCTTATGGGAGAGAAGGGTTATTAGTTGTTGTTTGTTCTTCTTTTCATTATTATGTACATTTATATTGTATTTTTATGTTGTGAACTGCCCTGACATCTGCAGATTTGGGGGGTGGAATACAAATTAAACAAACAAACAGCAATGAATTAAAATGGTAGTGCCCTTTTACAACAAAACCTACTGCCTTTCTTCCGGTTCCTCAAAACAGCACCATTGCTGAGGTTTCGCAACCCATCTGTTTAGCTACGGGGAATGAGTTAAAGGACTCCGTTAATTAATTTTAAAAGCCACAATTGAAATAACCAATATTTGATTTCTTCTCTGTCTGGAAATAACTCTGTTTCCCTTTGTTTTACCTGGGGACTGCTTTCTTGCCACCAGAGTAAGTATCGATCTGACGGACTACATCACCATTGAGGAGGTGCTGGTGGCTGTCCGAGATCTGCTCTACAAAGGGGGCAATACCAAGACAGGGACTGCTCTCTCCTTTGTAGCAGACACAATGGTCAGTGCGGGGAAACTGAGAGAAGATGCTGCAAAGGTGAGTGATGCTGCAGGCTCTTACCTGGCAGGTGTTGAAATGGGTTGCTCTAACCTAAGGTTACCAGACGTCCCCGTTTCCCAGGGACAGTCCCCGGATTTACACATCAGTCCGCATACAAAATCCACTGAAGCTGAAAAGTCTCCCCGAATTCATTGAAAAAATCTGGTAACCTTACACCAGAATATGCCTTAAAGGTAAAGGTAAAGGGATACCTGACCATTAGGTCCAGTCGTGGCCGACTCTGGGGTTGCGGCGCTCATCTCGTTTTATTGGCCGAGGGAGCCGGCGTACAGCTTCCAGGTCATGTGGCCAGCATGACTAAGCCGCTTCTGGAGCATGGAAATGCCGTTTACCGTCCCTCCGGAGCGGTACCTATTTATCTACTTGCACTGAGATCTGCAGAATTGGGGGTGGGGAGTAAGGCTTATATTCAGGCCACTATGGTACCAATAATATTAATAATAAACCCATTATTGGCTTGTGGGTGAGCCTTCACATAGCCGGAACAGCAGCACCTACATACAAGAGCAGACTTGCAAGGACCTCAAAGTTTACAGAAGCAAATAGATGTTGTTTAAGAACCTCAAGGAAGGAAAAGAGCTTAAAAACAACCCAGTAAGGGCTGAACCAGCTCAATGGGCTGATTCTCAGGGACTCTAGCACAGGGAGAAGAAACCTGCTCACCTTCCCTTTTCCACATTATTGCTATATATTTCTGTTTTTGTTGTCGTCACAGGCGGTCGTTTTAATCACAGACGGGAAATCTTCTGATTCCGTCGAGGAGCCAGCAGCGGCCCTGAAGAACAGGGGGGTAACCGTGTTTGCTGTGGGTATGTACGGCTGGAAATAAAAACCATGGGGTCCGTCACATCAGTGCTCAGCAGCTGGCGTGGCGTAAATGGTCAGAGCATTGGACCTCGGTTGGGGGAGATGCCGGGGTTCCATCCCTGCCCTCAGCCACGAAGCTCACTGGGCAGATTTGAGGGTAAACCATACACAGCACGGGTCTGTCCTTGTGGTTCGTTGGAAGTTGAAACTGCTTCACATGTACTATTACGTTGTCGTCTTTATGAGGATATACGTTTGGCTTTTATTACACCTGTTTTGCAAAAGTCCAGGAAAGAATCGGAATACCATAGTTTAAAATTACTGCTAGAGGACAAGAATCCCAAGACTACATTGAATGTAGCTAAATTCTGTGCGTCTGCAATCAATCGCAGGAAGCAAGTGGTATCCCATAATGTCCAAACCCCTAAATGTTAATTACAGGGGGCACGCTAACAATTAATTTTAATTTTTATATTTAAATCCTTGTTATATTCATATTGTCCCTTGTATTTCTGATATTTTTTATGATCTGTGATATTGTGTGTGTTGACGCTGGTCTGTGACCGTATTAATAAATTCATTCATTCATTCACTGGGTGCCCTTATGCCAGTCCCACTACCTCTCTGCCTAACCTACCTTCCAGGGTTGTTGTGGGAGGGGAAAGAACGACGTGGGAGGGGGCCGCCTTGAGCTCCCGGGAGGGAAAAACAGGTGGGGTGTCAGTGCAATAAACAAACGAACAAATAGTCGCTGCCACCTACTAAAATAGATTTATAACAACTACTAACTTTCTTAAAAACACACAAGAAAACAGCAGCAGCATAAGATTAGGGTTGAAACGTGGGTTATAAATTGTTGTTGTTGTTAACTTTTGGGCAGGCATAGGCAAACTCGGCCCTCCAGATGTTTTGGGACTACAACTCCCATCATCCCTGGCCACTGGTCCTGTTAGCTAGGGATGATGGGAGTTGTAGTAGTCTCAAAACATCTGGAGAGCCGAGTTTGCTTTTGGGGATGGGGGCGGGCCATCTTTATTTTTTTTCTTCATAGTTCATTATTTTCTTTATAGTTTATTAGTTCATTTCTATCCCACCTTTTCCTCCAAGGTGGCGTAAATGGTTTTCTCCCCCTCCCCAATTTATCCTCACAACAACCCTGTGAGGGATTTGAACCCTGGTTTCCCAGATCCTAGTCTACCACTGTAACTACTACATCTTACGGAAGACTGGGAGGGAAGCCAAAAGAGATGGGTTTCATTTGAGGGCATCCCTGGGCAGAAGCTGAACCTTCTTCCCTTCTTCTCATGATAGCCCAGAATCCGCTGTCACGGGCAGATGTGACCCGGCTCATTTACTTTACCCCAGCAATGGGAAAGATGGCCCTCTTGAGATGTTGCTCCCATGACCCCTGAGCTTTAGCCATATTGGTTGGGAGTGATGGGACTTGTAGCCCAAGAACATTCAGAGGACCACCTATGCCCTATTCTGTTTATCACTTGGAACGTTGTGGGAGCCATTCAGACCTTAAGACGAGCCAACTGGATCAGGCCCGTGGTCCATCTGGTCCAGCATCCTGTTCTCACAGGAGCCTGCGGGAAGCCAGTGAGCAGGATCCGAGCACGAGAGTCCTCTCCCCACCCTGTAGTTCCCAGCATTATAATCTCCAGCTGCGGAGGCAGAACATAGCCATCGCTGTTGGGAATCATGCCTCTATCGGGAGACGCTGGCAACTCTCCCAGGCACCCGGCTTGATCTCTGGTGACCTCCCTGGCTGCATTCCCCAGCAAACACAGGCTAGGTCTCTATAGGCGACCCTTCCCAGTGTGGGAAGAGCACACCCACTCTTTCCTGCTCCCCCGGCAGGGAAAAGAGATAGTCAGAAACGCCTATTTACATGGCTTTATTTCTGACTCTTCAGCATTACAGAAAACATGTCTGCTCTCTTCAAACATCGGCAAACAAGCAACGAAGACTTCCTGTACAATCACAAGAGGAAGGTCTCATATTACACTCTGAGCAAGTTCCGGTCAACTGCCCTGTGAACTGACTGGAACACTGTTTCCCAAAGTCAGCCCAATCACATGTCAACAAGCTGGATGTCTGCAGCTGCGATGAGCTCATATGCTGACAATTGCAACTCGTTAGCTCCTGATAGTTTCCTGCTCCCTGAATTTGCCCCAACCACTTTTAAAGCCCCCCAAGTTGGATGGACCCATCAAAGTCCAGTCCATTCCAGTTCCATGTGGGGATGGGAATACAAATGTCTTTTCCCATTTCTGGGTGGATTTTTTAAAACGGAAAATCATTAAATGGAAACACACATTTCTTAAATCATAAAAAGTATTTATGAAGCAGCCCAAGGGTTTCATGCTCTTTTATTCTTTTTTAAAAAATCTTTAAAATTTCAAATGATAGGGCATCCAGCTGATGAATAGCATGATCCCTTGAGAGTGATGAGGCTTCATATTCCCTCGTGTAAAAAACCAATGTCTATTCCCATTTAAGCAGTGGGGACTTACTCTTCAAGAAGTCTGCAATATGACTGCAGCCTAAGAGATTTATTTGAAAATAGCTGATGACATCTTTCTGCATGACTGCAAGGCTTGAAAGAAAACTGGTTCCAAATGCACCATTTTGCCACAAGGCACATACTCCACAGGCCATCAGAACTTGTAAGAGTTCAAAAACCTGATCGCCATGAGTCTGGTATCTGGTGTGTACAACATTTTAATTTCTTAAAAGTGTGATACTATGACCTGTGATCCAATAACTTGCCTCCCGTTCGAGCGAGTTTAAGGATGCTCTGTGTTTGCAGAAGTTCTTTGCCCACCTGCATTTCCTCCTCCCTCTGGTTAGGAATCAGAAACGCAGATAGGAATGAGCTGAAGAAAATAGCATCCGATCCCATCGAAGAGCACATGCTTTACACCAAAGATTTTGAGCAACTCGGCAGCCTCTCGCGAAAGGTGTCCCGGAGGCTTTGCTTCACGGCTTCAGAGCCGCCACAACCTGCCAAGCAAATATCCACTGGTGAGTCCAAGACACACCCCCTTTCCTTTATTAAAACCGCCCCAGCACTGAAGAGTCCACCCCAGTGGAAGGAAAGCCAGATGGAACTGGGCATGAGGAAGACTTGGAAGGTCATGGGGGGGGTGTTAGGGGAGGGGTAGTACCTCTGATCGGGGCCACGTCATGCTCCTTCTGGGGTGGTTTGTTCACCTCTGATCCCCACCCTGCACTCAGCTCTCAACCGTGGCTCCTAGAAGGTGTCAACATGCAACAGTGGCCACAATCCTACCTCGTAGCAAATCGTTACAACTTTCAGGTCTTGGCGGTTAGTCACTGGAATATGGAAGGGCAGGATGTGGCCATTGCCTACCCCTCCACTTTAGGGGTATTCCATTAAAGGAATCCGGCAGTCGTGGATCCTGTCCGATGCCCTGCTGGTGGCTAGGGCCATGGCACGACCCCCGGTGACATCAGGGGGAGCTTTCAGTTGTATTTGCATCAACAGGCTCCACCCACTGGTGGTTAACCCCTATTGGACTCGCCCCTCCCCAAGGGGCGGAGTCGAACTTTGTAGTTTATCCAATGCCTAAGCCAATAATTCTCACATGCTGTAATCAATAAAGTTGTGACCTTTTTTAGTCCATTAACCTAATATACTGTGTCCATGTGTCTTTCTTATCCTCAAGCGGGTGGCACATCCTCGAATCACAATGAAGTTTTGAACTTTTTGAGTTCCAGGAAGGCCCAGTGGCCGGTCTGTTACCTGAGAACATTTCACAGTAGGGAAGGTGCTCGGCTGCAGTTCTGAGGAAACTGCACAGAAGCTGAACGTTCCCAGTTCCAGCCTGGCTCCTGACATCCTGAGGGTCAGCCCCAATTTCAGCGTAGCCAGAGTGTTTCCTCCAATTCTGTACCTGCCAACCATGTTCCTTGAAGCTCTGACGGGCTTCCCTTTCCCTTCTCCTTGCAGTTGAGAAGATTGTTGGGCCGCGCGACCTCACAGTCAGCGAGCAGAGCCACAGCTCTCTGAGACTTAGTTGGACACCTGCGACCGGGAAAGTGACCAGCTACCGTATCCTCCTGGATTCACTTTCGGCAACTGGACAGGTCTCTCCAGAAGATCAGCAGCAGGTAGAATCATATTTTTCATTTGGAAGGGACTCCAAGGCTCATCAACTGCTCTTTTCCAGGCTAAACATGAAGATCAATAGAATCTTAGAGTTGGAAGGGACCTCAAGGCCTACCTAGTTCAGTGCCCTGCAATGAAGGAACCGCAGGAGACATACAGTATATGCTCTTCCATGCTGCTTTTTATTTATTTGGGTCTTGTATATGACAGATTGTTTTGGATGCCAACAAGAGCTCAGCGCTGGTGACGGATCTGAAACCAAACACCAAATATTTCTTCACTGTCATGGCTGTCTACTCTGACGTTCTGGGGGAACCAGCCACTATCAAAGCGAGAACAAGTGAGTTTGTATTTCGGGAGCACCACCCTTGTGGGCAGGGTTGTTCCCACTCCCCTGCGTTGACAAGGGAGTGGGAACAACCCTGAAAGAGTTCGACTTGTTTCCACACATGCACGGGCGCCATGTTTGCAGATGCTAATAGGGTGGACAGGCCAGTAATACTATGATAGGATAAGAGTTGCCATCCATGAGAACTTTAAAGCAGTCCTCACCAATGTGGCGTGCTTGGGACTACAGCTCCCATTTGCCCCATACTCTACATGGGGCTACCTTTGAAGGTGACCTGGAAACTACAACTAATCCAGAATGCGGCAGCTAGACTGGGGACCGGGAGCGGCCGCCAAGACCACATAACACCGGTCCTGAAAAACCTACATTGGCTTCCAGGACGTTTCCGAGCACAATTCAAAGTGTTGGTGCTGACCATGAAAGCCCTAAATGGCCTCAAAGGTCCAGTATCCTTGAAGGAGCGTCTCCACCCCCATCGTTCAGCCCGGACACTGAGGTCCAGCTCCGAGGGCCTTCTGGCGGTTCCCTCCCTGCGAGAAGTGAGGTTACAGGGAACCAGGCAGAGGGCCTTCTAGGTGGTGGCGCCCGCCCTGTGGAACGCCCTCCCATCAGATGTCAAGGAAATAAACAACTATCTGACATTTGGAAGACACCCAAAGGCAGTCCTGTTTGGGGAAGCTTTTAATGTTTGTTGTTTTATCGCTTTGTTATTATTATTATTCTGTTGAGAGCCGCCCAGAGTGGCTGGGGAAACCCAGTCAGAAGGGCAGGGTATAATTAATATATTATTATTATTATTATTATTATTATTATTATTATTATTATTTTGAGAACCACCCAGAGTGGCTGGGGAAACCTAGCTAGAAGAGCAGGTTGTTGTTGTTGTTGTTGTTTATTATATTTTGAGGGTTGGAAAATGGAGTTGTAATCCAAACTAGGCTGGATTGAGAAACTAGGCTTGAGAAAGGGTGCCGTAGAGACTTACTGGGTGTCCTTAATCAGAAAGAGGCATGACTGAGAAAAAAAACCTTTGAAAATTCTGGTGGGAACTGACCAGATCTTTGCCCTCTGGACTGATCTTTGTGAATAAGGGCTTGCTTGTTTTTGTATGTTTAGTAAATTTGTATACTGCCCTCCCTCCGAAGATCTCAGGGCAGTTCATAGCATAAAAATACAAAATAAAGACACAAAATGCGTAAGAGAAACAAAAACAAAACAAACCCGTAATGCCCCTTTAAATGTGCCGTGTAATTTATATACCTGCAAGGCGTATATATTGCTTGCTCAGGAGATCTGTTTGTTGCGCCATGGATTCATTCTTCAGCCCGTGTCCTTTTGTTTTGAAGCATCCATACCAACGGTGACTCATTTCCGGGTCGTAGAAGAAGGACTGTTCAGTCTTAAAGTAGCTTGGACTCCTCCTTTGGGAAAACTGGAAGGCTACAAGGTCTACCTGCCAAGTAAGTCAACGGAGTCCCTGCTAGATTTGTGTGTTTGTCTGTGAGAAAATGCATGCAGGGAAAAGGAACACAGTGGTACCTCGGTTTTCGAACGTAATCCGTTCCGGAAGACGGTTCAACTTCTGAAACATTCAAAAACCGAGGCGCAAAGGGTAGTCTGTCAATTCAATAGAGAAAATTGTGAAAAACAACAGATACACACAACAGAAGCCGTTTGACTTCCGAGGCGTGTTCAAAAACTGAAACGTTCAGCAACAGAGACGTCCAAAAACCAACTTATTACCAAACTTAAAACCATGGAGAGACCTGGTCTGAACAGAGACATTGGATTCTTATCTCATTATACATGATAAAGCTATTTTTTAGCCATCTCACCCCTTGCTTTTTCCTGTAAGTCATTAACAGTCGTCAACAGGTTTACCACACCTATCAGCCAATCACCCATTCCCACCACCCTTCTGAGTGTATCCCATCCTCTCACTATATATAAGGGTCTGGTGACTTCTGTTTCAGTGTATCTGAAGAAGTGTGCATGCACACAAAAGCTCGTACCAATAACAAACTTAGTTGGTCTCTAAGGTGCTACTGGAAGGAATTTTTAAATTTTGTTTCAAGGTTGGTGCTGTGGGTTAAACCACTGAGCCTAGGACTTGCTGATCAGAAGGTTGGTGGTTCGAATCCCCGCGACGGGGTGAGCTCCCGTTGCTCGGTCCCTGCTCCTGCCCACCTAGCAGTTTGAAAGCACGTCAAAGTGCAAGTAGATAAATAGGTACCGCTCTGGCGGGAAGGTAAACAGCATTTCCGTGCGCTGCTCTGGTTTGCCAGAAGCGGCTTAGTCATGCTGGCCACATGACCCGGAAGCTGTACGCCGGCTCCCTTGGCCAGTAAAGCGAGATGAGCGTCGCAACCCCAGAGTCGGTCACGACTGGACCTAACGGTCAGGGGTCCCTTTACCTTTTTTACCACTGTAAGCCCAGGGTCTATAGCAGGCATAGGTAAACTCCAGCCCTCCAGATGTCTGGGACTACAATTCCCAGCATCCCTGACCACTGGTCCTGTTAGCTAGAGATGATGGGAATTGTAGTCCCAAACATCTGGAGGGCTGGAGTTTGCCTATGCCTGGTCTATAGCATGGTGCTTAGGGTCCCCAACGTGGTGCCCAGGGGAACCACACTGCTCACCAAAGCTCTCTGCCCTACCCAATATTCTTCTTCCTCTTCTGGTTTGGTGGGTTGTTGTTTTTTTCTGGGGGGAGGGTGGTCAACTCAACTCACTCTGGACAAATCCTGCATTGACTCTGATCAGCCCAATTCAGTCTGGGATCCAAGATTTGTCTAGACTGGATGATCAGCCCAGCAAAACATCCATCCCACCAAAGAAAAATTGGCAGCGCTCAGAACGCCCCTCGCCAAACATGTGCAAAACTCCTGCACGCACCCCAAAAACATGTAAAATTCAGACAGAAAAAGCAGGCCACACCCCTTCCCCCAATACAGCAAAGGCTCACTGAGAAATGCAGTGGAATATATTCTCAAAATCAGGACCCAAAAAACTCTTCAAAGAGGAGATGTGGATGTTTCTGTGGGTCCACTGAGTCTGCTATTTGTGATTCTTCTGGTATTGCAACCTTTGAAAAGTCAAGGGGAAGGCTTGTTAATATGTCTGGTCAAAACCTTTGCAAATTAACCTTTGGACTTTGTATAAAAATGTGCAGCAATGTTGGGGGTGGGAGGATTTTACAGCTGCACCAGGGAATGCGGTAGATAAAATCATCCTTTATTTTCCTGGCTATTTCCAGAATAAAACTCAAAGCAGCGTGAAGAGGGTTTGTAGGTCGGTAAGGACCTGATAAGGGACGCGGGTGGCACTGTGGGTAAAACCTCAGTGCCTGGGACTTGCCGATCGTATGGTCGACGGTTCGAATCCCCGCGGCGGGGTGAGCTCCCGTCTTTCGGTCCCAGCTCCTGCCCACCTAGCAGTTCGAAAGCACCCTTAAGTGCAAGTAGATAAATAGGGACCACTTTCTAGCGGGAAGGTAAACGGCGTTTCCATGTGCTGCACTGGTGCTGGCTCGCCAGAGCAGCTTCGTCACGCTGGCCACGTGACCCGGAAGTGTCTGCGGACAGCGCTGGCTCCCGGCCTCTTAAGTGAGATGAGCGCACAACCCTAGAGTCGGACACGACTGGCCCGTACGGGCAGGGGTACCTTTACCTTTACCTTTTTAAAGGACCGGATAAGTAGGTAGGGACACAGGTGGCGCTGTGGGTTAAACCACAGAGCCTAGGACTTGCCAATCAGAAGGTCGGCGGTTCGAATCCCCGCGAGGGAGTGAGCTCCCATTGCTCGGTCCCTGCTCCTGCCAACCTAACAGTTTGAAAGCACGTCAAAGTGCAAGTAGATAAATAGGTACCACTCCGGCAGGAAGGTAAACGGCGTTTCCGTGCGCTGCTCTGGTTCGCCAGAAGTGGCTTAGTCATGCTGGCCACATGACCCAGAAGCTGTACGCCGGCTCTCTCAGCCAATAAAGCGAGATGACCACCGCAACCCCAGAGTCGGCCACGACTGGACCTAATGGTCAGGGGTCCCTTTACCTTTAAGGATCGGATAGGCACCCCCTCCAGAAAGTTGTTGTTTAGTCATTTAGTCATGTCCGACTCTTCGTGACCCCATGGACCATAGCACGCCAGGCACTCCTGTCTTCCACTGCCTCCCGCAGTTTGGTCAAACTCATGCTGGTCTCTTAGAGAACACTGTCCAACTATCTCGTCCTCTGTCGTCCCCTTCTCCTTGTGCCCTCAATCTTTCCCAACATCAGGATCTTTTCCAAGGAGTCTTCTCTTCTCATGAGGTGGCCAAAGTCTTGGAGCCTCAGCTTCAGGATCAGTCCTTCCAGTGAGCACTCAGGGCTGATTTCCTGAAGAATGGATCGGTTTGATCTTCTTGCAGTCCATGGGACTCTCAAGAGTCTCCTCCAGCACCAGAATTCAAAAGCATCAATTATTTGTCAATCAGCCTTCTTTACGGTCCAGCTCTCGCTTCCATACATCACTACTGGGAAAACCATAGCTTGAACTACACGGGCCTTTGTTGGTAAGGTGATGTCTCTACTTTTTATGATGCTGTCTAGGTTTGCCATCGCCTTTCTCCCAAGGAGCAGGCGTCTTTTAATTTCGTGACTGCTGTCACCATCTGCAGTGATCATGGAGCCCAAGAAAGTAAAATCTCTCACTGCTTCCATTTCTTCCCCTTCTATTTGCCAGGAGGTGATGGGACCAGTGGCCATGATCTTCGTTTTTTTGATGTTGAGCTTCAGACCATATTTTGCGCTCTCCTCTTTTACCCTCATTAAAAGGTTCTTTAATTCCTCCTCACTTTCTGCCATCCAGGTTGTGTCATCTGCATATCTGAGGTTGTTGATATTTCTTCCGGCAATCTTAAGGCAATCTTAATTCCGGGTTGGATTTCATCCAGTCCAGCCTAATCCTGCTTAGCTTCACCGAAGTGGGGCATCGATGGGAGGTTGTCTCCTCTGAAGGAGCCGTTACAAAGCTTGGGATCCGTTCTGGATCCTTTGCTGTTGCTTGAGGCTCAAGTGGCCCCAGTGACGTGGAGAGCCTTCCCTCAGTGCTGGCTGGCTTCCTTTTCCCCAGCAATGAAGACAAAATATTTCCATGTGTATTTTGTCCTCCAGCCTGGTACCTGTTGAGATAAAAGGTGGGGTAACACTCTTAATTATAATTCAATCTATTATTTCCCATTTCATAAATTTAGATTTTTCCCATGTATAGTGGTACCTCGGGTTAAGAACTTAATTCGTTCCGGAGGTCTGTTCTTAACCTGAAACTGTTCTTAACCTGAGGTGTTCTGTGTCTAAGTTAATTCATTAACAGTACCAGGAAGTAAAAAAAGGGTCCCCTGAGCATGTACAGAGTATTTACCCGTTGCAGTTGCATGGGACACATTTGAGACAGGAAGGATGATGATGCCGAGCTGGAAAAGACTGAGGAAAGGACACCCCAAATTATCAAGGAGTTGAAGCAACTCAAGTTTGGGACATTTCCCTTTTGTTTCCTTACTAAACCTTAAGATACCTTTTCCCCTTAAGCCTCCGCTTCCCGGATTTTCAGATGCCTGGGTCCCTTAGCTCCTTCCGGATTCCCAAACATTAAGCAGCCATTCCTTTCCTTTTTGCTGCCTTCTCCCCCCAAAATTCGTCCCAGCTGCTGAGTGGACTTGTCTTGATTTGCTTTCGTTTCTCCTGAAACCAGGGCCCTGCGGGATCTGATTTCTTTCCGCAGGGCCTGTAAGACAGAGTTGTTCCACCTGGCCTTCGGCTTAGAATCAGTTTGATTCCCTCCCCCTCTTTCTCTTTCCTTTCTCCTCCTGTGAGGAGGCTGCATCCTGTTTTAATGTTGCATTTTAATCTTGTTTTTTAAATTGGATTTTAATCAACATGTTTTTATTATTGGTTGTTAGCCGCCCTGAGGCTGGGGAGGGCGGGGTATAAATAAAATTTATTATTATTATTATTATTATTATTATTATTATTATTATTATTCTACCTCCTGCACAGCAAACAGGCCTGGGTCAACCTCAGAAAAGATTCTGGCCAGAGATGTCTCCTCGCATGTCCTTGACAACTTGCAGGAGGACACAAACTATACGGTCAGCATTTATGCCGTCTACCCAGAAGGGCCGAGTCAGGCGGCGTCAACGACTGGCAGAACTTGTAAGTCCTTCCAAATGTTTCTTTGTTGTTTTTCAGATCCGTTTCGGGAACAGGACCCCCACGTAGGGGGCTAGCGATTTCTAGGTCCGTTTGCCCAGAACTGGTATCCTTGTCAACATCCTTAGGTACTTGCCAGGGGCCTGGCATCCTTAGCTCAGCAGGTAGAGCATCGGTTTTGCATGCGGAAGGTGCCAGGTTCAAGTCCTGGCCTTTCCAGGTAGAGCTAGAGGAAACCCCTGCCTGAAATCCTGTTTAGCTGCTGTCAGTCAGTGCAGACATACTGGGGGGGGGGGCTGATTGGATATAAGGCAGCTTCTTGCAGAGGGTGGATTTTATAAGTATGTTTCATGTACCGTATTTTTCGCTCTATAGGAAACACTTTCCCCCCTCCAAAAATGAAGGGGAAAAGTGTCTGCATCCTATAGAGCGAACGCAGGCTGCGCGGCTAAGCCCAAAGCCAGAACAGGGAGAGGCAGTGCTGCGCAGCACTCTGTCTCGCTGTTCTAGCTTGGGGATGGCTGTGCAAAGCCTCTGCAGGGCAGCGGGGTGCTTTCACCCTCCTGCCCTGCGGAGGCTACAAACGCTGCGCTCTGGGGGCTTCAGACAGCTATCTGCAAACCTTCGGAGCACAGAAGGAGTTCTCGCTGAGCTCCGAAGTCTTGCAGATAGCCGTCTGAAGCCTGGAGAGCGAGAGGGGTCGGTGCACACCGATCCCTCTTGCTCTGCAGGCTTCGCTTCGCTGGAGAGGCGCTGCACAGTTTTCCCTCTCTGCGCAGCACCCCTTCAGCGAAGCGGGAGGAGAAATGAAAGGGGCTCCGTTTCTCCTCCTGCTTCGCTGAAGGGGCACTGCGCAGAAAGGGGGAGAATTCCCCCCCCCCGTTCTCCCCTTCCTATGGTCTGGTGTGTCCTATAGAGCGAAAAATACGGTATATCCCACTTTTCCTCCAAGGATCTCAAGGTGGAGTACATGATTCTCCCCTCTTCCTCCTTTAATTGACACGACAACCCTGTGAGGCGGGTTATGCTGAGATTTTTCCAAGGCCTCCCTGTGAGCTTCATTGCCGAGTGGGGATTTGAACCCTGTTCTCTCCCAGGGCCTAGTCTGGCCCTCTGATCACTACACCACACTGGCTCTCTGGGAGCTACGTGGCATTTATATTGCCCGTAACTTTCCAGGCTGAGGATTTTGCAGAAAGTTAAAATAACGGCTCCGCTCGGCCACATCTGTTTCTGCAACAGATGACATTAGGGGATGGTGTACTAAGGTTCTGGCATCCAGTTCTTAACCAGTAATAAAACTAATACAGTGGTACCTCAGGTTAAGTACTTAATTCGTTCCGGAGGTCCGTTCGTAACCTGAAACTGTTCTTAACCTGAAGCACCACTTTAGCTAATGGGGCCTCCCGCTGCTGTCGCACAATTTCTGTTCTCATCCTGAAGCAAAGTTCTTAACCTGAAGTACTATTTCTGGGTTAGCGGAGTCTGTAACCTGAAGCGTATGTAACCTGAAGCGTACATAACTCAAGGTACCACTGTACTAGTACTGTACCACTGTACTAAACATTAAAAGCTTCCCTAAACAGGGCTGCTTTCAGATGTCTTCTAAAAGTTTGGTAGTTATTTTTCTCTTTGACATCTGGTGGGAGGGCGTTCCACAGGGCGGGCGCCACTACTGAGAAGGCCCTCTGCCTGGTTCCCTGCAACCTCGCGGGGAGGGAACCGCCAGAAGGTCCTCGGAGCTGAACTTCAGTGTCCAGGCTGAACGATGGGGTTGGAGACGCTCCTTTAGGTCTACTGGACCAAGGCCCTTCAGGTCTTTCAAGGTCAGCACCAACACTTTGAATTGTGCTCAGAAACCTACTGTGAATGTTTGTTTCCTGCAGTAAAGCTGCTGCCCGTGGGAAGCTTCGTGCTCCAGAATGCAACAACCAATACTATCCAGGCCAGATGGATGCAAGTCAGAGGTGCCTCAGGATACAGACTGACGTGGGAGTCTTCAGGTAGAGAGCATCCTTACTTTGGTTCTTTGCAGGGAAGCGACCAAGCACTCACTGAAGAATGTGGCTTTTCAATAATACAGTGGTACCTCGCAAGACGAATGCCTCGCAAGACGAAAAACTTGCAAGACGAAAGGGTTTTTGGTTTTTTGAGTTGCTTCGCAAGACGAATTTCCCTATGGGCTTGCTTCGCAAGACGAAAACGTCTTGCAAGTTTGTTTCCTTTTTCTTAACACCGTTAATACAGTTGCGACTTGACTTCGAGGAGCAACTCATAGCACGCGGTGTGGTAGCCTTTTTTGAGGTTTTTGAAGACTTTGGTGATTTTTGAAGCTTTTCCAAAACTTTTCCGAAACCGTGCTTCGCAAGACGAAAAATTCGCAAGACGAAAAAACTCGCAGAACGAATTAATTTCGTCTTGCGAGGCACCACTGTAGTCAAATCTGGGGGCCAGAAAACCTGTGACGTTGATTATGGTATTATAGAGGGTTTTTTTTGGGGGGGTAGTCCTTCTAAAACAGCGGTTCTCAACCTGTGGGTCCCCAGATGTTGTTGGACTACAATTCCCATCATTCCTAGCCAGCATGACCAGTGGGTCAACCTGTGGGTCCCCCAGATGTTGTTGGACTACAACTCCCATCATTCCTAGCCAGCATGACCAGTGGTCAGGGATGATGGGAGTTGTAGTCCAATAACATCTGAGGACCCACAGGTTCAGAATCGCTGTCCCTAGAATGGTAGGGTTTTGATTAATTGGGATGTGTCAAAAGTACAAGCTGCAGAGCTGTGCCAGACAAGGAATTCCTAAGCTGGCTTCCACAAACCAGCCTGGCTGGCCTTTCGGAAGAGCAAATCTGTTAACGTGACAAAAGGGGTTGATGGGGCCATCCAAGATGAATCCTTTGGACTGGGGAGACAGATGTTGCCAAGGTGATCGGGGTGTGTGTGTGTGTGTTTGAGGTGACAGGAAAAGAGAGGCTTTTTTGAGCAAGGGGAGCTGGGAAGTAGGAGGAAGAGGAAAGACTGGGATCCATCTTGGGAAGGTTGGCTGGGAAAGATGCCTTGGACTCCATGGCTAGGGGGCAAGCCCCTCTCAAAATGACTCCTTTCCGGGTTTGAAATGTTCAGGTTCCAAGTTGTTCGAGAACTAAGCTGTTCAAAAACTGAGGTACCACTGTATTTATTTCCCCCAATTTGAACTGTATTTATTTCCTCCCCGGTGGTGATTTTCTTGAGTCAATATGGGAGCACCCATAAACTTTTTTTTTTAAAAAAAGACCTGAGATATATAAAATTATATATCAATGGAAAGATAATTTAATGAAGAATGTAATGCGATAACTTTTATGAAGGATTATTTATTACAACAGCAGTAGTCATAAAGAAGAAACGTGAAACACACAGGAAAAAAATGAGATATGCAGGTTAAATTGCTGTGTTGGCACTTTGCGATAAATAAGTGGGTTTTGGGTTGCAGTTTGGGCACTCTGAAAGGTTTGCCATCACTGCCCTATACAAAATTGCAGTTACAAAGCTGCCCCTCTGATGCCAATCAGGGCTGCCGGCTGGGCGGCGACGGCAAAGGACTAAATCCTGCATATGCCTATGCCTGGGTCATGATCCAAATCAGACACACGCACAATGTGCACATTGTTGCTCCACCCACTTTTCCTCTGTCCCCGCCCACCCCGGCTTGTAGTCCCAAATGTGATGCAGATCTGAATTAAGAAACGGCAATATTCAACAGCTAGGAGGAGGTGCATTTAGACTCCCAAAGCACTCTGCAAGTGACCTTAGAGTGGCCATTCTGGAGCAAAAGCACTGAGGAAACAGTGTGCAGGATGAAACCGCAGCACATCTGGGGTTCAGTGTGGATCGAAGTGAGGCAGGATTTTTCGGAACACGCCTGGGGGGCACATGCAGCCCCTGAAATGAGACAGACCTCTCCGGGCGTCTTCCTGATGAAGCGCAGCCCGGGACGTTCACAAATCAGTCCCCGCGCGCACTTGCGACACATATCAAAAGACATGTGCACCCTCACTCAGCAGAGTATACAGAAACGATCGTGGAGCGTGAGTGTAGCATTCTAAGTGATTTATTAAGCAATATATACAGGACAAAGCAACCATGGCGTCCTCTCACTTCTCCTTCAAGAGAGAAAGTAAAGAAAAGTAGAAAAATACAGTACAATGGAAGAGAGATAAGACTGACTTCCGTTCTTGCACTTTCCAAGCCTAGAAAGTATGTGTTTTTTGTGTGTGTTAACTGGTTAACCGACACCAGCAGGTCCTGTGTCCTCGAGAAGTGTTTTGTGAATCACCAGGGTTAGTTTGTTGTTGTTGTTTAGTCGATGAGTCGTGTCTGACTCTTCATGACACCCTGGACCAGAGCACGCCAGGCACTCCTGTCTTCCACTGCCTCTCGCAGTTTGGTCAAACTCATGCTGGTAGCTTCGAGAACACTGCCCAACCATCTCGTCCTCTGTCGCCTTCTCCTTGTGCTCTCCATCTTTCCCAACATCAGGGTCTTTTCCAGGGAGTCTTCTCTTCTCATGAGGTGGCCAAAGTCTTGGAGCCTCAGCTTCAGGATCTGTCCTTCCAGTGAGCACTCAGGGCTGATTTCCTTCAGAATGGAGAGGTTTGATCTTCTTGCAATCCATGGGACTCTCAAGAGTCTCCTCCAGCACCAGAATTCAAAAGCATCCATTCTTCGGTGATCAGCCTTCTTTATGGTCCAGCTCTCACTTCCATACATCACTACTGGGAAAACCATAGCTTGAACTAGACGGACCTTAGTTAAAGCTATGGTTTCCCCAGTAGTGATGTATCACTGTCTGCAATTTTCTGCATTTCGTTTCTGCCTGATCCCCCTGTTTACAATTCGACGTGTGCATGCCCCAAAACGTTGTGTATATATATACCTGCAACTCAGAATCTAACACAGTGTATCTGATGCAGCAGACTGTAGCCTGTGAAAGCCCGAGACCATAATAAATTTGTTTTCCGGAGGCATCGAGTTTGTTATGTGTGAGAGCACCTGGAGTCCCAAGTGGCGCGGCCTCTGGAGAGCTGCATAAAACTGCTTTCTCCCCTTTTTTCTCTGAATGCACAGATAGCTCTCAACTAGGCTTGTTACTATGGAGATTCGGAAACCTACGAATGAGCAAGCTCAGGTCATTGTCAATTGGAGCAAGAGGGCAGCTATCTTCCAATTCATGCGCGCGATTTGTTTAACCTCCGCACCCCCAGAGACGCCAGGTGTATTCTGGTTCGAAGAAGATGTTTCTCAGCGGAAAAGAGTTTTTTTTAAATTTTTAAAAAAACAACCAGGCTAGGAGGTGAGGATTGAAAAGGAAAAGAAATAAAGGAAGCTCTTTGAACAGGAAGGAAAAGCGAAACAGCTCATTTGCTCGGATCAGTAAAATGAGTAAAGGTTGCCACCTAGTGCTGGAATAAAATGCAGCCAACTTTGTTATTTCATGGCGGAAAATAATATACAGAGAGGGATGTACCATATTCCTGCTATATTAGCAGACTATAACAATAATAATAATATAATTTATTATTTATACCCCGCCCATCTGGCTGGGCCTCCCCAGCCAGCTTCCAACCGAATATTAAAAACAATACAGCATCAGACATTAAAAACTTCCCTTTAGTTGTCTTTTAAAAGTAAAATCGTTGTTTATTTCCTTGACTTCTGCTGGGAGGGTGTTCCACAGGGCGGGCGCCACCACCGAGAAGGCCCTCTGCCTGGTTTGCTGTAACCTCAATTCTCGCAATGAGGGAACTGCCAGAAGGCCCTCGGAGCTGGACCTCAGTGTCCGGGCTGGACGATGGGGGTGGAGACGCTCCTTCAGGGATACTGGGCTGAGGCCATTTAGGGCTTTCAAGGTGAGCACTAACCCTTTGAATTGTGCTCGGAAATGTACTGGGAGCCAATGTAGGTCTTTCAAGACCGGTGTTATGTGGTCTCGGCGGCCGCTCCCAGTCACCAGTCTAGCTGCCATATTCTGGATTAGTTGCAGTTTCCGGGTCACCTTCAAAGGTAGCCCCATGTAGAGAGCATTGCAGTAGTCCAAGCGAGAGATAACTAGAGCATGCACCACTCATGCACTTATCTTTTAAAAGAAATTAATTAGAAGCCACAGGGAGGGGAAAATCATTCACCCTCTTGGGTTATTTTATTTATTTTATATCAGTGATTTTCAACCTTTTCAAACTCAAGACCCACTTCTAACAAAGAAACGCAATCCAGGACCCATTTCTTAACCTTTTGCCATATTTTTGAATGATTATAGTATGTTTTCTTTTGTGTGGTTTGTAACAATTAAGTAAAACTGAATGACTGTGTTATGAAATGATGTATGCCTAAAAAGTGTGTCACCAACATGAAAAAGTTTGGAAAGCTCTGCATCAAACATTAAAAACCTCCTGATACAGTTTATAGTCCTACAGACAATGATTTTTTTCTTTTTTTTTCTTTTCTCAAGGTTGGCAGAAAGTTTGTAGGTATGCTTAGGGTGGCAGGAGAGGATATATTGTTTATTAATATCCTTCCTAACTTGCACTAGCAAGTTTCTTTATGTAGCAGAGTTGCATTTCCCTTTCTTACATGCACAGCAGATAGCTGGTTGCAGGCTCATATAAGTCTCTCACTATTATACAATTCAGTCCCTCTCAGATTGAATTGTACGTTCCTGATAAGTTCCCCTTAATCCCTCTTAAAAGAATAAAGACATGACAATCTTATTTAAAGTCAATAAACGAAGTTTACTCACATCAGTTCACAGTTGGATTCCTGAAGGCAGACTTAGTTACAAATATGTACCTGTGGATCTACCCCATATGGGGGAATAATCCCAGTGCTTCTGCCAGCTGAGAGCTAGCAGAGCAGTCCTAGCTAAAAGCTGGTCAAACAAAGAAGGAAGTAAAAGAGAGAGAGAGAGTGCTGCGTGACTCATCCTTTTGTTACCTGGACAGGTAAGGTCACGCCCAACTCTAGTCACAAGCAAGGAAGGATGCTCCAGCCAGGAGGAACAGGAAGTTTCAACTGGCTGGACCAACATCCCTTTCCATGTCCACTCTAGGAAAACAAGGAATGTTGTATTTGACTGCTCCCAGTGGATTACATCCCACAAAGTTGAACAGTCCAATCTCTCTGGTGCCTTGCAAAGAGAAACACTGAATCTTTATTTCTCACATGTTTACAGAAGGCAGCGTCCAGAACGTGAACTTGGGTGACACTTACAGCTACTACAGGATTCAAGGTCTGCAGCCAGGCAATGAATACATCGTCATGGTGAATCCGGTCTTTGGCGCCATTGAGGGACCGATAGTCACTGCGAAGGCAACAACCTGTAAGTCTCACCACTGTGGAAGAGAATTCATGTGATCCTGCAAGAAATGTTGGCCCCCATAGCGATGGCACTAGCAGCTTCGAGATCAGATTGCTGCAATGCACTCAATGTGGGGCTTCCTTTGAGATGCACTTAGTGCAGAATGCTGCAACATAATTGCTGATGGGAGCAGTCAGGAACTCCTTTGACTCTGGGTCCCACCACACATGTCAACTTTGATGGGTGGGTGGGACAACTAAATAATAATGATAATAATAATAATAATAATAATAATAATAATAATAATAATAATAATTTAATTTATATCCCTCCTATCTTGCCGTGTTTCCCAGCCACTCTGGGTGGTTTAAAGGTAAAGGTAAAGGTAAAGGGATCCCTGACCATTAGGTCCAGTCGTGGCCGACTCTGGGGTTGCGGCACTCATCTCGCTTTATTGGCCAAGGGAGCCGGCACACAGCTTCCGGGTCATGTGGCCAGCATGACTAAGTTCTGGTGAATCAGAGCAGCACACGGAAACGCCGTTTACCTTCCCGCCAGAGTGGTACCTACTTATCTACTTGCGCTGGTGTGCTTTCAAACTGCTAGGTTGGCAGGAGCAGGGACCGAGCAACGGGAGCTCACCCCGTCATGGGGATTCGAACCACCGACTTTCTGATCGGCAAGTCCAGGCTTTGCGGTTTAACCCACAGCACCACCTGCGCCCCACTGGGTGGCTTATAACATACATAAACACACAACAAAGCATCAAACATATATATATATATATATATATATATATATATATATATATATGCAGGTTTTGGTGTCCTCGGGTGTCTTCCCGTGTAAAAGTTGGGGTGTCTAGGCGACGTTTCGACGAGGTCTCACTCGTCATCTTCAGGCTGGTGCTTTCGGCTTCTTGTTACTGGAACAGAGCAGGATCTCAGTGTTTGAGTTCCTATAAATACTGTTGAGGGGGTGTGGTGTATAGCCTCCAATGTTCTGGGCAGAGAGGAAGTTCCCAGGCTAGTGTGCCTTTTCTTCTTTTGTTCCTTAATTACTTGAGGGATATCTTGAGTGATTTCTTGAGTGATATCCTGAGTACCACTTAGGTGGATCATTAGGTGTGGATTAGTTGCTAAAGCCTTCGTGTCTTGACCTCTTGAACTTTGTGAAGATTTTTTCTGAGAAGATGGCTGTACTGCACTTAGTTGTGCTCTGGCTTGGCTTCGTGTATAGGGGCGAGCTGTGGTTTTGTGTCCTGTGCCAGCCAGATCTGTGTAGGGATTGCAGGGGGGTGCAGCATCCGGAGGTGCCACCATGGTTTGGCTACTGGATGGTGTCTGTAATTTATCTGTGGAGAGGGTCTGGGTTTGGGTCTGGTGTGGTTGATTGGTGATGGCGTTCTGTGTGCCTCTGGATCTGGTGTCGGTTTTTGTGGGGAGGGCTAATTTCCAGATGTCTGGCAGGCGGGATGTGTCGTCACGCTTGTTCATGTTGTGAGGGTGTTTCTCTATCTCGATGGCTTCCATGATTATTCTCTTGTGGTGATGTTCCATGTTAGAGAGCAATTTGGAATCTGCAAATTGCAGAACGCCATCACCAATCAACCACACCAGACCCAAACCCAGACCCTCTCCACAGATAAATTACAGACACCATCCAGTAGCCAAACCATGGTGGCACCTCCGGATGCTGCACCCCCCTGCAATCCCTACACAGATCTGGCTGGCACAGGACACAAAACCACAGCTCGCCCCTATACACGAAGCCAAGCCAGAGCACAACTAAGTGCAGTACAGCCATCTTCTCAGAAAAAATCTTCACAAAGTTCAAGAGGTCAAGACACGAAGGCTTTAGCAACTAATCCACACCTAATGATCCACCTAAGTGGTACTCAGGATATCACTCAAGAAATCACTCAAGATATCCCTCAAGTAATTAAGGAACAAAAGAAGAAAAGGCACACTAGCCTGGGAACTTCCTCTCTGCCCAGAACATTGGAGGCTATACACCACACCCCCTCAACAGTATTTATAGGAACTCAAACACTGAGATCCTGCTCTGTCCCAGTAACAAGAAGCCGAAAGCACCAGCCTGAAGATGACGAGTGAGACCTCGTCGAAACGTCGCCTAGACACCCCAACTTTTACACGGGAAGACACCCGAGGACACCAAAACCTGCATATATATATATATATCCTATACGAGCAACAAACAAGCCAATAAATCAACAGAAACCAATAACAATAATAACAATAATAAACAGTTTGCAGTTATACCCAAATTAAAATAACTGCCAACCCCAACTAAACATTTATCCAACATCAACCCCACAAAAACAAACCAGAGGAAGCCAAATTAGAACTGTTTAAACATTTAAAAACATTTCAGCCAGTTGTCCCAACCCAAGTGTTGTTCCAGCAACGTCCCGCCAACAAAATAACATCCTTTTGACAGCACATGAGTGAAAGGTGGCTTCTTCTGCCCAGCTGTAAGAATCCCTTCCATACAATTGTTGTATGGAACCATACAATGGTTGTTTGGCACTGGGAACCAGAGTTCAAGGGCCACTGCCAGCCTTATGCTTGGCGCTTGCCAACGACTGGCACCCTCTGCTTGGCACTTCCTCCCCAACAACCGATGGGGAGAGGAAGAAGAAGAAGCCTGCATTATGCAAGCATTGCCTGCATGAGGGATAAGCCCATAGCTGTCAACGTACAGATTTGAAAATAAGGGACCAGCCGCCTTGAAAATAAGGGATCAGCAGCCAAAATAAGGGATTTTAGTCAACCAGCAGCCAAACGAAGCTTCAAGCAGTGGTTCCCACAGCGCAGCAACCCGGCAAAGGCGATGCAGCAAGGGAAACCTCTCCGCTGGGAAGCGCTGAGCAAAGGCGAGTCCCCAGGGAACGCGGCCGATTTGATGGGCACAAGGCATGCAAGCTCCACCCCCCAGTCATTCTTAGACTCCTTATTGGGTGAGCAATACAGTTGGAGCCTCCCTCCTCCCTGGCCGGCAGGGAGGGAGGGAGAGGAGCTGCTTCCTTTGAAACCTTGGAAATTTAAGGGACATCATCAATCCGGGACAGCAGCGGGACACAGCGCTGGGATAAGGGACTTGCCCGCAAAATAAGGGACGGTTGACAGCTATGGACAAGCCTCTCTTGCAAGCAATGCCTGCAAGAAAAAATGAGGCTGGTTGCTTTGGCTGTGCAGGCCTGTTACCAGGGGAGAGGAGAAGGAGGTGGCCCCGCTGGGTGTTTTCCTAGTGCCCATATTCCTTTGTGAGCATTCATTTGCAAAATAATAGACCCAGTTTTAGAGAAGCAGCGGGATGTTCCTGCATCCCTCCCCCCAGAATGAGCATCCCCTCAACCCAACATGTTGGAACTGCATCCTGATCTTTCCACTTTCTCTTGCCTCTTCAATGTTCATCGCAGTGTCATCCAGCGCTGTGCAGATTTTGAAAGCAACCGAGGTCACCATCAGTTCTGTGCTGGTTTCCTGGAACGCGGTGCCTGGGGCGACTGGGTACCGGGTGACGTGGGGCCCAACGCCAGGTAAGAGAATCGTCACAGCAAAGTGCTCTGATCTGTGGGTCACTGTATGTGGGGTTGCCCTTGGCGCTGGTCTGGAGGATATGGCTGGTGCAGAATGCAGTGGTTAGGCTCAGGGCCGGATTTCGGTTTGATGAGGGCCTAAGCTGCTGAAGGTAATGGGACCCTTCATATGTCCAGCTGTCCTTTGTCAACAACAAATTGTCGCTGTTTTTGTGTGGAATATACAGTGGTACCTCGGGTTAAGAACTTAATTTGTTCTGGAGGTCTGTTCTTAACCTGAAACTGTTCTTAACCTGAAGCACCACTTTAGCTAATGGGGCCTCCTGCTGCTGCCGCGCCGCCGGAGCACGGTATCTGTTCTCATCCTGAAGCAAAGTTCTTAACCCGAGGTAAAATTTCTGAGTTAGCGGAACCTGTAACCTGAAGCCTTTGTAACCTGAGGTACCACTGTATGCTATATGGTAATTTATGGACCCACTAGGTATCTAAAGCCATTTGCACATAACAAAATATGTATTTTATCAAAGTAATTGTTGAACTGAAATACAGCCATACCTCCGGTTACAGACGCTTCAGGTTGCGCTTTTTCAGGTTATGGACCCGCCGAAACCCGGAAGTACCGGAATGGGTTACTTCTGGGTTTTGGGGGTTGCACATGCACAGAAGTGCTAAATTGTGCTTTGCGCATGCACAGAACCGCCAAATTGCAACCCGCATGTGCGCAGACGTGCCGCTGCGGGTTGCGAACGCTGTGGCTTGCGAATGTGCATACCGCACGGATCACATTCGCAACCCGAGCGTCCACTGTACAGTTAAGAAGTATATTAATAGTGAAATACAATTACGAAGAAGTATATTAGCAGTGAAATAATTATTAAGCTCTAACTTAAAATGATTTTTTATTCATAACGAACTTAATAATGCAAACACATTGGCATTTGGCAATAACAAAAGTTTTTTCAGCAACACAATTTACGAAGACTCATAATCTAGTCTCTAGAAACTTGCTATAACATGAAATAATAAAAGGTGTAAATATATGATGCAAACTACTAATAATTATAAACAACAGAATGTAGGCACCCTATATATAGAAAGGAGCAAACCAGGGATATTTTAGGGAGCAGGCTAGCAGGCGGGGCCCATGACTTACACCATAGGAGCCTGCACAACACAAAACAATGTTGCTGTATGTAGGTTTTATTTTATTTGTTTTTTATCTTATATTTTGGAAATGTACATCCAAGTTTTTTCCCCTTTATATTTTTTGGGGGCCCCAAGAGAGTGGGGCCCTAAGCTATAGCTTGTTAGCTTATACATAAATGTGGCACTGGTTAGGCTGCTGATAGGGGCCGTGGCTGGCAGCATGTGGTAAAGGTAAAGGGACCCCTGACCATTAGGTCCAGTCGTGACCAACTCTGGGGTTGTGGCGCTCATCTCGCTTTACTGGCCGAGGGAGCCGGCGTACAGCTTCCGGGTCGTGTGGCCAGCAGGACTAAGCCGCTTCTGGCGAACCAGAGCAGCGAGGGCTGGTGACATGGAAATAACTTTTATAAATAAATGGAAACTACATAAAACACACACACTGAGGATTCTGCTCTCTGTCTTTTACCTGTTTCTGTGCATTCCAAGAGTTCTTCGGAAGAGACCGACCCCGGCAGCTTGCTCTGAACAGTTCCAATACAGCTTACCGCCTGCAAAAGTTGGCTGATAATACGGAATATGTGATTTCGCTGTATGTCCTTTTCGGTTCGGTAGAGGGTCCGGGGATCACCATTACTGCAAGGACCTGTGAGTACATTTGCATCGCAGACAAAAAAAGAACTGGACCTTTTCCACCATGCATAATACAGTGGTGCCTCGCAAGACGAAATTAATTCGTTCTGCGAGTTTTTTCGTCTTGTGAATTTTTCGTCGTGCGAAGCACGGTTTTAACGGTATTAACGGTTTTAAGAAAAAGGAAACAAACTTGCAATACGTTTTCATCTTGCAAAGCAAGCCCATAGGGAAATTCGTCTTGCGAAGTAACTCAAAAAACAAAAAACTCTTTCGTCTTGTGAGTTTTTCATCTGGCGAGGCATTCGTCTTGCGAGGTACCACTGTAATAATAATAATAATATTTATACCCCGCCCATCTGGCTTGGTTTCCCCAGCAACTCTGGCGGCATCCAACATAATATTAAAATACCATAGTCCGTCAAACATTAAAAGCTTCCCTAAGAAGGGCTGCCTTCAGATGTCTTCTAAAAGTCTGGTAGTTGGAAGTAGACTTTCCAAGGCTTTAGTTTAGACCTTTTTGCTTCCTACTATTTACAAGAAAAGGAGGCAGACTTCCTGTTTTAAACCTCCCCCGTTTGTTGCCAAAATCAACTTTTTTAAAGGTCCAATACTTCACTTTACTCACGGGTGATTACTTTTAGATCCAATTGTCAACAGGAAAAAGTCAGCGCTCTCCGGCAACGGCTGTGCGGCTTCACTCCGTGGAAGTAGCAGTCACTTCAAAGCACCACGCCGCTCACCCCACTTCGCTCTGGACTCCCGAAAACGGGTTTCCCCGCGAGTAGGGGGGGCGCTGATGGTGCCCGCCGAATCCCACGTTCACAGGCTTCACCCGCCTGTGATTTTTGAAGGGTCCCCGCCTTTGCCGCGGCGGCAAGACCCGATTCCCACGGAGCAGATTCCTCTGGTTCAGAGGAAATCCGCCATTGCCGATGGCACAGACCCGGAAGACCTAATAGGTATCTAAAGCCATTTGCACATGTTGCCATACAATCAGTCCATGCAGAATGTAGGCACCCTATATATAGAAAGGAGCAAACCAGTCATATTTTAGGGAGCAGGCTAGCAGGCGGGGCCCATGACTTATATCATATGAGCTTAAAGGTAAAGGGACCCCTGACCGTTAGGTCCAGGTGCAGATGACTCTGGGGTTGCTGCGCTCATCTCGCTTTACTGGCTGAGGGAGCCGGCGTTCAGCTTCCGGGTCATGTGGCCAGCATGACTAAGCCGCTTCTGGCGAACCAGAGCAGCGCACCAAAGTGCCGTTTACCTTCCCGCTGGAGCGGTACCTATTTATCTACTTGCACTTTGACGTGCTTTCGAACTGCTAGGTTGGCAGGAGCAGGGAACGAGCAACGGGAGCTCACCCCGTCGTGGGGATTTGAACTGTCGACCTTCTGATCAGCAAGCCCTAGGCTCTGTGGTTTAACCCACAGTGCCACTTACCATATTTTTCGCTCTATAAGACGCACCAGACCACAAGTTTTTGGAGGAGGAAAACAAGAAAAAAAATATTCTGAATCTCAGAAGCCAGAATAGCAAGAGGGATCACTGCACAGTGAAATCAGCGAATCCCTCTTGCTATTCTGGCTTCTGGGATAGCTGCGCAGCCTGCATTTGCTCCATAAGACGCAAACACATTTCCCCTTACTTTTTAGGAGGGGAAAAGTGAATCTTATAGAGCAAAAAATACAGTATATCATTGGAACCTACACAACACAAAACACTGTTGCTGTGTGTAGGTTTTATTTTATTTGTTTTTTATCTTAAATTTTGGAAATGTACATCCAGGTTTTTTCCCCTTTATATTTTTTGGGGGGCCCCAAGAGATTGGTGCCCTAAGCTGTAGCTTGTTTAGCTTATACGTAAATCCGGCACTGGACCTTATTACCATGTCCCCTTTCTTGGCAGCTCCTCTGGGTTATGTGACTCATTTCAAGGCAACCTCTTCCGCGAGCACCTCCATCTCTCTGTCCTGGAGCGCTGTCCCTGCAGCCAACAAATATAAAATTGTCTGGAAACCATCTGGAACCGAGCTAGGTATGTTGACGTCTGTCCCTGGCATTTGTCTACCTAAGATACTCTCTGTAACAAGAAGCCTAATGGTGTTCGTGCAAAGTGTGACCATATGGGACAACCTTTTTCAGTCTGAGGGCCACATTCCTTTCTGGGTGACCTTCCAGGGGCCACATGACAGCAGGGGGTGGGGCCGAAGGCTAAAGTGGGCAGGGCAACAAATGTAAAATTTATCTTTGTTCAGTAGCCTAGTTTCTGTACCACCACTCTGTTAGGTTTCTGTTTGTGCCACTGGGCAGTGCTTGGAGTCACAAGACTCTGTTTACATTCCAGAGATTCCAGACTGTTGGAAGTGTCATGGGAGACGGATGTTGATATTACTGGTTTCCTGTTTCTTTGTACCAGTTGCCTCTCTGCTTTCACAGAGAGAGGATGTATATTTCTATTCTGTCTGTGTAGTTAGAAATAAAACTCTTAGCAATATAGCTCATATTTCTCGACCTTCGCTGCTGCTTGTATACTCTGTGTAATTAGGGAATGTGCCTGGAGCCTCATCAAAGGTTCAGGTTGTTAATCACGACCGGAGGAGTAGCTCGGTTGAACGCAAGTTCTGACACACCCACCCCTCTAGGTCCTCCATGCAGACAAGCAAGAGACTTTATCAGAGTTTAAGCACACATTCTGAAAGACTAGTACAGTCGTCCCTGGGATCCCAAATGCCTTGCAAGTCAAATGTTTTGGCACCCAAATGCCACAAACCTGGAAGTGAGTGTTCTGGTTTGCGAACGTTCATTGGAACCTGAATGTTCGACGCAGCATCCGATTGGCTGCAGGAGCTTCCTGCAGCCAATCAGAAGCCGTGCCTTGGTTTCCGAATGTTTTGGAAGTTGAGCAGACTTCCGGGATGGATTCCATTCGACTTCCGATGTACAACTGTGTTGATGAATTGGAAGTAGAAATATACAATCCCCTTTAATCGATTGATGACATGTTAACTCTTGCAACATATGAACTTATAGACATAGACTTTGTTTGGACAAATATACTGACATTTGGAATTAGTTTCTACAGAAGATATGTTGTATTAATAATCATATATGTATTAGGGCAATATTATTATTCCTATGTATAGAAATGTAACATAATAGTAACTATATCATATTATATTTTTCTTATTTTATTTGTTGCTCTTTTCTTCTCCCTTCCTCACTTTATTTTCTACTACTGAAATTATTTTAATAAGAATAAAAGCACGCATTCCACACATTCTGAAGCCCAAACTACATGCTTGCTTGTTTCCAAAACCCCATGCATCCCTAAGCAGGCCGCATCTTGAGCAAAGTAATTTGTTATGTCATTTTCCAGCTCAAATGTGCCCTCCACACTCTGCTTTTATCACCCATGGCGGGACACACAGGAAAAGCTTCACAGACCCCACCTCTTTTCTGCTAATCAGAAGTGTGCCAGGCCTGATAAATCAAGTCTGCCGTGTTTTATGGTGATTGGCACGCCATAAAACTTTGGCATCTTTCACCTGCCAAGCTTAAGGGAAGATGATTTTGAGCTGAGAAGAGGCTGGAGAGGGAAAGGTTAAGGAAAATCCCTCCATATGCTTTTCCTCAACTGTGATCCACAGTTTGCCAGGGTTTTTTAGGGATTTAAAAACCCGCCACAACCAAATAATAATAATAATAATAATAATAATAATAATAATAATAATAATTTATTTATACCCTGCCCATCTGGCTGGGATTCCCCAGCCACTCTGGGCAGCTTCCAACAAAATATCAAAATACCACAATAAATAAAACATTAAAAGTTTCCCTAAACAGGGCTGCCTTCAGATGTCTTCTAAAAGTCTGGTAGTTGTTTTTCTCTTTGACATCTGGTGGGAGGGCGTTCCACAGGGCGGGTGCCACTACCGAGAAGGCCCTCTGCCTGGTTCCCTTTAACTTGGCTTCTCGCAGTGAGGGAACCGCCAGAAGGCCCTCGGCGCTGGACCTCAGTGTCCGGGTAGAATGATGGAGGTGGAGACGCTCCTTCAGGTATACTGGACCGAGGCCATATAGGGCTTCAGAGGTCAGCACCAACACTTTGAATTGTGCTCGGAAATGTCCTGGGAGCCAATGTAGGTCTTTCAAGACCAGTGTTATGTGGTCTTGGCGGCTGCTCCCAGTTACCATTCTAGCTGCTGCATTCTGGATTAGTCATAGTTTCCGGGTCACCTTCAAAGGTAGCCCCACATAGAGAGCATTGCAGTAGTCCAAGTGGGAGATGACCAGAGCCTCAGATTGTAAGCTCTGGGAAAGGGCCATGGATACTGATGAATTATAACAACAGCAACCGGCTGTTTTGCAAGGAGGAAAGCAAACTTGGCCGTTGGTATTTCTGTTTCAGAGAAAGACACTGCTCAGAGCCATCTCCTAGACAGCGGAGTTCTTGCTTACCGTTTGGAAAATTTGCTGCCTGATACCCAGTACACCATTGGGATTTGTGCTGTGTTTGGAGCCTCCGATGGAAGAGTCGTGACCCTTATTCAAGGCACCGGTAACTGCAGGGTTCGCAAGGGAACATTGCTGAGCTGGGGCAGTGAATTATTTTGCCGTGGCTAAGGTAGTAAACATTAAGTCATGGGCTAGTCTTGCATTCTTGGCTAGCTGCCACACAGCAAATTGTGCAAGAGCCGAGCTTACTATAAATCGCCTCGTGTCTCTCTATAGCAGGGTTTCCTAAACATGGGTCTCTAGCTGTTTTGGGACTACAATTCCCATCATCCCTGACCACTGGTCCTGCTAGCTAGGGGTGATGATTATGCATTCTTTATCAATCTTCTGAGAAAAATACAAAACCTTATGCAAAGCCACAGAGACTTGCAAACTACTCAACCTAAGATGAACTTATAATGTCTGGTTTCAATGGATTTTTCAAGTGCTTAACTCAGTCTTTTGTTTTCTTTATCTTTTTGGGTAAGTTCATGAAGATACCAACAAAGGGTAAGTTCGGTGCTGTTCACAATACTGAGAGATGCTAGAGAAGTTGTAGATGGATGTTAATGAAGTTGTAGACTGCAAATCAGTCTCTTAAGCCAAGAAATAGTACAGGTAAAGGTAAAGGGACCCCTGACCATTAGGTCCAGTTGTGGCCGACTCTGGGGTTGCGGCACTCATCTCGCTTTATTGGCCAAGGGAGCCAGCGTACAGCTTTTGGGTCATGTGGCCAGCATGACTAAGCAGCTTCTGGCAAACCAGAGCAGCTCACCGAAACGCCGTTTACCTTCTCACCAGAGTGGTACCTATTTATCTACTTGCATGTTGACGTGCTTTCAAACTGCTAGGTTGGCAGGAGCCGGGACCGAGCAACGGGAGCTCACCCCGTTGCGGGGATTTGAACCGCCGACCTTCTGATCGGCATGTTCTAGGCTCTGTGGTTTAACCCACAGCACCACCCACGTCCCCAAGAAATAGTACTCTCTCTATGAAATTGAATATCAATATACGTATCAAGGCTTTGAGATTAGACCACTGAAGAAGCTCGGAAAACTACCTTGGGAGTGGGCTACCTGCAAGCCCCAGTAAAAGGGCCCCATTGGGGGTGAACAGCAGTCTTTGATTACTTGGATCGCCAGGGCGAAACAGGTGCAAAATGCCAGCACCTTGTCTACAACTTCATTAACATCCATCTACAACTTTACTAGCATCTCTCGGTATTGTGAAAAACACCAAACTTACCCTTTGTTGGTACCTTCATGAACTTACCTAAAAGATAAAGAAAACAAAAGACTGAGTTAAGCACTTGAAAAATCCATTGAAACCAGACATTATAACTTCATCTTAGGTTGTGTGCTGGTCCTGAGGGTTAACCGTGCAGCGAGGTCTGAGTCCAGTCCGAGGTCGAGGGCGCGGTATGGAGGCTGTCCGTCAAAGCTGAAGCGGGGTCCAAGGCAGGGAGTCGGGAGAGGTCAGGAACTCTGGCAGAAGAGCAGGACAGGGTGCAGGCAGGAACAGGCTACCAACAATGTTGCTCCCGCAACCTGGGACTGGGGCTGGCTGGCTGGCTTTTATCTGCCCCAAGGCATAGGGCGGCCCCGGTCCACAGGTGACTCGCCTCTCCTGGCTTGGAGGCAAGCACTCCTCCTGCAGGAACTTAGTTTCCCCCGCCTCTCTGCCCTGAGCCTCTGCAGCTCAGGAGAGGCTGGAGGGTTACCGGACCCAGAGGCAACCTCAGCTTCCCCTGACGGGGCTGAGAGTGGAGCACCTGCAGGCAATGGGTCCTCCATCCCCTCAGGGGCCAGAGCAGACTCAGCTGGTGCCTGCACCCAGCACAGGTGAGGACCCTTCAGGCTCAGGCCCCGGCTCAGCTGGTTCTGGAGGCGGGGAATCCTGTGCAGGCTGGGATTCCTCAGGTTCAGCCTCCGAATCCCAGGCCATCACAGGTTGGGTAGTTCACAAGTCTCTGTGGCTTTGCATGAGGTTTTGTATTTTTCTCAGAAGATTGATAAAGAATGTATAATCATTTTGGTAATTATCGTGTGCATATTAGTCGCCAACGTGTTGCATGAGTCGTATTACTTCTATCAGTGATGCAGGTTGCATTTTCTAGCTAGGGGTGATGGGCAAGTCACTGCCTCCCAGCCTTTCAACCCTTTGGCTGGAGATGACAGAGACTGTACATAAGAGCATATGAAGAGGCCTGCTGGATGAGGCCAATGACCCGTATAGTCCAGTAACCTGTTCTCACAGTGGCCAAACAGATGGCCGTGGGAAACCCACAAGCAAGAATTGGATGTGGGGCCTTCTGGTTGCAAAGCAGGTGCCCCACGACTGAACTATGGGTGGACCTAAACTAAAGGGCATAGAATCATAGAGTTGGAAGGGACCCCGAGGGTTATCTAGTCCAACCCCCTGCAATGCAGGAATATCAGCTAAAGCATCCCTGACAGATGGCCGTCCAACCTCTGCTTAGAAACCTCCATGGAGGGAGAGTCCACAATCTCACAAGGGAGACCGTTCCACTGTTGAACAGCTATTGCTGTCAGAACGTTTTTCCGTACTTCTAGTCGGAATGTCCTTTCTTGTAAAACTTGAAGCCATTGGTTCGAGTTGTACCCTCCAGAGCAGGAGAAAAACAAGCTTGTTCTTTGAGATATTTGAAGATGGCATGAAAGAGGCTTGTTTGTATGTTGGACAGTTTCTTTCCAAGGACATCGTTCTCTGAACCTCAAGGCAGTGAACTGTCAAGAGTTCAGCCTACACTCGAGTAGGACCCTGGCAGAGACATATGCCCGACTGGCATGTTCTCTCCCTCCTGGAGCTTCATAAGCTTTCTTCAGCCCAAACATCACAGTGACACCGGCACCCTTGGGGATCCGCAAAGCTTGCGCAACTTGCGTAACAGACCTCAGCAACTCAGCATTTTGGCTAATCTACTTTATTTACATATACACATATACAGAGCACTGCAACATGGCTCCCACTCTCTCTAGCATCAGACAGCAAAGAGAGAAAGAACAAAGGACAATAGTCCCACTTCACGGAACACAGTAACACAAACATCCTGTCTCTGTTACTTCCCACTCTGTGGAGTCGAAACACATACTGTCATGTGAAAGACAAGAATCCCATGACTGCAATCACAGAGCAGGGATTCTAACATGAACACCCATCTCTCTGGGACTTGTGGAGTTTCAGTTCCTCTTCATGGGATCAGGACCAGAGGGGGAAGCAAGCAGAAAGAGGCCCCTCTCACTTTTTACTCGGAAAAAAGGTAAAGGGACCCCTGACCATTAGGTCCAGTCGTGGCCGACTCTGGGGTTGCGGCGCTCATCTCGCTTTACTGGCCGAGGGAGCTGGTGTACAGCTTCCGGGTCATGTGGCCAGCATGACTAAGCCGCTTATGGCAAACCAGAGCAGCGCATGGAAACGCCATTTACCTTCCCGCTGGAGCGGTACCTATTTATCTACTTGCACTTTGACATGTTTTCGAACTGCTAGGTTGGCAGGAGCAGGGACCGAGCAATGGGAGCTCACCCTGTTGCGGGGATTCAAACCGCTGACCTTCTGATTGGTTTAACCCACAGCACCACCCAGTGGAGCATTCCCAAATATGATCCCTTCCTTGCGCCCAGAAGTAGTTCATTCCAGAATGCTACTGCTGACATTTCCTTTTCGCATTGTTTGTCTGCAGCAGGGTCTCGTGGGAACCTCTCCGTTCCCCTTCCAATGGTTCCATCTGCAAAACCTATTACAACTAGATTCCTGCCATTGAGTTCAAGACAATCCACTCCTCCAGCAGCCACCTCTCTCAGGTCAAGAACCACCTCTGCACACGCAGCCAGGATCCTTAAGGCAACAGCATCGCCAGCTGCCACCCCTAGCCCAGGTGAGCTTGAGACTCGGAACTACTTATTAATTTATGTTTACAATGAATGGACAGCGCATCGTCAAGTCCACCCTAGGAGGCTTATGAAAATAATAAAATAAACGAACTTGAGAATCGGTCAAAACTCACAGCAGTGAGACCTTGAATGGTTGTAGAATAAATACCTGGAAGCATTTCATGAAGGATTGTGGATTTGAGCTCTAGGAAGGCCGTTCATAATGATGGGGCCACCACAAAAAATGCCCTGCTGTTTTCCTAAAGGGTGTGTCCAGGCAACCATAGTAATCCCAATGTGAAAGGGCCTGGCCATGCTTTGATCAGGTGTATAAGCTTTGGCCACTGAGAAACTCATTGTTTCTGTTCACAGTAGAAACTTATGTGCATAGCTCAGATTGGCTAGGAACCATGAGGTTACTAACCCATTTCCCCAATCGTCTCCAGAGCATGGTTACTACATTTTAAAAAATGGGGCAGGGAGGGGGGCATAGGGACATGGTCTGTGACTGACAGAGACCACTGTCTTCCTTTCTCACTCCCAGTCTGCAGCAAATTCAAAGCAGACATTGCCTTTCTGGTGGATGAATCGTCGAGCATCGGCCAAAGTAACTTTGCCAAAATAAAGGACTTCCTCTTCCGCATCGTCTCTTATTTCCCCAGAATTGGGCCTGAAGGTACACAGGTAAAAGCTTCTGTGATGCAGATGTTTGCACAAGTCACTAATAATAATAATAATAATAATAATAATAATAATAATAATAACATTTATTTATACCCCGCCCTCCACGGCCAGAGCCGGGCTCAGGGCAGCTAACACCAATAACATCACAGTAAAAACATAATAGGGGGAAAAGGGAGGGGAAACCAATTTAAAATACAAGTTAAAATGCAATTTAAAATGCAGCCTCATTTTTAAATGGCTGATAAATCAAGACCATAAGGGGAGGGAAACATAAGGGTCAGACTGAGTCCAAACCAAAGGCTAGGCTGAGCAGCTCTGTCTTGCAGGCCCTGCGGAAAGATGTCAAGTCCCACAGGGCCCTGGTCTCTTGTGACAGAGCGTTCCATGAAGTTGGGGCCAGTACTGAAAAGGCCCTGGCCCTAGTTGAAACCAATCTAACCTCCTTGAAGCTCAGGACCTCCAAAGTGTTGTTATTTGTGGACTTACAAACAACAAGCCTGCTGAATCAGGCCAGTGACCCATCAGTCCACCATCCTGCAGCTGACCACATGCCCGTGTGGAAATCTGCAATCTCTGCATGAGCACAGCAGCACCCTGCCCTCCTGAAGTTCAGAATTGATGTGATATGATGCCTCTGGCCATTTACACGGCGGGGGCTCCGTATCACCAGAGGCGAAGCAACTTGCTCCAGTACCCGGACTGGTTTGGTGCACGTCCCGGGGGGTGCACGGCACGTGGTGCGCACCTTGGGGGGTGCCGCCAATCGGGGGTTGGCATTTTGTCAACCCCCCCCCCTTGGAATGGTACCCGGAGCGAGCCGCACCCCCCGGAACGCCCCTGCCCATCGTCTCCTTTTTCTGCAACTAGGAATGGAAAGATCTGTGGGTTCTACGGGTTGGTTGGGTTGGAAGGGGCTGACTGTCAGGAGTTCAGCCTACACTCGAGTAGGACCCTGGCAGAGACACATTCCCGACTGGCATGTTCTCTCCCTCCTGGTGGATCGTTCGGGAGCTTCATAAGCTTTCTTCAGCCCAAACATCACAGCGACCGATGCCAACCGACGCCAGCACACTTAGGGATTCTCAGAGTTTGCGCAGTTGCATAACAGACCTCAGCAACTCAGCATTTTGGCTAATCTACTTTATTTACATATAAACACACAGGGAGCACTGCAACATGGCTCCCTCTCTCTCTAGCATCAGACAGCAAAGAGAGAAAGAGCAAAGGACAATAGTGTTGGATAAAAGCAGCAATGCAAAAGCCAGCAGCAGGTGGCTGGAAAGCAAAACAGGATGTTGTTGTCTGCAGATGTACTGTTGGAGAAAAGGGGGAGTCTTTTCTCTGTACTGAGCACCGGATGTTAGCTCAGAGTGTCATCTGACCTGTACAGGGGTGGAGCTGTGACTCTTCTGATGGAGTCTGAAGGGTGCAGTCACGTTTCTATGTACTGCTGAATGACAGGAATAAAAAGACATGTAAATAGACTCCTGTCTGTCTCATTTCCCCTCCTGGGGGGAAAGCAAGGAGAGAAAAGCAGAGGGTGTGTTCTTCTCACATCTAATGAGGAGAATCGCCGATTTACAACCTAGTCTGCCGGGAGACGCAGACGGAAGGTAAACAAGTATCTCACTCAGTTCGCCTCGGGGGAGGCCAGTAACCTCTGACTGTGAGCTGAGATACTGACAAATAGTCGCACTTCACGGAACACAGTAACACAAACATCCTGTCTCCGTCACTTCCCACTCTGTGGAGTCAAAATATACCATCATGTGAAAGACAACAATCCCATGACTGCAATCATGGAGCAGGAATTCTAACACTGACATCTCCCTCTGTTGAGCCCAAGAGATCTCCGCTGGCCTCCACCTGTGAAGTAACACAAGCATCACTCTTTCCGCACGGAGGTCCCGCCGAAAATACAGGGTGCAGAAGGACTATAAGTGGGCTTCCTGGTAGTGGCAGCCCATGCAAAGCTCTGGAACGTGGGTGTTCCGGGTGAAGGCAGGAAATGGCTCTATTTAGCCCCCTTCACCTGGACTCAGTCGCTCCACCAGCTGCAGGCTACCATAGACCTGAGCAGGCTTTCGCCTGCCCCTCTTCCCAGTTGCCATGAGGAATGGGGCTGTGGGATGAGGGCCATAACATGTTGGAAATGTAAGGGTGTAGATGGAGGGTGTAGATGGTGGTTGGAGGATGGATGGTGGCTAACAGATTGAGGTTGAATCCTGACAAGACAGAAGTACTGTTTTTGGGGGACAGGAGGCGGGCAGGTGTGGAGGACTCCCTGGTCTTGAACGGGGTAATTGTGCCCCTGAAGGACCAGGTGCACAGCCTGGGTGTCATTTTGGACTCACAGCTGTCCATGGAGGCGCAGGGCAGCTGTCTACCAGCTCCATCTGGTACGCAGGATGAGACCCTCCCTGCCCGTGGACTGTCTCGCCAGAGTGGTGCATGCTCTGGTTATCTCCCGCTTGGACTACTGCAATGCACTCTACATGGGGCTACCTTTGAAGGTGACCCGGAAACTACAACTAATCCAAAAAGCAGCGGCTAGACTGGTGACTGGGGGCAGCCGCCAAGACCACATAACACCGGTCTTGAAAGACCTGCATTGGCTCCCAGTACGTTTCAGAGCACAATTCAAAGTGTTGGTGTTGACCTTTAAAGCCCTAAATGGCCTCGGTCCAGTATACCTGAAGGAGCGTCTCCTCCCCCATCGTTCTGCCCCGACACTGAGCTCCAGCTCCGAGGGCCTTCTGGCGGTTCCCTCATTGCGAGAAGCAAAGCTACAGGGAACCAGGCAGAGGGCCTTCTCGGTAGTGGCACCCACCCTGTGGAATGCCCTCCCATCAGATGTCAAAGAGATAAACAACTACCTGACATTCAGAAGACATCTTAAGGTAGCCCTGTTCAGGGAAGTTTTTAATGTGTGACATCTTAGTGTATTTTGGGTCTTTGTGGAAGCTGCCCAGATGGGCGGGGTACAAATAATAAATTATTATTATTATTATTATTATTATTATTATTATTATTATTATTTTATTTTATGTGGTGGACTTGTGATAAAGTAAAAACATTTCGGGAATCGATCTACAATGAACTAAAGAAGATGCTTAGATATTCATTTCCCAAAAAACACAAGCTTTTTTGCTAGGCTTGATGGGAAATGAGATTATGAAGATAGATCAAAGACTATCCATGTACGCCACAGTCGCAGCGAGGATTTTGTTGGCCTAAAAATGGAAATTACAAGAAATTTGGGAGTTGGCCAAACTGACTTGCAGGATCTGAGACCAGGACGAAATTCCAGAGAGACTGGAGTAAATTTATTGTATATTTAAATGATAACTGTAAAAAAATTGAAGACACTAGCAGGACTGAAGTAAATCCTACAATGTAGAGATATTGTAAAGAGTTATAATGCGCGATTGGATTTGATATGGGATACTGGTTGAAGGGAAGGAGGGAAGTCGTAAGCTCGGCAGAGCAAAAAAGTTTATATGTTGATTAATGTGTTGTTTGAAAAAGTGTTTAAGGAAAAATAATAAAAATTTATATATATATTTAAAAAAGAGGAATGGGGCTGTGGATCCTGCCCTGCCCTCCTGCCCTGCCACTGTCTGCTTGGGTTTTTTTTTTTTGGAGGGGGGTTTGCTCTGTTAGTTGCTGGGGTCAGCAATTGTACGGTCAATTTTAGGAACCGCTGCTTAGCTGACCTTGGCTGGCTCTGCTGGCGAAATGGGAATGCTTGCAATCAGAATGGTTTTTCCTTCTGTTCCTTTTTTTCTGGCTAAACTCAGATGCTTCTTTCGCTTTCTCGTGCTAGATTGCTGTAGCTCAGTACAGCGAGGAGCCCAGGACGGAATTCCACTTTAACCGTTATAGGGACCGGAACGGCGTTTTGAAAGCTCTCAAGAGACTCCGCTATGCTGGCGGAAACACAAAAACCGGTGAGTATTGCACCGTCCAGTGTTTTCTTTGTTAAAAAATTATTTTGTACGTTTATGTTGTAAACCGCCCTGAGATCTGTGAATGAAGGGTGGCATACAAAATAAATAATAATAATAATAATAATAATAATAATAATAATAATAATAATGTTTATATGGCTTTAGTAGAAATGTTATTAAGAATTAAGTAAGAATGGATTGATTATGGGTAAAAGTGTAAAATTCAAGGCTAAATTGCGTTAAGATAAATTATGGAACTAAACTTGAGAAAGAGGGAAAGGACTTGCTGAAACAACTAATTGAACTAGAATACAAAAAGGGAGGTGTGAGGAAGTCAAGGAAACAAGCAAATGAAAGATAAGGACATGAAAATACTGGGTTTTTTTCTTTTTTAAATGTTTTTGCTTTTTAAATGTTTTTTGTTTTTTCTTTCTTATGTACTGGAACTGTTGTTTTTTACTGTTTTTTTTTTCTTTTTTTTATCTACTTTTGAAATTTTGTAATCTTTTATTGTTTGTTTTTCTTTTTTCTGTATTTGTTAAACCCTAATAAATATTTTTTTAATAATAATAATAATAATAATAATAATAATAATAATAATAATTACCTGGTTGAATTGATGACCACCACCTCTCCTGAAATTTCAATTCTCTAGGCAATCTCTAATGTCTAACCCTGGTCCAGAGGAAAAACAAAAATTGATTGTAGAAGTTGCTGGACCCCTTCTCCTGCCACCAATACCACCACCAAAATTGCCCTTGAAGGAGAACATATTTAGTGAGCTGGTATCTTCCTCCTCGGGAAAATCAGTTTTGAGTAGAAAAAAGGGAAAGGGTTAAGTAGCCCTGCTCTTCTGCTCCTGAGCGTTATATCACCAACAGGGGACCTCGGGCCTAAACAGTCCCACCAATCCATTTTGGCCACACCCACTTGCCCTATAACTGCCCTCATATCTGATGTGGGGCAGGTAAAACTGTGGCTGAGCCAAAAGGGGCTTTGCAGGCACTGCCAATCAGCTGGTTGTTGGTGCCTGCAAAGCGTCTTTCAAAATGCCGTGCGAAGTTTAGACATTGTATTTCATTTTAAAAACAAACCCTGGGATGCTACTGTGAAGTTAGCATATATGAGAGAGTGCTGGAGGGAAAATAGTTAAATAGGTTGCACAGACAGGAGCCAGGGGGGTGGAGTCAGTGGGTCTATAAAACTAGTTCTGGGAGGAGTTCGTTGGGAGTTGTGGGTGGGTAGTTGGTTGGATTTCGTGGGTTGGCTGGTTGGGAAAGGCAGTTGGTAATAGAGAAACAGTTAGGGCAGTGGGTTCTTGAGTGTGGGGAGGTAGAAGAGATAGAGAGAGGAAAATACAGTGGTGCCTCGCAAGACGAAAATAATCCGTTCCGCGAGTCTCTTCGTCTAGCGGTTTTTTCGTCTTGCGAAGCAACCCTATTAGCGGCTTAGCGGATTAGCGCTATTAGCGGTTTAGTGGCTTAGCGGCTATTAAAGGCTTAGCGGCTTAGCGGCTAAAAGGCTATTAGCGGCTTAGCGGCTTAGAAAAAGGGGGGGCGGAAAAAAAATCGCAAGGCTAGCAAGACGTTTTCGTCTTGCGAAGCAAGCCCATAGGGAAATTCGTCTTGCGAAGCAACTCAAAAACGGAAAACCCTTTCGTCTAGCGGGTTTTTCGTCTTGCGAGGCATTCGTCTTGCGGGGCACCACTGTAAGACTAAGAAAGTAAAGAGCAACAATGTTTGGAATGCTGTAAAAGTTTTGTTTGTGTCTGAAATAAAATACACTCTTCTTTATTAATTGAAAAGCTGACTGAGACTGAAGTGATTTTACCAGGGAGGACCTGGTTGGTGGCAGCGGATTAGTGGTGTACGGGTCAATAGTCCGTGAGACGACCGAGGGCTCCGTACGAACGTCACAGCTACAACCTTCTCTTGCTTCCAAACAGGAAAAGAAATGGGGATTTGGCACATTTCTAGAGAAAGAGCAGGTCTCTTAGAAAATTAAACAGGGCTTCAGGACTCTGTACCTGTTCTTGCACTCTCTCAAGTTCCCACAGACCCCTTCTTGCTCGCTTCCATGTCACTGTAACACTCTCTGCCCCATTTTCTGTTCTTTCTCACAGGTAGGGCCATCGGCTATGTCTTGAAAGAGATCTTCCAAGCCTTCAAGGGGATGAGGCCCTCTGTGTCCCGCACCCTGGTGCTGCTGACGGATGGGCCATCTCAGGACGATGTTGTGCCCCCAGCCAAAGTGGCCCACCTTATAGGTAAAGCTGTGGGTCTGAGACAATCTGGACTCTGGGCTTCCCATAAGCGGAGTCTTCCCCAGCTGGAAGATGAAGTGCCTTAGCTCAGTGCGTGGAGCTCTTGAGCATCTGCTTGGCATGTAGAAGGTCCTAAATTTGATCCCCGTCATCTTCAGGTAAGGCTGGGAATGTCCCCTGCCTGAATCCCTGGAGAGCCATTGCCAGTCAGTGTAGACCAGGGTTTCCCAAACATGTGTCTCCAGCTGTTTGGGGACTACAATTCCCATCATCCCCAACCACTGAGCCTCCTAGCTAGGGATGATGGGAGTGGTAGTTCGAAAATAGCTGGAGACCCACGTTTGGGAAACACTGGTGTAGACTGATCTACAATTAATAAAAAAAAGAGAGGAGAAAAATCAAACCTTTTGTTGTTGTTTAGTCGTTCAGTTGTGTCCGACTCTTCATGACCCCATGGAGCAGAGCATGCCGGGCACTCCTATCTTCCACTGCCTCCTGCAGTTTGGTCAAACTCATGCTGGTAGCTTCGAGAACACTGTCCCACCATCTCGTCCTCTGTCGTCCCCTTCTCCTTGTGCCCTCCATCTTTCCCAACATCAGGGTCTTTTCCAGGAAGTCTTCTCTTCTCATGAGGTGGCCAAAGTGCTGGAGCCTCAGCTTCAGGATCTGTCCTTCCAGTGAGCACTCAGGGCTGATTTCCTTCAGAATGGATCAGTTTGATCTTCTTGCAGTCCACGGGACTCTCAAGAGTCTCCTCCAGCACCAGAATTCAAAAGCATCCAGTCTTCGGCAAAAATACTCTGGTTTCACCTCAGATCGTATAAAAATCAAACCTACAATTTTTTAAAAAGGATTTTGAAAGCTTAATGTTTTTAAACTATTATAGCTTTGCTCAGAGATACCACAGGGCGGAATCTGGAACTTTTAGCATGCAAAGTGGTTGCTCTGCTACTGTCTCTGGTGATCCCACTCTCAATACAAATTCCCTATACCTTGTCCATGGCTGCTTCAAGGAGGTTTTATAATGTGTGCATTTAAGGTAGACAAATTCCTTAGTTACAATTCAATAAGTATTGTCACACGTCACCCCAATCTCCAAGCAGTGTGACATTCCAGGGGTGCTTACCCAGAGATTGTGTTTCCTTCCGAATGAGGCATAGCGAAGACTGTGGCGTCTCTGTGATATAGGGCTTATTTACACATATATACCACCTGAGCCTGGGACGTGGGTGGCGCTGTGCTCTAAACCACTGAGCCTCTTGGGCTTGCCGATCGGAAGGTCGGCAGTTCGAATCCCCGCGATGTGGTGAGCTCCTGTTGCTCGGTCCCTGCTCCTTCCAACCCAGCAGTTTGAAAGCATGTCGAAGTGCAAGTAGATAAATAGGTACCACTCCGGTGGGAAGGAAAATGGCATTTCCATGCACTGCTCTGGTTTGCCAGAAGCGGCTTAGTCATGCTAGCCACATGACCCGGAAAAAACTGTCTGCGGACAAACACTGGCTCCCTCGGTCAGTAAAGCGAGATGAGCGCTGCAACCCCAGAGTCGTTCACGACTGGGCTTAACTGTCAGGGCTGCTTTACTTTTACCTTTCTACCATCGGAGCCTATGATGGAGCCGTCCGCAGCGTTGACACCTCAAAAATGTCCTGCTTCTCCTTTAGCAGCAGCCTTGGATTCTGGTAGAAATCAGGCATGGCTCTGTCTCTTAGCTGCCCAGTCTGTTTCTTTCTTCCAGCTTCTAGCTCACCCTTGCCCCCTGGCAAAGAGCCTAATAATAATAATAATAATAATAATAATAATAATAATAATAATAATTTATTATTTATACCCCGCCCATCCGGCTGGGTTTCCCCAGCCACTCTGGGCGGCTTCCAACATGCAATAGTCCGTCAAACATTAAAAGCTTCCCTAAACAGGGTTGCCTTCAGATGTCTTCTAAAAGTCTGGTAGTTGTTTTTCTCTTTGATATTTGGTGGGAGGGCGTTCCACAGGGTGGGTGCCACTACCGAGAAGGCTGGACCTCAGTGTCCTGGTAGAACAATGGGGGTGGAGATGCTCCTTCAGATATACTGGACTGAGGCCATTTAGGGCTTTAAAGGTCAGCACCAACACTTTCAATTGTGCTCGGAAACGTGCTGGGAGCCATTGTAGGTCTTTCAGGACTGGTGTTATGTAGTCTCGGCGGTCACCAGTGTAGCTGCCGCATTCTGGATTAGTTGTAGTTTCCGGGTCACCTTCAAAGGTAGCCCCACGTAGAGCGCATTGCCGTAGTCCAAGCGGGAGCTAACTAGAGCATGCACCACTCTGGTGAGACAGTCCGCGGGCAGATAAGGTCTCATCCTGTGTACCAGATGGAGCTGGTAAACAGCTGCCCTGGACACAGAATTGACCTGCGCCTCCATGGACAGCTGTGAGTTCAAAATGACTGCCAGGCTGCACACCTGGTCCTTCAGGGGCACAGTTACCCTATTCAGGACCAGGGAGGCCTCCACACCTGCCCGCCCCCTGTTCCCAAAAAACAGTACTTCTATCTTGTCAGGATTCAACCTCAATCTGTTAGCCACCATCCATCCTCCAACTGCCCCCAGACACTCACACAGGACCTTCACCGCCTTCACTGGTTCTGATTTGAAAGAGAGGTAGAGCTCTCCTTGTTCCCTGAATGACCCACACTTAGTGGACCTTTACCAGGCTGGCCTATTCCAGCAATTGAATCTGGGCAGGATCCAGGAATGACAAGCGGGGCTCAGGCTACCCCCCGCGACTCATCATAATATTTCCTCCCTCTCCAGGGATCCGCGTGATCGCTGTGGGCATTTCGGGGGCTGACCCGGAAGAACTGAAAAGAGTCTTGTTGCATCGGAACTTGAACAACCTCTTCTACGCTGGCACTTTTGACGATCTCCCGCTGATCCTCAAGGAGCTCATAGAAACCATTTGCTCTGGGTCCCAGCAAGTTCTTGCCAAGCCACAGGAGAGTGGGGTGAGGGTCTTTCTCCTTGATCAGCATCTAGTTCTTCGTCTTGCATTTCCTCTGGAGGTCTTTTAAAGGGTAGGTTGACCAGATCCGAAAAGGAGATGGGGAACACGTACCTTCTGTTTGCTCAGAAGGGGGGAATTTGGCAAATGTGGTTTATTCTTCAGGGATGAGAACAATTAACTATAATAATAATAATAATAATAATAATAATAATAATACTATAATAATAATAATTTATTATTTATACCCTGCCCTTCTGGCTGGGTTTCCCCAGCCACTCTGGGCGGCTTCCAACAGAATATTGAAATACAATAACCTATTAAACATTAAAAGCTTCCCTAAACAGGGCTGCCTTCTGATGCCTTCTAAAAGTCTGGTAGTTGTTTCTCTCCTTGACATCTGGTGGGAGGGCGTTCCACAGGGCGGGCGCCACCACCGAGAAGGCCCTCTGCCTGGCTCCCTGTAACTTGGCTTCTCGCAATGAGGGAACTGCCAGAAGGCTCTCAGAGTTGGACCTCAGTGTCCGGGCAGAACGATGGGGGTGGAGACGCTCCTTCAGATATACTGGACCGAAGCTGTTTAGGGCTTTAAAGGTCAACACCAACACTCTGTGCATAGAGCTTTAAAGGTCGAAACCCAAATGCACTTGAGGGATTTGGGTCTTTTGGCAGGGAGTGGGGGGTGGCGGCACAGAATCAGTGTGTAGATTAGGGCTCAATATGTCCCTTGAGGAGTGAGCTGGGAGCCAGGAACTGGGAACTGTGAGATGCAGTCAGTCGTCATCCTGCTGTCAGAAAAGGACAGCGATATGAAGAGGAGGAAAAGACTCTGTGAGGAAAAGACTCTGTGAAGCATGGATTGGCAGGTGTCCACAGAGGCCTTCATTGGCACCTCTGCCCCCGCTGGAATTAGCCTTGAAAGAAGCATTTCCTTGTAGCCAATGGAAGAAGTTATACTTTGTGTGAATTTTGTGAATTTGTGAATTTTGTGAATATGTGAATTTTGGAATAATATCTACAACGAATTCAAGAAATTATTTAAATTTACTGTTAAAAAAGACCAGAGATTTTTTTATTAGGAATATTACCAATAGAAGTTAAAAACAACACAAGACCACTGTTTATGTACGCAATTATGGCGGCAAGAATACTTGTAGCAAGAAGATGGAAAAGTGAAACAGCACCAACAATAACAGATTGGCAGACACTTATGATAGAGTATCTCCAACTGGCAAAGCTGACGGGAAAAGTCAGGGGAGTTTTAAACCAGAAAACATACGGAGAATGGAAAAATATTTAAGGAATATACAAGATTATATTGCAAAAATGATACCATCTTAGCAGAATTAGAATGATACCTGCCAATAATAGATAAATGATACAAACATTATAGTGGGATGTATGAAAAAGGATATAAAACAAAACTGTGTGATAATACCATGAAAACAGAAAAAGTATAATGAGAAAGATTGGAAGTTTTTTGCAAAATAAAATAAAATTATTTGATAGATATAATGTCATATAAATCTTTGCCCCCCCTTTATATCATTTTTTTGTCTTTGTTACAAAATTTTTCTTTTTCCCCTCTTTTCTTTTTTGCATTTAAATCTGAAATCCTTGCCTTTGCTGTATGTTTGTATCTTTGTATTTTAAACCAATAAAGATATATTTTTTTTTTAAAAAAAGGGAAGAGGTTATACCTCAACTGCCTTTGGCCAGCCTAACCCAACGTTCTTTGTGCTCAGATTTCCAGCAAGGAGATGAACAAGGTGGAAGGGCTTGTGGATGCAAAGAGGGCGGTACCCGTCTCCAGTTCCTCTGCAGTTCCCCTGATGGTTCAGACCCCTCAAGGACCCTGTGACCCACGGTGCTCAAAAGTAAGCCAGCCAGTGATTCAATACAGCAGGGTATCCCTAACTCCACCCCACCCCACCCCCCACCCCAAGGACCACGTGGAAAATTGCTGAGGGGAGATGGCAGGGAGCTTGGCTGCCTGTTGTAGCAATTGCAATGCACTGTGCTAGACGCTGCACGGTTTTGAATTTGAATTTTTCTTGCTTTCTTTATTCTGCATTGCATGCATTTTGTTGTATTCCGTGGAATTCTAATATATAAGATGTTAAAAGAAGCAACGATGATGCAATATCTATATATTGAAAAACAATATGAATTTTAGTTCTCTCTGACTAACTCTGTCTTTCGTTCTGCTAATCCACTCCTTTTAAATTACTTCCTCTCTTCCCTGCCCACCTTCTTGTTACTTTTCTTTTCTTATAATTTTATAATTTTATTTAGCATAATTATTACAAAATACAAGCAAAACATTGCAAACACATACATACACACTTCAGATAAGCACACACATAAAAAAACACAAAAGAAAAAAGGAAGAAAAGAAAAAAGAAAAAGAAAAAACAAGGAGAAAAAGAACAAGAGAAGTTGGACAAGAGAGTCCAAAATGACTCCCAGGCTGCGTACCTGGTCCTTCAGGGGCACAGTTACCCCATTCAGGACCAGGGAGTCCTCCACACCAGCGCGCCCCCTGAATGCAAGTTGTATATGGTGAATGTGACATTTTTATGAGATGAGAAATGGGATGGGAAGAAAAATTATCATTCTATATTTATTTATACCTGCCGTTTCCCCCGGATGGGAATAAGATGACCCCTGAAAAAAGGGAACGAGGAAGACACACTTATTAAGCGCAGCGTGGGCAGAATGGAAAGCTGTGTGAGCAACAGAGACGTTTGCAAAACTAGTGGCGAAAAACAGAATAGGTGAAAGGAGTTGAATAGAAAGGGAAATTGGACGGGCTGGGAGAGGGACAAAGACTGATACCAATTACGATGAAGAGGCAATTCAGTTGTTGGCATCCGTCTGTCTCGGGAGATGATAGGGCACATTCTAAGAAATGGGATGGAGAGAGGGAGGTTTGTCCGAGATGTAATTGCAGGGAAATTGGAAAGAAGAATATGCCGTTGCACAAAGCAAGTTGGGAAATGGAGATAAAGTGTAGATACAGGCAGCTGCCTACAGATTAAAATGCACGAGACCAGAAAAATGAGGGAGAGGTGGGCAGAGCAATCCTAATTATACGGAGGGTAAAATCATACATCATTGCTATGCCAGTGGAACAATCGCTGTAACGTAAATGTATTGGATGGGAAACTTGGGCCCGGAGTCTAATGCTTCTCTTCAAATATTTCCATTCCAGATCTCTGTAACTAAGAATTAGTTCCTGTGGTCGATTTCCTCCTCTTCCCTCCTAGTTCCCTTTCCTTTTGTGTTGCGTCTCTTATACTGCAAACCTGAAGTCAGAGTCTCATTAATACTTGAAGGCCACTCTGGGAGCCTTTTTTGGCTGAAGGGTGGAATAAAATAAAGGCCTAATAACAACAGCAACAATAATAATTGCTGTTCTCTGTTTGCAGGCGCAGAAAGGCGAGAAGGCAAGTATTATAACTTGATCAGGGTTTTTGGGGTTGTGGTTTTTGTTTGTTTGTTCTGGATTCACAATGTTTGGAAGCACCAGAGGCTAAACAGATAACCTGTTTACAGAATGCAGATTATGAATTAAGACTCTGGACTAGAAATATTTAGGATACTGTAGCTGTAACATTAGTTATGAGATCACCCAGCTGTTCTTAAACTGATCTGGGGAAACGAGTGCTCCTAAATACCTTTCCAGGCCCTCGCTGAAGCCATAAATAAATAATAAATAAATAAATAAATTGTTATTTATACCCCGCCCTTCCTGGTTCAAAAAACGGGCTCAGGGCGGCTAACAACAAATTTAAAACACTTAATTGTAAAAGCAGCATAAAATACAGTATAAAAGCATGAATAACAATAAAATTCAAAGTTCAGAAATCAATTTAGGGGAAGTTCATTTAATAAGCATTAGATAATCCCCAGGGCTAGCTGGCTGAATTAGTCCTACTTGGGCCAGCGAGGAGACCAGGGGAGAATTAGCTGTGGGATCCCAGAGCGGGTAATCTTCATAAAAGGGGAGGGGGAGGGAAGAGAAGGGAAATAAAAGATCAGGCTGAATTCAAATTAAAGGCCAGGTGGAATAGCTCTGTCTTACAGGCCCGATGGAAGGAGGTTAAATCCTGCAGGGCCCTGGTCTCATGGGACAGAGCATTCCACCAGGTCGGAGCCATCACTGAAAAGGCCCTGGCCCTGGTGGAGGATAGTCAAACTTCCTTAGGGCCTGGGACCTCTAAACTATTGTTATTCATGGACCTTAAGGTCCTCTGCGGGGCAGACCAGGAGAGGCGGTCCCATAAATACAAGGGCCCTAAGAAGCAACAACTTCAAATGAGCCAGAGCCTGCCCTACAGGCCGAAGAGACAAGCAGCTTTTCCGCACAATAAATTATGTACTGCTCAAACGGAAACGTGGCTTGCCTCTTCAGCAATACAAGAGGCTGCAATGGAAAGCCCAGACAGTTAAAAGGATGGTGACTGGAAACCATCCTGGAGGGAAGAATCGGGGTTCCATTGTGAGAGGCATTTAGGCAAAGGGTTGTGTTGCTGCTGTCAGGGGACAGGATCCCATGGGCTCCTTTAAAGCTGCTGAGACAGATCTCACGCCTCCTTCTGAGCAACTTCTTGCTTGGATTGAGCTGTTCCTGGTCTGACAGCCTGTGAATCCAACTGAATTGCCCCCAGGCCCTACTCTGAAAGGCTGATGCCGCAGAACTAATTCCTCCCATAAAAATGCCCTCGGTTCCTATGACTAAACATCAGGAAGTACTTTCTGATAGTAGGAGCTCTTCTGCAGTGGAAAAGTCTCCCTCAGAAGGTTGTGGTCTCTCCTTCCTCTACAGTTCTACATTTCTATGAATCTATTTTTTTTTTTTGCATATAAACTTTATTACAAAAAATTAGGGTATGCATCCCTGTTTAGGGAAGTTTTTAATGACTGGTGTTTTAATGTATTTTTAACCTTCTGTTGGAAGCCGCCCAGAGTGGCTGGGGAATAAATAAATAAATTAATAATAATAATATTGTTATTTTCCATCCAAAATATACATAGATAAATAAATGTTGGGAAAGATGGAGGGCACAAGGGAAAGATGTTAGGAAAGATGGAGGGCACAAGGAGAAGGGGACGACAGAGGACAAGATGATTGGACAGTGTTCTCGAAGCTACCAGCATGAGTTTGACCAAACTGCGGGAAGCAGTGGAAGACAGAAGGGCCTGGCGTGCTCTGGTCCAAGGGGTCACGAAGAGTCGGACACGACTAAACGACAACAAGATTGTATTTGTCCAATATATCCATATATCTGAAGAAGTGGGCATGCACACGAAAGCTTATACCAAGAAGAAACTTAGTTGGTCTCTAAGGTGCTACTGGACAATTATTTTTATTTTTATATATATTTCAACTGCATCAGACCAACACGGCTACCCTACCTGAATCTAGATCCATAATTTATGTCACTTTGCAGGAGACATTCGAAGCCTGCCAGAGATTTCAAATATTTGCAATGATCTTTTAAATATTGTCTATATTTGTATTACATTTTTGGTCGTCGTGGTTTCTAACTTCTCCTGTTAATCTTGCCATCTCAGCATATTCGAATAATTTTGTCTGCCAATCTATTTTAGATGGTATCTTATCTCCTTTCCAATGTTGGGCTAGTAATGTTCCCACAGCTGTGGTTGCGTGTATAAATAGCATTCTCAATTCCTTCGCTGTATCTACGCTTATAATACCTACATTTCTATGAACCTATGTCTTTTCTCATTTTCCTTCCTTGCCCAGGGAGACCAAGGCCCACCTGGAGATGTGGTAAGTGATGTTCCAGTAGGTTGGGGAAGGAGTTTTGTCTTTTTAAGGCCCACGGAAGAGACCTCACAGGCACAACACGCTTTCTGTTAGCACCATGCTTGTGTCTGCTGAGGTTGGGTTGAGATTCCCCTCTAGAACGGAGCTCCAGAAGAACCTAGGACTTCTGCCACAAGGATGGAGAAGCTGAGCATCTCCAGATGTTGCTGATCTCCAGTTCCTATCAGCCTTGAACAGCATGGCCAATAGTTAGGAAAGATGGGAGATGTAGCCCAATGGCATCTTCACAAATCACTTACTGTTGGGTTTTTTGACTACCTGCCATTCTGTGCAGCTTCACACAGAGTCAATTAAGCACTGGCCGAAAGCCAAGGATGACTGAGCAGAGAGGAGTTATCTGCCTAGAGATATGGGACCTTGGAAACAGCTCTGCAATTGGTTGAGGTCTCACACAGGCATGATGTCTCATAACCTTACTGACAGGAGTGTGTGTTGGTCAGTGTGGAGTCTGAGAGTCATTTGGAGTTTGTTAAGAGAGAGCTAGCTAAGATCCATATCTGTTCATGTACCGTATTTTTTGCTCTATAAGACTCACTTTTTCCCTCCTAAAAAGTAAGGGGAAATGTGTGTGAGTCTTATGGAGCGAATGCAGGCTGCGCAGCTATCCCACAAGCCAGAACAGCAAGAGGGATTGATTGCTGCTTTCACTGTGCAGCGATCCCTCTTGCTGTTCTGGCTTCTGAGATTCAGAATATTTTTTTCTTGTTTTCCTCTTCCAAAAACTAGGTGTGTCTTGTGGTCTGGTGCGTCTTATAGAGCGAAAAATATGGTATATAGTAACTTGTAGGTAAAGGTAAAGGGACCCCTGGCCATTAGGTCCAGTCGTGGCCGACTCTGGGGTTGCGGCACCCATCTCGTTTTATTGGCCGAGGGAGCCGCCGTACAGCTTCCAGGTCATGTGGCCAGCATAACTAAGCCGCTTCTGGCGAACCAGAGCAGCGCACGGAAACGCCATTTACCTTCCTGCTGGAACGGTACCTATTTATCTACTTGCACTTTGACGTGCTTTTGAACTGCTAGGTTGGCAGGAGCAGGGACCGAGCAATGGGAGCTCACCCCTTCGTGGCGATTTGAACCGCCGACCTTCTGATCGACAAGTCCTAGGCTCTGTGGTTTAACCCAGAGCGCCACCCGCATCCCTTTTAGTAACTTGTAGAGTCTGCTGTAAATAATAAACACCTCTAAGTAACCAAGTTACTAGTAGCAGCGTCTTGTTCCTGCTTCGTCCATCCTGCCTGCAACTGATTGCTTTCTGGAGCTCTGTGTATGCTCTGCTAAGGTCTGGCTAAGGTCCTGCAACAGGTCAGAGTTGCAAAACGCCAATACTTACAGCCCTGCATTTTCAAATTATCTGGAAGGCATATCAGTGCTGTTGAATATGCAGGAAAGGACACCATACACTAAATACTGGGCGCGGGTGGCGCTGTGTTCTAAACCACTGAGTCTCTTGGCCTTGCTGATCGGAAGATTGGTGGTTCGAATCCCCGCAACGGGGTGAGCTCCCATTGCCCTGTTCCAGCTCCTGCCTACCTAGCAGTTCAAAAGCATGCCAGTGCAAGTAGATAAATAGGTACCACTGCGGCGGGAAGGTAAACAGCCTGGATTTGGTTGCCTTATTAGTAAACTCGAACAACACCAGGCGGGTTGGGGGCTGCCAGGGTCCCCACCCTGCTGTATACAGTCTGTGTTGGAAATGCAATCGACTTCTAAAAAGCAGATGTCTTGACCTTGGGGAGCAGGGAGGAGAATGAGGAGGAGAACAGCATCTTGAATGACACTCCTTTTCTGACTTTCCTTTCCAGAGCTTCACGGGTCTTCGCACAGGAGGGGGCTACGACCCGTTTAGTTTCACCACCAAGGGGGAAAAAGGAGAGCGGGTAAGTGAGGGAACAGGCTGGGTTTTGCGTCAACACGTGGACACACGAGTGCCGGGCCTTTTCTGTAGTGGCTCCCTGTTTGTGGAATGCTCCCCTCTCCCCAGGGAGATTCACTTGGTGCCTTCATTATATATATTTAAAACATTCCTCTCCAACCAGGCCTTTGGGCTGATTAATATCCTACAGCCTTTTAAACAGATCTGTGGAAAGGGGATGTTATTGTCTTGTTGTTTTGATTTAATGATTTGCTGTGTTTTATCTTGCATTCTATTCTGCAAACCGCCCTGAGATGTTTTGCCATTGATCTGTAAATGTAACAGTGTAGCCTTATTAGACTTTACCAATTGGTAGGGTGAGCGTTGCTCCCAGAACAGGGAGGAAGGAGTCAAATGACATCGAGGTTTGGTTCAGAGAAAGAGTTTATTCTGCTCTGTGCATCATTGTGGTCAGGTTGTAAGATAAGACCCAGATGTGTCATCCCTGCTCCACTTTGGAACTGGCAAGGCCATTCATTAGGCGTCACAGACTGATAAGGGAGAGAGCTTTGTTTATACAGCTGTGTTCTTGTTATACATTTGCTCAAGAGCTCAAGTTAATGATTTTTAGCTAATGCACCCTTGGAGAAGGAAAAATGGGATTTTGGGGCCCGTTTCAGACTGACTGCACAGTCAGATTTTAGAATGGGAAACCCATTCCTTCAACAGCGTCCTTCAAAATGCTTCCAGCAGCAGCACACATTTTTCGCAAGAGACTCCCTTCCATCTCAACTCTGCTGTTTCCCATTGATATTTAGGGACTTCCTGGCAAAGATGGGATTCCTGGATTGCCTGGCAGGCCTGGACGAACTGGTCCCCCTGGTTCCCCTGGACTCATGGTAGCTATCTGGGTCTGAATTGAAAGCGCCTTTGAAAGGTTTGCCTTATTGTCTCCAGTCTTTGTAACATCCACTATTCTTTCTTGATTGACAGGGTCTCCCTGGCATTCAAGGGGATCATGTAAGTTGGTCGTATGACCCCTTTTCCCAACCAGTGTCCTGCCCTCCCAATTTTTTAAGACAAGCCTGTTAGTCCTTTGGGTGGGCATTTACAGGTTTCCTGCACATTTGCACCGTCTTTTTGCATGTGACCGTTGAGCACCTCTGATTGACTGAGTTAAACTAAGTCAAGCTGTGTCGTTTTATGCTTGCTTATGGGGGAACCTCTGGCAGTGCTTGGCCAGACTGGAATGCTTGGGGAGCGTCGATACAGGATGCTTGAAGTCTGGTTTTTATGAGGGAAGGAAACATTGTCTGGTTTTGTTTGCTGTTGAAACCAAAAGGAGATACAGTGATACCTCAGTTTAAGAACAGTCCTGTTTACAAACAATTCGGTTTACGAACACCACAAAACCAGAGGTAGAATCATAGAATCATAGAATCATAGAGTTGGAAGAGACCACAAGGGCCATCGAGTCCAACCCCCTGCCAAGCAGGAAACACCATCAGAGCACTCCTGACATATGGTTGTCAAGCCTCTGCTTAAAGACCTCCAAAGAAGGAGACTCCACCACACTCCTTGGCAGCAAATTCCACTGTCAAACAGCTCTTACTGTCAGGAAGTTCTTCCTAATGTTTAGGCGGAATCTTCTTTCTTGTAGTTTGGATCCATTGCTCCGTGTCCGCTTCTCTGGAGCAGCAGAAAACAACCTTTCTCCCTCCTCTATATGACATCCTTTTATATATTGGAACATGGCTATCATATCACCCCTTAACCTCCTCTTCTCCAGGCTAAACATGCCCAGCTCCCTTAGCCGTTCCTCATAAGGCATTGTTTCCAGGCCTTTGACCATTTTGGTTGCCCTCCTCTGGACACGTTCCAGTTTGTCAGTGTCCTTCTTGAACTGTGGTGCCCAGAACTGGACACAGTACTCCAGGTGAGGTCTGACCAGAGCAGAATACAGTGGCACTATTACTTCCCTTGATCTAGATGCTATACTCCTATTGATGCAGCCCAGAATTGCATTGGCTTTTTTAGCTGCCACGTCACACTGTTGGCTCATGTCAAGTTTGTGGTCAACCAAGACTCCTAGATCCTTTTCACATGTACTGCTCTCAAGCCAGGTGTCACCCATCTTGTATTTGTGCTTCTCATTTTTTTTGCCAAAGTGCAATACTTTACATTTCTCCCTGTTAAAATTCATCTTGTTTGTTTTGGCCCAGTTCTCTAATCTGTCAAGGTCTTTTTGAAGTGTGATCCTGTCCTCTGGGGTGTTAGCCACCCCTCCCAGTTTGGTGTCATCTGCAAATTTGATCAGGATGCCCTTGAGTCTATCATCCAAGTCGTTGATAAAGATGTTGAATAAGACCGGGCCCAAGACAGAAACCTGTGGCACCCCACTAGTCACTCTTCTCCAGGATGAAGAGGAACCATTGATGAGCACCCTTTGGGTTCGGTAGTAGTAGTGTTCTGGTTTGGGAACTTTACCTCAGTCTACGAACGGAATCCGAACGGTGGAAGGGCACTGGCGGCGGGAGGCCTCATTAGGGAAAGCGTGCCTCAGTTTAAGAACGGTTTCGGTTTAAGAACAGACTACCAGGAATGGATTAAGTTAATAAACCGAGGTACCACTGTATGTGGAAGACAGGCTGAAGGCTGAGTAGAGGTCCCAGGAAGTAGGAAATTTATGGGAAAATAAATTAGGGTTGGCTTTATTGTTAAGCAGAGTGAGGTGATGATGCAGACGGTGGTCTTTCAGAGCCCTCTGGCTGTAGACTTCTGTAGGAGAAGCCATCTTGAAGTAAGATTCATATGCCATCCAGTCAGCTTCTATGCATGGAATGGAGTTAAAGGCCCCATCTTGTCCCTCACCTCAGGCAGTGCATGAGATCTCTTGGTGCCTTCAGATTCTCTGTTTCTGCAGGAACCTAAACCTCCATCCTTTGCTTGGTGTTCTAGGGACCTCCAGGATACCCAGGACCTCCAGGGCCAAAAGGAGATAGAGTAAGTTTCCTGTATGCCTTTTAAATCCTGATGACACAATTGATGTGCGTGTGACTGTGCAAACCATCTTTCTCCGCACGAACCTGCCTGGACCTTAAGATCATCATCTCAGGCCCATCTCCATGTGCCATCTCCAAGTGTGGGACCAAAGGGTGGAAAATAAGTAGTTCTTGTTGGTATCCAACTGTCTTGAAAGACAATGGGGCGTACCTCCAGGGGTGATGCAAAACCGCTGCGTTAGCAGCACCGATGTGACTTCCCTAAGGCGCAAGTTCTCGTGTCATTTCAGAAAATGCAGATCAGGGCTGAATCTAGGCATATATACAAAACACTGTGAAAATGCTTTTAAAACAATGTTTTAAAATATATATTATATATTGAATTTCCCATAAGCTCACCATCGCCCTCTCGTATCGCATTTGTTTTTGTTTTGTTTTTAATTTTTTAATAAATCTTTATTGGTTTAAAATACCAACATACAAACATACAACAAAGTTAAGTATACCAAAGTTAAATACAAAAAGAAAAGATCATCACAACGTAAAAGCAAGAAGAAAAAAAAAGACAAAAGAAGGGGGAAAAGAAATGAGAAAAAAACCCTCAAAGATTTATACGGCATCTTGTCTATCAAATAAAATTTTCAGCATGAAACTTCCAATTGTTCTCGTTATACTTTTTCTATTGTCATGGTATCGCACAGTTTTATTTTATATCCTTTTTCATACATTCGACTTAGGTATTTGTTTCATTTAATTATTGTGTCACATTTGTATAATGCACCTAAAACATGACATTTGCAGCTATATAGCTGAGTCACAGGTAGGTTTGCCTTAAAATGTGAATTGGTTCAAATTTCTTCCCTTCTCCTTTTTTGCCGTCTTGGGTTTCTTTGGTCTTTCCCCATGGAAATAGACCTGTGATCTTCCTGATTAGCAGCATGTAAATGCGGCATCTCCTCTTCTGCAGGGGGAATCGGGATATGTCCTAGGAGGCATGGAGGTCATTCCAGGGCAAAACGGATTACCTGGACCACCTGTAAGTAGGAGCAAAATATTTTGTCCTCCTTAATATTTCTATCACTTGACCCTTCTCCCCAATACATCCTGTTTCCTCTAGAGGCTGGACATGGCTTTGCCCAGACTCTGAATTCAACACAGTTTACTGAACTCCTCTCTCTCCTCCCTCTGACTCTGAGCCCTAGGAGAGTTTATTGCTTCCATCCCTTGCTGGTGGGTCAGATGCCTCGTGTATGGGATGAGAAGAGGCTGCCGCGAGCAGCATGGGTAGTGATGGGGAGCCTCGTAGTGCAACGGAGGCTGTGTTGCTGTTGGGTGGTTGCCAAGAGCAGGTCAGAAATAACTCACGCAGGATCCGTGAACTCTTTATTCAAAGGAACAAACTGCTCAGGAGGCCAGGCGTCCAGTTAGCACAGCAATTCCTCCCAATAGATCTTGCCCCAGTGAGGCCTTCCCACAGTTGCCTAAGTCTCCTCCTCTCCTGGGTCCTTCCCAAGCAATCTGAGACGTCGCCACCTTGTCTGTCTATGCCTTGCCCTCTTCATACCTCTCCTGATGCTGGGAGACCAGGGAGGAAGGGAACTGATCACAGCAGGAGGGGAAGACCTCCTGGGCTTTTTCAGCAGCTTGCCTCCCTCTTGGCCCCCCTTGCCTCCAGCCTCCACTTCTGCCTTGGAGCCTGAACTGCTCTCTGCCACAGACTCTGCCCGCACACTAAACCCTGTTGCCTCTTCAGTTTCCAACACCTCCTCCTCCCAGTCTGCTCCCCCTTCTCCCTCTGACCACCCATTGTTGTCCCAACAATTCCCAGGTTCTGAGCCTTCTTCCCTTGGGGGTTCCCCAGCTGTTATCCTCTGCATCCATGACAGTTGTTCAGATGTTTGGGTTAAACCATTTCAGGGTTACAAGGGGCAGCCAGGAGTTCCCGGAGTGCCAGGACCACCGGGTTTGCCCGGATTCCCCGGACCGCAGGGACCACCTGGATTGTCAGTCAAGGTGTGTATGCGCCTGCAAGCAGGCCAAGGGACGAGATGGTGGGACAGTGTTCTCGAAGCTACCAGCATGAGTTTGACCAAACTGCGGGAGGCAGTGGAAGACAGGAGTGCCTGGCGTGCTCTGGTCCAGGGGGTCACGAAGAATTGGACCCAACAAAACGACTAAACAACAACAAAATGGCTCAGGACCGCAATACCTCCAGGATCCCCTCTTTCCGTATGAACCTACCTGGACCCTGAGATCATCTTCTGAGGCCCTCCTTCATGTGCCTCCTCCTCAAGAGGTTCGGAGGGTGGCAACACAAGAACAGGGCCTTCTCTGCAGTGGCTCCCCGTCTGAGGAATGCTCTCCCCAGGGAAGTTTGCCTGGCACCGACATTATACACCTTTAGGCGCCAGCCAAAACCGTTCCTTTTTAACCAGGCCTTTGGCTGATCCAGTTTACATCCTATGCCCTTTTAAAATGTGTTTTTCGTGGTGGTTGTGGGCGGCTATTGGGTGGTTGTTTTTATTTTATTAGGTATTTTGCTGTTTTATATCTTGATTTTATTCTGTGAACTGCCCTGAGACCAATGGGTATAGGGCAGTATATAAATTCAGTTAATAATAATAAATAATACAACCACCTCCTTTCTCTCTGTTCCAGGGTGAGCCAGGAGACCCTGGGGTCAGGGTAAGTGCCAGGTTGTTTTACCACCCGTTCAAGCTATGCTGTCATGAGAATGTCAGTAGAGCCCGGCTGGTGGAGCAACCCAAAGGGACCCTTCAAATAATCATAGAGTCACAAGGGACTCTGAGGGTTGTTGAGTCTAAGCCCCTGCAATACAAGAATCTCAGCACACGGTCTCCCATCCAGTTTGAAACCATACTGGACGCTGCTTAGCTTTGCAAATGTGCCAGTTGTTTTATTGCTGCGCCACTTGGAGGTCCAGCATCCTGTTCTCACCGTGGCCAACCAGAAGAAGAGGAGTTTGGATTTGATATCCCGCTTTATCACTACCCGAAGGAGTCTCAAAGTGGCTAACAATCTCCTTTCCCTTCCTCCCCCACAACAAACACTCTGTGAGTGGGGCTGAGAGACTGCAGAGAAGGGTGATTAGCCCAAGGTCACCCAGCAGCTGCATGTGGAGGAGCAGGAAAGCGAACCCGGTTCACCAGATTATGAGTCCACCTCTCTTAACCACCACACCACACTGGCTCAAATGGGAAACCCAACAGCGGGAACTGAGCGCAACAGTGCTCTCCCCACTGCGACATTTGGTTGACCCCTTTGAGAAAATGATGCTGGACCAGATGGATCTACCTCGGTCCGACCTGGCACCCAGGCTCTTCTTTCCTTCTTAAGTCACGATTCCCAAAATCAGCGCTGTGGTACCCTCGAGCAATCCTCAGCTCAGATCCCGCGAGAGACCCGCCGTGCGACTGAGGCAACAAAACGGTTCTTTGTTCCCCACAGGGACCTCGAGGGAAGAGTGGCGTCAAGGGAGAGAAAGGAGAAGCGGGAGAATTGGTGAGTGTGACCTTTCAGGGTGCGTTCAGACGATAGGAATTTTGCGATTGTTTTCTAGATGATAATGCCAGCACCCATTTTCCGATGTTCCTTTCACCTTGCAGTACCAGTCATGTGTTGGAACCACAGTTTTTTTTACCAGCAGGCTGTGCTAAATTTCATTCACACCAGTGGTCCTGGTGTGGCACAAACAACAACGATGCTCCTCCCTTTCTGTACATGTTTGCTTCTGCCCCGCCCCCCCAAAAAACAGCAAGAAAGAACCGTATGCCCCAAATTTTGTTACCTGCAATTTTCCAGGTTGAAGGGGCTGCAAACGCCCTCCCCCCAGATTCTAACAACATGGAAACGAGCATTAAACGTGCTGTATTGTTAGCTTTCCAGACGTGGCTTTTGTGTTGTGTGAAAGCTCTGGTCCTAATGGGAAAATTTATGGGAAAATAATTGGAAAGTCACAAATTGTTATGCTTTAAGAGAGAATTTTCTAAAAATGCACCGCCGATGGTACTTAACACCTTGGAAACTCTCAAAGATGTACAAAGGGGTCCCAAGTAATCGTTGGAGATGCGGAGACAAATCAGGTACTCTCTATCACATGTGGTAAAAAGGTAAAGGTAAAGGACCATTAGGTCCAGTCGTGACCCACTCTGGGGTTGTCATCTCGCTTTACTGGCCGAGGGAGCCAGCGTACAGCTTCCGGGTCATGTGGCCAGCATGACTATGCCTCTTCTGGTCAACCAGAGCAGCATAGAGAAACGCTGTTTACCTTCCCGTCAAAGCGGTACCTATTTATCTACTTGCACTTGGATGTGCTTTCAAACTGCTAGGTTGGCAGGAGCAGGGATCGAGCAACGGGAGCTCACCCCGTTGCGGGGATTCGAATTGCCGACCTTCTGATGGGCAAGCCCTAGGCTCTGTGGTTTAACCCACAGCGCCAGCCGCGTCCCTAATCCCACATCACATGTGGTTTCTATGTAATAAAATCCAGGTATCTTGGGAGAGCATCTATTCAGAATTACAAGAAATGTTAAGGATGTCTTTTAACAGAAAACCAGAAGCCTATCTGCTGGGAATTACAGATTTGGATATACCACAAAAAATGAAGGGTATCTTTTTATATGCTACGGTTGCAGCAAGAGTTCTTATTGCTGCAAAATGGAAGAGTGATGAAATCCCATCTATTCATGAATGGATTCAAAAATTGACAGAATATGCAGAGCTAGATAGTTTATCGGGGGGGGGGGAGAATAAGAATTTCTCTCAAAATGGGAGGTCGTTAAAGTATATTTGAAAAATAATTACAGTAGTTTAAACTCTGTCGCAGCATTCGAGTAATTTCAGTAGTAGCTTTAAGAAAGACATCAGATTTAAGATAAATTAAGGATTAGTCAAATTAGGATAAAAGTGTATATTGGCAACAAGCAATATATAATTGAAGTAAGGAATAGACGGCAGGTCGGGTCTATAGTTCAAAGACCAATTTTTGCTTTATGGTTTTGTAAATAATATTGTGTTCATTTTCATTTGTATTATTTCTTCTTCTTCTTCTTCTTCTTCTTCTTCTTCTTCTTCTTCTTCTTCTTCTTCTTCTTCTTCTTTCTTCTTGGTGTACAGTGGTGCCCCGCAAGACGAATGCCTCGCAAGACGAAGAACTCGCTAGACGAAAGGGTTTTCCGTTTTTTGAGTCGTTCCGCAAGATGAATTTCCCTATGGGCTTGCTTCGCAAGACGAAATGTCTTGCGAGTTCTTGCGAGTTTGTTTCCTTTTTCTTAAAGCCGCTAAGCCGTTAATAGCCGCTAAGCCGCTAATAGCCGCTAAGCCGCTAAGCCATTAATAGCCGCTAAGCCGCTAAGCTGCTAATAGCTGTGCTTCGCAAGACGAAAAAACCGCAAGACGAAGAGACTCGCGGAACGGATTAATTTCGTCTTGCAAGGCACCACTGTATCAACAAAAAATCAAATAAGAAAATTATTTAAAAAAGAAAAGAAAGCAAGCCCTGGTCCTGGTTTGCAGGGACTTGACCCTAGATGACCCCTTACCTCCCTCCCACCTCTCCAATTCTGTGGTTCCAAATATGATGCTGAACTAGATCTGGCATTCTAGCAACCTAACCTGAGGGCAGGATTTCTTGTTTCTGCTGCCTTGCCAATCTGCAGCAAACCACCTGACAGCTTTTTCTTGCCCACCTGCTCCAAGCCACAGGTGGGGAGCCTGTGCTCTCCTGAGATTGCTGGACTGCAACTCCCATCATTACTGGCAAGGTGGGGGAAAAGACAATCGTTTGCTTCTGAGTTTGGCCTGGTGCGCAGGTAAAACAGGTGTGGAAACCTTCCCATCTTTCTGAAATATACTCAGAGTCGAGAGTGGATTTCATGCTCTTTATTCAGCTCATAGTGGTGAGGAGGAATCGAAGTTCCCCCAAAATATCTGCTTTATATACATTATTTACACAATGGTCCGCACATGATTGGCTAATTCCGGGATTCTCCTGTCGGCCAATCAGGTTGTGGATTCATTTCCACCTGGAGCTGGATTGGGTGGCTCCTGTGGACCAATCAGAGTGCTGCATTCTGGACCCTATTGTTCTAGGAGCAATCAGACTGCTGCATTCTGCATCCTATTGTTCTAGGACCAATCAGAGTGCTGCCTTTTGGATCCTATTCAACTCAGTACATAACACTTTCCTAATCTATTTTGTATTTTTTTAAAAAAAAATACAGGGAAAAGCTGGCTTACCTGGCCCGATAGGGCTGGATGGTACTCCTGGAGCTTCTGGACCAAAAGGTGAAAAGGTACTGCTTTCATTAGTGTGAAAAGCTGTGGAGAGACCTTCCTGGGAAGATCTGCTGTGTTGGACACAAGCATAAACTGATGGGGACACTTTTTCTCCCTTTGTCGTGACACTAGAATTTGCAGAACACCCAATGGAGCTGGATGTTGGGAGATTTAGAACAGATAAGAGTCTTTCTTCACACAGTGCAAACTATGGAACTCAATCCCTCAGTAGGCAGGGATGGTTTCAGAAGAGGATTTAAATTCATGGAGAGGCCTGTTGATGGCTATGAGCCATGATGGCTACGCTGTGCTTCTGAATGCCAAAGGAGGGGAGAGGGGTCTTGTGTTCAAATCCTGATTGCTGGTTTTCCACAGGCGTCTGGTTGGTTACTGCGAGAACAGGATGCTAGACTAGATGGGCCGTCAGACTGATTCAGCAGGTTATTCCTGTGTTCTTATGAGCATAGCAAGTTGCCTTATACCGAGCCAGGCCGTTGGTCCATCCAGCTCAATACTGCCTACACTGACTGGCAGCAGCTATCCAGGGTTTTAGACTGGGGTCTCTCTCCCAGTCCTGCCTGGCAATGCTGAGGATTGAAGCTTGGGCCTTCTGCATGCACAGCAGATACTCTGCAACTGAGCTACGATCCTTCCCCAAAGATTTACTGCTTTCTGAAGGATGTGTCCTGTTCTATTCCCCCTCTGTTTCTGATGTTCTTATTGCAGATGTTAATATTGCATAGCTTGAAGCAACTGGATGTATAAAGACAGACTCCTTTTGGAATAAAACACTGTCCAGACCCATAAGTATTGTCAAAAACCTTACTTATGGAACTTTCTTCAAAACAGAATAAAACTCCCTTCAAGATGGTGATTTGTAATTGAATACCTTAATCATGTGATCTAAGGTTAAACACTCACGTGTTAGAGCAGAGATATTCCCAGTTAACTCAGTTAGACCTCAGGAAGCTCTTAGTATGCTGCCATGGAAAATCCCCATTGTTAGCAATACACGTACAGGCATTCTCCATTTCAATGTCAATTAAACAATTATGAAAGAATGAATCTTTATTGCTAAAATCTATAAGCCGTCACAATTGGATTGAACCAATTATACTTAACAGTTCGTGCAGTGAGTGCTGTTGCTTATGCAGCCCAAACAGGGAAGCCCAAGGTTTGCAGAAGTATCACATATTGTTTCAGGAAGTGCAAATTAGGTAGATCTGTCTCTCAATGCAAACCAAGTCAACTGCCACACACTTCCAGTGTTCTGAATGTGCTTCCCTGCTTCTTTTTCAGGGGGAGGTAGGACTTGGCCTTTCAGGGACTCCTGGTTTAAAAGGAGCAGAAGGAGACAAGGTAGGTTTTATCTCTGGAACAAATTTCTCATCCAAAACAAAGAGGTCCAAGGCAGCTCATGGAATGCGGAAAAGTGTCTGTTTTGTAACACTTAAGCTGAACTCTTTGTGTGGTGGGTTCTAATAGGTAGGAGAAAACTACCCCTCCCGTGGTGAGTTGAACAGAGTTTAAATTCCCATTCTTAGCAGCAAATTGAAACATCAAATTAGGCTGTAAAGCCTTCTTTTGAACAGGCCCAGCTACAAAGGAATCTGGCTCCCCCTTTTCTTATCCCCCTTAACAAAGAATCAGACAAGGAGACTGTAAAGTAAGTTTAAAGTAGGATTTACTTACTCATAGTCTTGCACTGGTTCTCAGCTACAGTAGCAGTAAAAACTATGCAGGCAAAATGCTTATATTTACAGTAGAAGCAGTCTCAGGCATTTGTCCGAGCTGGAGCAAGTTAAGGGCATGTCTTTCCCAATCATTGGTCAATGGAAGGGAGAGGGAGAGGGAAGGAACAGGAAATACTTATTGATTCTTCCTGATCAAAAGAGGAGGGGAAATGACATCACACAAAGCCCTCTCTACCAATCATATTTCTATGGTCTGAGTCTCTGCCTATCAGCAGTACAGCTCTATGGTTGTACACCCCTAAACTTACAAAGTAGCAAGAATATAAATTCTTGGATTGGGCTGCTAAATCTTCCACACTCCTGTTTCTTTTTCAGGGAGCGACAGGCCTTCCTGGATCCCAAGGACAGAAGGTGGGTTTTGAATGATGTCAAATCTGACTGAACGTGGCTGAGATCAGGAAGCGGTAGCAGCTTCATTTTTTGTAAGGGGGCCTCTTGGTTAAAAAGGTAAAGGGGCCCCTGACCATTAGGTCCAGTCGTGGCCGACTCTGGGGTTGCGGTGCTCATCTTGCTTTATTGGCCAAGGGAGCCGGTGTACAGCTTCCGGGTCATGTGGCCAGCATGACTAAGCCGCTTCTGGCGAACCAGAGCAGCGCACGGAAACGCTGTTTACCTTCCTGCTGGAGCGCTACCTATTTATCTACTTGCACTTTGACGTGCTTTCAAACTGCTAGGTTGGCAGGAGCAGGGACCGAGCAACGGGAGCTCACCCTGTCGCGGGGATTCGAACCGCCGACCTTCTGATCTGCAAATCCTAGGCTCTGTGGTTTAACCCACAGTGCCACCCGCTAAATTATTAGTTGCACTTATAATCTGATCTCTGGGTTAGATTGCTGCAATGTCCTATACATTGCGCTGCCCTTGAAGATAGTTCAGAAACTGTAGCTGGGGCAGAATTCAGTGGCCAGATTGCTAACAGGGACTAGGTGGTGAAATTTATGCCCTGGGCACCGATTCATTTCTGGGCTCAATTCAAGATGCTGGATTTGCCCTGAACATAGGATGCTACTTTAGAATGAGTCAGATCACTGGTCCATCCGGCTCAATATTGCACTACACTGGCTGGCAGCAACTCTCCAGGGTTCCAGGCAGGAGTCTTTCCCAGGAGTCTTGTGTTTGGGCAGCGGGTTGGGGAGAGGGTATTTTTCTGCCTGAGTGAAGAGCTTTTAGTCTGCAGTTGTTGATTTTGATATTTTATTTTCTTGAACTGTGTTGTATGGACACTGTTGTCCATGATCTCCGCCAACAATTTCTAGACCATCTGTGTATTCCAACATGGAAACCAGAAACAGAGGTTGTTGTTGTTGAGTCGTTTAGTCGTGTCCGACTCTTTGTGACCCCATGGACCAGAGCACGCCAGGCACTCCTGTCTTCCACTGCCTCCCACAGTTTGGTCAAACTCATGTTTGTACCTTCGAGAACACTGTCCAACCATCTCGTCCTCTGTCGTCCCCTTCTCCTTGTGCCCTCCATCTTTCCCAACATCCCAACATCTTTCCCTCCATCTTTCCCAACATCTTTCCCCACCTCTTCTCATGAGGTGGCCAAAGTCTTGGAACCTCAGCTTCAGGATCTGTCCTTCCAGTGAGCACTCAGGGCTGATTTCCTTAAGAATGGAGAGGTTTGATCTTCTTGCAGTCTCCTCCAGCACCAGAATTCAAAAGCATCAATTCTTATGTATGGACACTATGTGAGTCAATTTAAAGGTTAATCCACAGCTCCATGTGCCCCCTCCCCCTTCCCCCTTCCCCATCTCTAGTGCTGAATTGGAACAAACATCAATCAGGTTTTATGTGAATTGCCTTTTGATCTGATTTAACTTAAGTCTGGACGCAGGTGGTGCTGTGGGTTAAAGCCTCAGCACCTAGGACTTGCCATCGAAAGGTCGGCGGTTCGAATCCCTGTGGCGGGGTGCGCTCCTGTCGTTCGGTCCCAGCGCCTGCCAACCTAGCAGTTCGAAAGCACCTTCAGGTGCAAGTAGATAAATAGGGACCGCTTACTAGCGGGAAGGTAAACGGTGTTCCGTGTGCGGCTCTGGCTCGCCAGAGCAGCGATGTCACGCTGGCCACGTGACCCGGAAGTGTCTGCGGACAGCACTGGCTCCCGGCCTATAGAGTGAGATGAGCGCACAACCCTAGAGTCTGGCAAGACTGGCCCGTATGGGCAGGGGTACCTTTACCTTTACCTTTACTAACTTAAGTCTATTAACTTTCTCCGCACTACGTATGTACTATGTACATTTCTGTAATCGTATATTCCCAATTAATTCTCACCTTCTCTCTTTCTTTCTCTGGTGCATATGGGGAGGGCTGAATGCTTTAAGAAATAATTCCAAATATTTTTAAATTTTATTTCAAATAACTAGGGGGAGGGGTGCGAATCCACCTCATATTACCCTATTTAGTTCAGACCTCTGCAATGAGAAATGACTTGCTGGAGATAATATCTTCCTTTTTCTCTCCTTAGGGTGAACAAGGCATGCCAGGCGCAGAAGGACCAACCGGCTTGAGGGTAGGAATGCCAGGGTAACAATGTGGCTGCTGTTTTGGAATGGAAAAAGCGAACAAAAGGCTGAAGCAAGGCAGCCTTTGCCAGCTTGGTGTGTTTCAGATATTTTGGATTACAACATTCTGGGTTGTGTCTGGGCTGCACCACTGGTGGTGGTAGACCCCAGGACTGATTGCTCTTCCATACAATAACTCCCCCCCCCAAAAAAAAACCCCTCATATTTCAGGGACAAGGCTTGGCTAGAATATTTAGATGGAAAGGACCCCATGGGTCATCTAGTCCAACCCCCTGCTGTGCAGGAATCACAGCTAAAGAATTCCAAGCAACCGGCCATCTAACCTCTGGTTGAAAACCTCCAATGAAGGAGAGTCCGCCACCTTCCAAGGGAGTGGGTTCTACTGTCGAATAATAATAATAATAATAATAATAATAATAATAATAATAATAATAATTTATTATTTATACTCCGCCCATCTGCCTGGGTTCCCCCAGCCACTCTGGGCGGTTTCCAACACAATATTAAAATACAGTAATGCATCAAACATTAAAAGCTTCCCTAAACAGGGCTGCCTTCAGATGTCTTCTAAAAGTCTGGTAGTTGTTTTTCTCTTTGACATCTGGTGGGAGGGCGTTCCACAGGGTGGGTGCCACCACCGAGAAGGCCCTCTGCCTGGTTCCCTGTAACTTGGCTTCTTGTAGGGAGGGAACCGCCAGAAGGCCCTCGGAGCTGGACCTCAGTGTCCAGGCTGAACGATGGGCATGGAGACGCTTCTTCAGGTATACAGGACCAAGGCCTTTTAGGGCTCTAAAGGTCAGCACCAACACTCTGAATTGTGCTCGAAAACATACTGGGAGCCAATGTAGGTCTTTCAGGACTGGTGTTATATGGTCTCAGCAGCCGCTCCCAGTCACCAGTCTAGCTGCCGCATTCTGGATTAGTTGTAGTTTCTGGGTCACCTTCAAAGGTAGCCCCACGTAGAGCGCATTGCAGTAGTCCAAGCGGGCGATAACTAGAGCATGCACCACTCTGGCGAGACAGTCTGTGGGCCGGAAGGGTCTCATCCTGTGCACCAGATGGAGCTGGCAGACAGCTTCCCTGGACACAGACTTGACCTGCGCCTCCATGGACAGCTGTGAGTCCAGAATGACTCCCAGGCTGCACACCTGGTCCTTCAGGGGCACAGTTGCTCCATTCAGGACCAGGGAGTCCTCCACACCTGCCCACCTCCTGTCCCCCACAGTACTTCTGTCTTGTCAGGGTTCAACCTCAATCTGTTAGCCGCCATCCCGTCAGAATTTTCCCCCGTAATGTTTAGTTGGACTCTTCTTTCTTTTTGTTTGAATCCTTTGGTCTGGATCCTCCTCCCTGGAGCAGGAGAAAACAAGCTCGCTCCATCTTCTATGTGGCCGCCCTTCGGATGTTGGAAGATGGTCATCACATCACTTTTTTTCAAATTATGTACAGTGGTGCCCCGCAAGACGAATGCCTCGCAAGACGGAAAACCCGCTAGACGAAAGGGTTTTCCGTTTTGGAGGTGCTTCGCAAAACGAATTTCCTATGGGCTTGCTTCGCAAGACGAAAATGTCTTGCGAGTTCCTGCAGGGTTTTTTTCCTCCCCCCCCCTTTTCCCAAGCCGCTAAGCCGCTTATCAGCTGATCCGCTAAGCCGCTAAGCCGCTTAACAGCTGATCCGCTAAGCCGCTAAGCCGCTTAACAGCTGATCCGCTAAGCCGCAAGGCCGCTTATCAACTGATCCGCTAAGCCACTAAGCCGATTATCAGCTGAGCTGCTAAGCCGCTAAGCCGCTTAACAGCTGATCCGCTAAGTCGCTAAGCCGCTTAACAGCTGATCGCTAAGCCGCTTATCAGCTGATCCACTAAGCCGCTTAACAGCTGATCCGCTAAGCCACTAAGCCGCTTAACAGCTGATCCGCTAAGCCGCTAAGCCGCTTATCAGCTGATCCGCTAAGCCGCTAAGCCGCTTATCAGCTGATCCGCTAAGCCCGCTAAGCCGCTAATAGCGCTAATCCGCTAATGGGCTTGCTTTGCAAGACGAAAAAACCGCAAGACGAAGAGAATCGCAGAACGGATTCTTTTCGTCTTGCGAGGCACCACTGTATTAAAGAACGGCGAGGCCTAAAAACTGTTCTTGTCCAGCACAAGAATGAGAGTCCTGACCATTGCTCAGACCTGAGTTCCGAGTGCACGGCCCTCACCTGCCCCTCTCGGGGAGGGAAAAATCCCACAGTCCCTTTTCCTGCAAAGTGTGTAGTGTGAGATGTTTGCAAGCTAACCTCTTGCATGGGCTTTGCTATGGACAATGGTGTTTTGTGCTATCTTCTTTTTCAATCTAGGGCAAAAAAGGCCAAGATGGGGTCAAAGGAGAAAAGGTAAGGTGTCTACTACTTTCATCTTATAGACGGGAAAGTACAGTATGTGTTTTTGTAGCATAGAATGAGAATCTGTGGTCTGTCTGTTGCAGGGAGAGCGTGGAGAGGCAGGGGTGAAGGGTCTTCAAGGAATTGCGGTAAGCCTCTCTTCATCTGAAGCTGATATTTTGATGATCTTCCCCAACCCATTTCTGAGTTTTCTATAACTGGCAGGAGAGTTCAGATAACATGATCTAAATTAAGAACCCTCCTTTTTTCCAGACAAGGACAAGCCATCAGCTCATAAAGTATACAAGCAGAACATTCAATGCACCCTTCATTATTTTTGCTAGTCTGATCAGAGAAACCACATCGTTGTAGGTAATCAGACAGTTATGTCCATCTTCAGAGGAGAGATGGGTGCTGAACAGCAACAGGACCCTTTCAGTAGTGATGCTGCATTTAAAAAATGTCTTCCTCAGAGATGTCCGGCTGCAACCTTCACTGTGTTGTAGGCACCAAGTGAGGATCGCTTTATTTTTAATGACAAGTCATTTGGATGCCATCTGTTGCCAGCAGTATTATGGGCTGCAATCATCATCATCATCTTCCGCCATTTGATTTGACTGGTTGCATTTTAAATATGCATTTAATTACTTTTCTGTTGCCTGATGCTTCAAATTTTCCGCAATCAGATTAAGAATGGGAATGATATATACAGTACATAAACAGTACATATCTTAACAGGCCAACCCAGATCATAAAACTGTAGAGTTGGAAGGGACCCTGAGGATCATCTAGTCCAGCAATTCTCAACCTGTGGGTCCCCAGATGATGTTGGACTACAACTCCCATCATCCCTGACCACTGGTCCTGCTGGCTAGGAATGATGGGAGTTGTAGTCCAACAACATCTGGGGATCCACAGGTTGAGAAACACTGATCTAGTCTATCCCCCTGCAATGCAGGAATATGCAATTGTGCCACACGGGAATCAAACCTGCAACCTTGGCATTATCAACACCACCCTCTAACCAACAGAGCTATCCAGCTCCAGGTTCTAAAAAGGCAGTCAACTCCAGTTAAAGACTCCGCCCCCAGACCTTCCAGGCTCCTCCCACGAGTGATGAGATTCCACAGGCCCCGCCCCTGGAACACCAGGTGCCGCCTTAGCTTGACTTGTCAGGTTCTGCTCCTGGTCTCATCCTGACTCTTAACTCTTTGGCCCACCCCACTTTGGGGCAACCTTCTTCTCCAACAACAGCAAAGTTTACAAGTGGAAAAAATATAGAGACACACATACTTAAATTACACAATAAAACAATTCTACCAAAACACTCACATTTTCAATTTCTCTTATTTGTTGTTGTTTTTAGGGTCTTCCAGGTCCTGTTGGGCCCAAAGGAGACCAAGTAAGTGAAAACAGCATGGAGAGACCATTGGATCACAGTGGTGAGAGGAAATTGGGGTGCGGAGTCATTGGGCGGCCAGAACTGATATTTGATGCTCACCTGGGGTGTTCATTGTGGACATAGGCCATAGCATTCCAGGCTGTGGGCACACGGTTGGGAAACCTTCAGACTGCAGGCCAGTCATGGCTTACCGGGGGCTCCAATTTGGCCCATGAAGCTATTTTCCTCATCTCAAAAAATGACACAAAACAAAAGAATTACCGTGAAAATCCCTGAAACGAGAAGTAATCGACTATAGAATTGAATTAAATAACAAAAATCAAAAAATCGACCTAGGATTAAACAAAGACTTTACGAGATGCCGGCTACAAAACTCGTTTCACTGAACTAATCTGTTTCCTCAGAAGGAAATAAAGAAATTATGAACCTAAAATGATTTCAAGTGATATCAAACAAACTCAAGAGCAGGGCTGAAAACGCTTCCTCGAGTTTACGAAAAAGGTATGAAAACCTCAATGACAAGTTTTAAACATAGCCCTATTTAAGAGAATCAAGCAGTAGTGATAAGAAATTTTGATTTTCTGCCCTGTCTTTGAGTTTGTTTGAAACTTAAAACCTCAATTTTATATTACTATTGCTTGGTAATAAGTCTTTGTTTAATTCTAGGTTAATTTTTTGATTTTTGTTATTTAATTCATTTCTATAGTCGATTACTTCTCGTTTCAGGGATTTTCACGGTAATTATTTTGTTTTGTGTAATTTCTTGGTTCCGTGACTGTCTTTTTTCCACTATTTTCCCCATCTCAGCTGGGTGGGAAGGTGGGGTTCAATTCTGCATTGGCTGCAGCAGGACTTAACCCCCGCTTGACATCTGACAAGCACGGGTTAAATTCTGCTCAGTTTGGTTGCACGTACCTGTCCCCAGCAGGGAACAGATATGCACAGCCCAACTAAAGCGTGCAATTTTGCAGCCTTCTTTCTCCTCCCCGACGCTAAGCAGGTGGGGACAAAGAAGCTCTTTGCTTGCTACACCACTGGGCACAGGTCTGGCAGCGCCTCTTGTGCTACAGTTCCCAAGCGGCTAACAGATTGAGGTTGAATCCTGACAAGGCAGAAGTACTGTTTTTGGGGGACAGGGGGCGGGCGGGTGTGGGGGATTCCCTGGTCCTGAATGGGGTAACTGTGCCCCTAAAGGACCAGGTGCACAGCCTGAGAGTCATTTTGGACTCACAGCTGTCCATGGAGGCGCAGGTCAATTCTGTGTCCAGGGCAGCTGTCTACCAGCTCCATCTGGTACACAGGATGAGACCCTCCCTGCCCACGGACTGTCTCGCCAGAGAGGTGCATGCTCTAGTTATCTCTCACTTGGACTACTGCAATGTGCTCTACGTGGGGCTACCTTTGAAGGTGACCCGGAAACTGCAATTAATCCAGAATGCTGCAGCTAGACTGGTGACAGGGAGTGGCCGCCGGGACCACATAACACCGGTCCTGAGAGATCTGCATTGGCTCCCAGTATGTTTCCCAGCACAATTCAAAGTGTTGGTGCTGACCTTGAAAGCCCTAAACGGCCTCAGTCCTGTGTACCTGAAGGAGCGCCTCCACCCCCATCGTCCAGCGCCGAGGGCCGTTTTGCGGTTCCCTCATTGCGAGAAGCGAGGTTACAGGAAACAAGACAGAGGGCCTTCTCGGTAGTGGCGCCCACCCTGTGGAACACCCTCCCTTCAGATGTGAAGATAATAAGCAGCTATCCTATCTTTAAAAGACATCTGAAGGCAGCCCTGTTCAGGGAAGTTTTTAATATTTAATGCTGTGCTGTTTTTAACATTTGATTGGGAGAGGCCCAGAGTGGCTGGGGAAACTCAGCCAGGTGGGCGGGGTATAAATAATAAATTGTTGTTGTTGTTGTTGTTGTTTTAAGCGCCAACTTGCTAGCTGGTTTTCAGGTGCTTTGGAACCCTGTGCAAGAGAGCTTGAGAAAGTGGGTAGGACAACCCCCTGTCAATCATGGGCCACATGTGATTGGCAGGTGTGCCATTCTGACCTGTCAAATTTGGCCCATGAAAACAATCCTGGCCTGTGGAATCAAAAGTTCTTCCCAACTCTGAAATGGCAGAAGTTAGTGTTCTCCCTTATAGGGCTCCCTCCTCAGTTCAGTTGGGCTTTCACCCCAATACGCGTGGCCTAGATTTGCACCCTTAACACACCCTTTCCTGCTAACCCTGACTTTCCCCCTTCCTTAACAGGGCATCCAAGGATTTCCTGGTGCTCCAGCTATGGGTGTAAGTGTATTTTAATTTTTTTTTGCGGTGATTAGGAAGGTTTTTCCAGCCCAAATCATAATAGTTCAGTTGAAGTGGCATGCAACAATACCATCAGAAGCTGTCTCGTATTAGGTCAAACCCTGGGTCTCTCCAGCTCCATATTGTCTACACTGACTGGACCACTTATAAACGCCATCTCCAACTCCTCGAAAGATTCCATCAACGGTGTCTCCGAAAATTTTTACACATCCCTTGGGAAGACAGGTGAACTAGTGCCAGTGTACTGGAAGAAGCAAAGATCACCTGTGTTGAAGCAATGATTCTTCAACATCAACTTCGTTGGACTGGTCATGTTGTGCGGATGCCTGATGATCGTCTTCCAAAGCAACTACTCTATTCCGAACTTTAAAATGGAAAGCGTAATGCTGGTGGTCAACAAAAGAGGTTTAAAGACTCTCTCAAAGGAAATCTAAAAAAAATGTAGTATAAACACCGACAACTGGGAAACACTGGCCTGCGAGCTCTCCAGTTGGAAAACAGCCTTTACCAACAGCTTTGAAGACACTCAAACTCAGAACGCCAGGGAGAAACGTGCTAAGAGGAAGGCATGCTTGGTGAAATATACTCAGAGTCGCAAAGTGATTTCATGCTCTTTATTCAGCTCATAGTGGTGAGGAGGAATGAATGAATGTCCCCTCAGAGTATCTGCTTTATATACATTATTTACACAATGGGCTGCACATGATTGGCTAATTCCGGAATTCTACTGTAAGCCAATCAGGTTGTGGATTCACTTCTATCTGGACCATGATTGGGTGGTTCCTGCCAACCAATCATACTGCTGCATTGTTCTAGGACCAATCAGACTGCTGCATTCTGAATCCTATTGTTCTAGGACCAATCAGACTGCTGCCTTTTGGATCCTATTGTTCTAGGACCAATCAGACTGCTGCAGTTTGGATCCTATTCAACTCAGTACATAACACCCCTCCCCTCTAAGTTCCAGTCCTGCCCGGGAGGTCGCATTCATAGTCCTTGAGGTATGCCGGCGGCCTACGTGTGCGTTGCGGCCTGGGGTGTTCCCTGGTCCGGGGTTCAGGTTCTGGCTCATGTTCCAAGGATGCTGGCTGTGATGGGGCTGTTTGGTCTGGCGCAAGCGGCTCGCTCAGTCGTGGTTCTGGCTCCGGTGTCTTTTCGGCCTCACGGGTCCTCTCTGTATTTACTGATTCTGCCTCTCCTACTTGCCCCTGCTGCTCTATGGGCCTCACTGCCCCACTGTTCCCTTGGGACTCCTCTGACCTGTCCTCCTCCTCGTGGTTTTCTCCCGGGAATCGTCGCCGTATCTGGTCGCAGTGGCGGCGCCAGCATTGCCCCCCATCTGTTAGCACCTCGTACGACACGGGGCCAGTGACCCTGGTGACTGTGGCGGGTACCCATGCAGGGCCTGCCCCAAAATTCTTTGCGTACACTGGGTCCTGGGCCTCGAAGGTCCGGGGGTTCCTGCCTTCACCCACCACTACCTCATCCTGAGCTCTATCGGGGTGAAGGCGGTCCAATCTGATTGCAAGGCGCCGACCCATTAGTAGTTCAGCGGGGCTCCGGCCAGTCGTTGAGCTGGGGGTGCTGTGCTGTGCTAGAAGGAATGTGGCAAGGCGGTACTCCCAATCCCCTTGCGTCATGCGGCGAAGGGTGTCCTTGGTGGTCCGCACCATGCGTTCTGCTTGGCCATTGGTGGCAGGGTGGAATGGCGCCGAACGGATGTGGCGGATGGCGTTCTGCGCTGTAAAGGTTTGGAATTCTCCTGATGTAAATGCAGTCCCGTTGTCTGAGACGAGAGTGTCAGGGAGCCCGTGGGTTGCAAACAGCCTGCGTAGTACCCGGATGGCTGCGGACGTAGAAGTGGACGGTACCAGTGCGACTTCCAGCCATTTGGTGTAGGAGTCCACCACTATGAAGAATGTTTTCCCCTGAAAGGGGCCAGCGAAGTCCACATGCAGGCGTGACCATGGTGCTCGGGCGGACTCCCAGGACTGGACTGGGGCCCTTGGGGGATCTGGGCGGGATTCTTGGCAGGCCTGGCAGTGTTTGACCCAGGCCTCTATCTCTCCGTCGATCCCCGGCCACCACACATAACTCCTGGCAAGGGCCTTCATTCTTACTACCCCTGGGTGTGTCTCGTGTAGGGCTGTGAGGACCCTTTTGCGGAGGGGCTGGGGAACAACGACCCTGCTTCCCCATAACAGGCACCCCTTGTGGGCCGACAGTTCATGTTTGCGGGTTGTGTAGCCAGCGAATTCTGGCCCGGGGCTGCTGCTGGGCCATCCCCTCCACACCCAGTCCAGGACCCGGGAGATGACCCTATCTATCTTGGAATGGTGTGCAACTTCTTGTGCCTGAATGGGGCGGTCGGGAAGCAGCTCCAGGCTCATAACCTCTTGTGCAGGTGCTGGGTCGGGGCCTGTTTCCGGTAGTGGTAGCCTGCTGAGGGCGTCCGCATGGCCCATCGCCTTCCCCGGACGGTGAATCAGTGCATACTGGTAGCTGGCAAGGAAAATTGACCACCTGAGGACGCGAGGAGACAGCACTTGGGGGGTCTGCTTTTCGGGGGCAAACAAGCCAAGCAACGGCTTGTGGTCAGTCACCACAGTAAAGGGCCGCCCGTACAAGAAATCATGGAATTTTTTTACTCCCTTCACGATTGCCAGACCCTCCTTGTCGATTTGCGAGTAGTTCCGCTCGGTTGCATTGAGTGTCTGGGAAAAGTATGCCACTGGTACCTCTCTTCCATCTGGGAGTTGGTGTCCCAGGACAGCGCCAATGCCATAGGGCGAGGCGTCGCATGCTAGCACCACTGGCAGCCTCTCGTCGAAGTGTGCCAAGACCGAGTTTGAGACAAGCAAGTCCTTGACTGCCTGGAATGCGGCCTCCTGGCGCTGGCCCCACACCCAAGGGGCCCGCTTGTCCAGGAGTCTGTGTAGGGGCTCTGCTACCGCCGCCTTGTGGGGAAGGAAGGAATGGTAAAAGTTCAATAGTCCCAAGAAGGCCTGAAGTTCAGTCTTGTTCTTGGGCGCTGGGGCATCACAAATGGCCCGTACCTTGTCCCCAGTTGGGTGGACCCCTTCTGCGTCCACCATAAATCCCAGAAAGTCCACCTGAGGCACTCCTAGTAGTTCTAGGACCAATCAGACTGCTGCAGTTTGGATCCTATTCAACTCAGTACATAACACTTGGCAAATCCTCACTGTGATCACCTCCTGTCTGGAAACCTGTATCCCCACTGTGGAAGGATATATGGATCCAGAATTGGCCTCCACAGTCACTTACGGACTCACTGTTAAAACAGTGTTTATGGAAGACCTGGTCTGAACAAAGACATTGGATTCTTATCTCATTATACATGACAAAGCCATTTTTCACCTTCTCACCCCTTGCTTTTTCCTGTAAGACCTATTGCAGTCGTTAAGAGTCGTCAACAGGCTCATCACAGCTATCTGCCAATCACCATTCCCACCACCCTTCTGAGTAATACCCCTCCCCACCTTCTCACTATATAGAAGGATCTGGCAACTTCTGTTTCAGTGTATCTGAAGAAGTGTGCATGCACACGAAAGCTCATACCAAGAACTAACTTAGTTGGTCTTTAAGGTGCTACTGGAAGGAATTTTTTTTTGTTTTGACTATGGCAGACCAACACGGCTACCCAGGGACGCGGACTTATAAAAAATATTGGGGGGGCCCGGGAAAGCTCATGAATAATAAATAACCTCATGAATATGCAAATAAAGTGGCGCCGCCTCCTCGTGAGCGAATAGGGGAGAGCGTGCTGCGCCTATTAATCAGCTCCGGAACAGCTGATATGCGGGAAACGTGGGGCTAGCCGGAGAAGAGAGGGCGAGCCCCCTCCGCTCCGGCCCTAAATAGGGCAAGCCACACACCCCCAGCCAGCCGATAGGTACCTGGTCGTTCTCGCGGGGGCTGAAACCGCCAGGAGGAAGGAAATTCCCCCCGGCAGTGCCTTGGCAGTGGCGGTGGTGCTGCGAAGCAGCGAGGCAGGAGCCCCCGCCCCCGGGGATTCCCTAATCTCGCGGGGGACGGCCGGGGCTCTCCGACTAGGGCGCGCGGCTGGCTGGCTGGCTGGCGAGGGAGCAGGTGGGGAGGAGGCGGGATGGCGGCGGCGCTCTGCTGGAAGGGCGCCCGAGATTATTGGGGGGGCTGAGCCCCCCCAAAAATTTTTTTGAGGGGGCTCGAGCCCCCTCAGGCCCCATGGAGTCGGCGCCTATGCGGCTACCTATCTGTAACTGTTGACTCATGTTCAGCTTGTGGTCCACAAAGACCTCTTGATTCTTTTCGCATGCACTTCTGGCAAATCCTCACCATGATCACCTCCTGCCTGAAAACCTATACACCCACTGTGGAAGGATGTGTGGATCCAGAATTGGCCTCCACAGTCCCTTACGGACTCACTGTTAAGACCGTGTTCATGGAAGACAATCTTACTCAGCTATGAGTAAGAGAAGAAGATGACTGACTGACAGAGGCTCTCTGGGGTTTTAGATGGGGGTTTTTCCCAGCCCTAGCTGGAGATCCTGGGGATTGAACCCAGGCATAGCTGTCAACTTTTCCCTTTTCTTGCGAGGAATCCTATTCAGAATAAGGGAATTTCCTTTTAAAAAAGGGAAACATTGACAGATATGAACCCAGGCCCTTCTGCATGCAAAACAGATTTTCTGTTACTGAACCATGGCTCTTCTTCATACATGCCATTAGGAGCATGAGATTTTCCATGCCTGCCATTGGGGTGGGGGGGTCATGATATTCCTGGCCTTTTCCTGGAGGAGCAGCAGTCCCTGGAGCACAGAATAACATGTGACAGAAGTCGCCGCTGCCAAGGAAGCGAGGCTAGGACTCACCTGTGGTTTCTTTCTCTACAGGTGGTGGGACCTTCAGGCAAGAAAGGTGCCAGGGTGAGTGGGGCAGGGGCATGCAAGATATGTGGGAGGCTGTCCATTTTGGGGGAGGAAGACCTTTTTTCCAGCAAGGTTTTGCAGGAAAGCTGCGGATTTCAGAGCGTTGGCGGGTGTTTGCCTTCTGTGCCATTAAAAGAGCTTTTCCGGATCAGATCTTCTTGGCTGTCCTCCTCACACCTAAGGCTGATAACACACCTTGAGAGAGAAGAATCACATCCAGATGGGTGGCTTTCAAATCTTTAATCTCCAGGGGATGCTCTGCAACATCATTGCACCTGCCAAGGAACTGTAGATTCCCTTGCGTGCTGCAAGGGATGTTGGGGGCATGTACCTATCCCAGCTTTCCTATTTTTCTGGGGGAGAGTTGCTCCTAATTGCATGAGGGCTGATGCTATGCTGAACACACCTAACAGAAGCCAGAAAAGCATAGAATCATAGAGTTAGAAGGGACCCTAAGGGACTAGAAGGGTCATCTAGTCCAACCCCCTGCAATGCAATTCTCTCTCTCTCTCTCTTTCTTTCTCATCACTTTATATAGGGAGATTTGGGGCCAATTGGCCCCCCAGGTCCAAAAGGAGACCCAGGGGACCAAGGAGAAAAGGGGGAGAAGGTCAGTGTATTTATTATTTATTTAAAGTGCTAGCCTTTTGTTTTTCTGCAATTGTCATTTGTCTCACAATGCAAGTTCTCCAGGAGATTTTATGTATAGATGCACCACTTTTCGGGGAAAAGGCAGCTTACAAAAGAGATTTTAAAAAACAAAAAAATACTTTAAAAATACAAGTCAAAGCAATCCGATTTAAAAGATAAAAGAAAATAAAGGTCAGACGTTTGAAACAGTTTGAAAACCCAACTCCCAATGCCTTTCTCAAAAGGCCAGTTGAAACTAAAATGGTCCTGAAGTTTGCTTTTCAAAGGGCTACATGTGCTTCTTTTTAGGATGTAATTTCAAAGATCTGGAGCCACCACTAAAAAAGCCCTGTTTTGATTGCCCACCAGCATGATGGAACTTGATGGTGGGTGTGGGAGGAGGGCCTCAGAGGCTGATCTTAAAGGCTGGTTTATATGATCGCAGGCCGTCCTTCAAATCACTTGGTCCTGAGGCATTTAATGCTTGAAAGTCAACGGCAGCACCTTGAGACCCAAAGGTCTACCATCGTCACAGGTGTCCATATGCAGAAATTAAATCTGCAGAACCCCTGTCCTGGCCACATCTGGTTTGGTCCCCAAATAATGCTCTGAGCTCCCTTTTCTTTCAAATGGGTTACCCCCGTTGCATTTTAGGAAACAGAAAAACAAGCGAGCTCTGGACTTGCTACCCTGCAAGAGTATTTCAGGATACAGTGAAAAGGGTTCAAAGTGGGCTTTTTCAAAGTGAATTTTTGCCTTGATCTCTGCAGGGAAGCCCGGGATTTGGCATTCCAGGACAGCTGGGGCTGAAGGGCGAGCCAGGAGAAAGGGTGAGTTGGGAAATGGGGCAGCGAGTGTCCATCAAAGGAGGAGAGACAGGAAAGTGGGGGGAGAACTGGAATGAAGCAAATCTGGCTTTTGGGAGTGTTCCTCTCCTCTCTGCCCTTCCAGACACACCGTATTTTTCGCTTCATAAGACGCACCTGACCATAAGACGCACCTAGTATTTAGAGGAGGAAAGCAAGAGAAAAAAAATTCTGTGCAGAGCATGTAAGCGGCTCTCGCTTTTCTTGCTTTAAACGCTTCCGTCCCTCCTCCCGCTTCGCTGAGAAGCCAGCAGAGCAAGTTGCGCAGCTCTTGTTGAAGCCAGCAGAGCAAGAGCGATAGCTGCGCAGCGCCTCTTCTTCTGCTGGCTTCCCAGCAAAGCGGGATGAGGGACGAAAGGGAGCCCTTACAAGGGAGCGCTCAGCAGAGCCCGGCAGCGGCTCTTGCTGGCTTTTCCGGGAGGTGTGGGAAGGGACAGAGGGCAGCCCGTCAGTCCCTTCTCCCACCTAGCGGAAAAGCCCCCAAGAGCTGTACACACACTCCGCGCAGCTCTTTAAAGGGAGCGCTGAGCAGAGTCTCCCACCTGCATTTGCTCCATAAGACGCACACACATTTCCCCTTACTTTTTAGGAAGGAAAACGTGCGTCTTATGGAGCGAAAAATACGGTAATTTGAAAGCTACATTTGTGGGTTTTCTTGTGCTAGCTTGCACATGGAGCAAACACTGCCATGTGCATATACATATTTTAATTGATAGTTTGATTTATGGGGGTTTTTAATTTGATAATGTTTATGTAAACAACCTTGCTTTCTGGATTGCCATGTTTTGAAATGAATCAGCATTTGAATAACAGCATAGGAAGCTGGCTTATATGTAAAGTCAGAATGTTGGTTCGTCCAGCTCTGACAGGCAGCAGCTGTGTAGAGTTCGAGACAGGGAGATGCATGCAGATCAGACGCTCTGCCACTGAAATACAGCTGTACCCTTAAGTTAGAGGAGGCTACCTTAAAAAGGTAAAGGACCCCTGACCATTAGGTCCAGTCGTGACCGACTCTGGGGTTGCGGCGCTCATCTCGCTTTATTGGCCGAGGGAGCCGGCGTTTGTCCGCAGATAGCTTCCAGGTCATGTGGCCAACATGATTAAGCTGCTTCTGGCGAACCAGAGCAGCACATGGAAACGCCGTTTACCTTCCCGCTGGAGCGGTACCTATTTATCTACTTGCACTTTGATGTGCTTTTCAACTGCTGAGTTGGCAGGAGCTGGGACCGAGCAATGGGAGCTCACCCCGTCGCAGGGATTCAAACCGTCGACCTTCTGATCGGCAAGTCCTAGGCTCTGTGGTTTAACCCACAGCGCCACCCACGTCCACTGAGTCAAACCAATGTCCCTTGCAGCTCAGTACTGACCTCAATCTGCAGTCTTTGCAAGTCCTGGCAGTTTGGCAGGCTAGATATTTAGAGGAACAGCATTCTAGCCGTATTCCCTGGCACCCAGGGGTGGAAACGGGACAGTGCCACCCTTGGCAAAGCCTCTCTTACTGTGGCGGTGGCTTCCACATTCTGGCGAGATCTCACAAGAGTTCCACGAGATCTCACAAGATTTTGAAGGGCTTGAAGGGACGCGGGTGGTGCTGTGGGTTAAACCACAGAGCCTAGGGCTTGCCGATCAGAAGGTCGGCGGTTCGAATCCCCGCGACGGGGTGAGCTCCCGTTGCTCGGTCCCTGCTCCTGCCAACCTAGCAGTTCGAAAGCACATCAAAGTGCAAGTAGATAAATAGGTACCGCTCCAGCGGGAAGGTAAATGGCGTTTCTGTGCACTGCTCTGGTTTGCCAGAAGCGGCTTAGTCATGCTGGCCAAAACCCGGAAGCTGTACGCTGGCTCACTCGGCCAGTAAAGCGAGATGAGCGCCGCAACCCCAGAGTTGTCTGTGACTGGACCTAACGGTCAGGGGTCCCTTGACCTTGACCTTTAGCAAGATCTTGCCAGAACTGCCACAGCTACCTCTTGTTTCTCCAGGGGCATTCATTTTTGCCACCTGAGGCGGTTGCCTCAGCCTGCCTAATGGATGGGCCAACCCTACTAGGATCTTGGTCATTTCAGGCATTCATTCATTTTGGTTGTTAGTGTCTTTCCTGCAATTCATGTTTTGCCAGTGCATGTGGTATATTTCTGACCAACCTTTTCAATAAATTTAACAGGGAAACGTTGGCTTGTCCGGGAAGCCAGGGCAAAAGGTGAGGATGCAGCAAGGCGCAGAATACTTTTAACAATACTTTTTAGCCAGGTTATTCAGAGAATTTCACGTACGGTATGTCACCAACTCTGACAACAAGCCTGAAACTAAGCAGGTATTTCTTTTAATCTTCATAGCACATGGACTAAGATACAAACTACAGTGGTAGTTATGTAGCAGGTGCCTTTAAGTGCAATGTGTGCGGTTTAAATGGATTGCCAGCATGGTTCATTTTAAAATTTGAACTGGATGGGTTTATTCCCCATCCTTAAGGAGGTGTGAGACAGCCTGGTTTTCATCCGGACTGTTGTGTTCACAAAGTAAAGGAAGGATTGAACTCTGATTAATTAGAATACACACAGAGGCTTGAACCAGCAAGACTCTGGGAAGGGTGCGTATAATCGTGTCTCTCTGTGCCTGTCCGTCAGATCTCCCGGCCCAGGCCGTTTTATTCACAAAAAAACTTTTTACAGAGTGTTCGTAAGAACCAATCAGATTTCTTCTGAGCATTTCCACAAACCCACGTGGGGACAAAGTTAGATCAAAAGAAATTCTTTTAACTACAAAGACTACTACTCTGAGCATGCATACATAATCTGAGAGTAATTAAAAGAGGACTAGAGAAACTCCAGAGATCATAAACAATCAGTACACATGATAAGGATGGCCAGGAGGACAGTGACCATTATCACCTTCATGTGAGATCTGTTTGCTGGCCCTGAGATTAACATCCTAAGATTGACAATCAGAAAACTACAAAGACGAAACTGCCCAGTGCTTGAGGACACAGGATGCCTGCCTGTCTAAGTATGTACGTGATTTGTGAAGAGCAAGGAAAAATGGGCAGCAGAGGCAAAAGGGCATGAAAAGGGCATGAATGTAGAATCTTATGGGATTTAATCAGAAATTATCGTCAATATATCAAACCCAGTGAACACAATGCTTTCATCGTGGACACGATGGCTTGTTGTATATTTTATAATTCCTCATGGTAATCCCATCTGATCCCTACATCTCTGGATATTTGCACTCCTACACGGACCCACTGTATGGGCAGGGGAGGGGAAAAATCACCACTAGACCTGGAAAAAGCTCCCATTGGTGCCAATGGGAGCTTTCCCCCCCTCTGGAGCTAAGGGGAGCTAGGAGGTGGGGGTTTTTCAGGACCATGAAGAAGGAGGAAAAGGTTAAGCTTCTCTTTCTTGTGCACTGTACTCCCGATAGTAACTGACACACACATTCTGCAAGTCAGAACAAGGTTTCTGTTGCCAGGGGAGAAGAGAGAGAGGGGGGCAAAATAGACCAACATCTTGGCTGTTGTTTACTTCAGGGGGAAACTGGTCCAAAGGGCGAGAAAGGTGAGCAAGGACCGTCCGGAAGACCTGGGGAGCCCGGCCTAAGAGGTAAAGATGTAAGTAGAAACTAAAAGTACAAATCTGGGGAGCTGAACTTTGCAATTTCTGAACCAATGACTAGGGGAGGAAGTATGCGATTATTTAGCTCAGGGCTAGCCAGCATAAATTGCTGGATTACAACTCCCATCATTCTTTTTTTTAAAAAAAAAATTTTATTGGTTTTTTTAACATATCATTTCCAACAGTCATATAACATAACTTCTTATCTTATGCAATGTTTTAGACTTCCGTCAACACCTCTGATGATTTTTCGTTCTTTCTCACTTATTCTGCATTTCTTAATTTCCCTATTACTCTTAATTATCATTAACTAATCATCTTCCTCATAGTCTTTCTTGCAATATTTCAAATAATCCTCCTTACAAAACTTCTTGCAGTCCTACTAGCGTAATCTGTTCATTACCATTACTTTTCAAATAGTTCACATATTTACTCCAGTCTTCTAAGAATCTCTGGTCCCGCAGGTTTCGAACCCTTCCTGTTAATTTATCTAATTCTGCATAGTCCATCAATTTCATCCGCCATTCTTCTTTCATTGGTAAAACTCCCATCATTCTTGACCATTGGCCCTAGGCTGCTGGGAATTGTAGTCTCTCAGCCTCCCATCCCTGCTCCTGATAGTGAGGTCAATTACATGCAGGTGTAGTCCTGTATCTCAATGACTTTTTGCTCGGGGTAAATGGGTATGAAAATCTGGAACTGCAGGTTGTAACCATGGCAGATTAAGTGACAAAGGAACATAGGGATGGACATTTCGACTTGTTGACACTAACTGTGAAACTCTGCAAAAACGAATCCGCAGAGTCTTAGGGATCCGCAGAGTCTTCGCAGCTTGCGTGACAGACCTAAGCAACTCAGCATTTTGGCTATTCTATTTTATTTACATATAATCACACATGGAGCACTGCAACCTGGCTCCCCCTCTCTCTAGCATCAGATAGCAAAGAGAGAAAGAACAAAGGACAATAGTCCCATTTCATGGAACACAGGAACACAAACATCCTGTTTCCATCACTTCCCACTCTGTGGAGTCAAAACATACACCATCATGTGATAGACAAAAATCCCATGACTGCAATCACGGAGCAGGAATTCTAACAAGCCCAGCCCCCTTCCTCCTCTAGGCAGGGCGGGGAGAAGCCAGGAGGAGGGAGGGAGGGAGGAGGCGCCACCACTGTGTGTGTGAGGGATGGGGGAGGGGGAATGGAATGGCGCGCGGGGGGGGGGGACGGCGCAGCCTGAACGAACAGAATCCCCACGCCGATCCACGGACAGTCCATGGACCGGATCCTGAAGGCAATTGGGCCTGATCTGGCTCGCGGACCTCGGTTTGCCGACCCCTGACTTAAGCTAATATATGTAGTTGCATCGACAATTTTGCTCAGTTTTCTGGGGCCTTTCAGGGCATGATAATGCACAGTCATGTTGAGTTTCAGCATCTCTTTTTCTAGAGAAATAGGACAGGGGCTTCCTGGCATCACAGGGGTGCATCTACAGCTCTGTAGCTCCTAACAGGGTATTGCATTGAGTATCGGTCCTGTCCTTCTAGGGGGAAGCAGGCACTCCTGGTGAGACTGGAGAGAGAGGAATTCGGGTAAGGAATCTCTCTGGACTTGCATGCTGCTGAGACCTCAAGCTCTCCATAGCTACCCAGCAAATCCACTTTTCCTGACACACTACACTAGGTTTTTATTTACCTACAGGTAGTATTTTGAGGTATGGGGATTTTGTGGGAATGTTCAGGGATGCAGGAGAGGATATATTGTTTGATTATAGCCTTTCCAACTTGTGTAAACAAGTTCACAATTTAGCAGAGTAACATTCCCCTTTTTAAACTCACTGCGGATACGTTTGCTCAGGCCCGCTAAAGCCTCTATAATAACTGTTCTGGTATTTTCCCCTTATTCCCTCATAAAAGATAAGACACGACACAGTCGTCTATAAATGTATAAAAAGAGTTTACTCACACATCATTCTGTTCACATTTGGATCCCAGAAGGCAGACTTAGCTTAGGAAAGTAACATAAACCTGGAAACTATCTCATAAGGAGACAGTCCCTTTGTCCTCTCTTGGCTGGAAGAGAGCCTCTTTGGCTAAGCAGATGTTGCTTCTTCGACGAAAGTAGTCATAGAGAGATGACTGCCAGTCCTATGCTTTTGTTACCAGCACAGGTGAGGCCACGCCCACCTCTAGTCACATGCAGAGGAAGTCTGTCCCAGCCCAGAAGGAAACAGGAAGTTTATCTGCTGGCTGGACAAACATTCCTCCCCATGTGTAAACATGTTCACTCTAGGAATGTTGTACTTGACTGCTCTTGTGTTTCACATCCCACAGATTTGTCTGCCCAGGAGCACTCAGTCATGTCAGTCAGACCCTTGTCCACAGCTCAGCCCCACAGGCAGAGCAAACTCAGTGAGGATCGAGCCCAAATTGCTCATGTCCCCTCAATTTTTCTGCAGGGTCCTTTGGGTCTGCCAGGACGTCCCGGAGAGCGAGGGATGAAAGGAGAGGCGGGAGAAACGGGCAAGGATGTAAGTTGGATACCACGAGGATTGTGCAGTGAGGGTCGGAATAATTCTGGCACTTTTGAGAGCAAGTTGCCAGAATATTAATATTTTCAGCACTACAGCCTGCCTCGAAGAAGAAAGATCTACAAATCACATAACGCAGGAGTGAGGAACCTCTGCCTTGTGGGGACACATGTGGCCCCCTCTATCTGGCTTTTGGGATTCCCCCAAGGCCCTGCAAGTGCTCACACTTTCCTCAAGTGCTTTTGCCCGCTTAGAACATGTCCTTAAAACTGTGGTCATGTCCCTTGTCTTCCTGTATGGAGGAGGGAGAAATGCGTGTGTGTGTGTGTGTGTGTGTGTGTGTGTTTAGAAATCTCTGGCATGGCTTTCTGTGCAAAGCTAAGAGTGCCCCCATTGCTCCGCCCACTTTTGCCTCTGGCCCCACCCACCCCTGGCATGTGGCCCTTGGGCTGAATAGGCCTCTTGCCGTAGTCTTGTTGCTGAGCAACAGCGTGCAGAGCTCAGTGGGGTGGGAGACCAGCCAACCAGAGGAGCCCTTGAGGTGTACTTGCCTAGAGCTAAACCAAAGTCAGGTCCAGTCCTAGGGTTGGGCAAACAGCAATCCATGTGGGTCAGAAGTTCCAGGGGTCAGGGAATCTGATGATCATGGGGCCAAGATGAGCAGGAAGCTCATTCTGGGAATGGAGTTGAGAGATGACCTAACCTGGGGAGAAAACAGCAAAGACCTGATGAAGAGAGCACAGCAGAGATTATATTTTCTGAGAATCCTCCGGAAAAACAATCTCTCAAAGGAACTGTTGATGGAATTTTACCATTGTACTGTGGAGAGTGTATTAACTTATGGTCTGTGTGTGTGGTTTGGCTGCACGGTCAGGGGGGGAAAACAATGCTGTCCAGGGTTGTGAAGACCGCAGAGAGAATAATTGGGTGCACTCTTCCCACCTTGGATCAAATCTATGCTTCCAGGCAGTGCCATAAGAAAGCTGCAGAGCTAGCGCAGGATAGTGCGCACCCCGGAAATGATCTCTTTCAGCTCCTGCCTTCTGCAAGAAGGTCCAGGGTTATAAAGACTAGGACTAGCCGCCTGAAAAACAGTTTCTACCCAAATGCGATTTTGGTTTTAATCGCAGTGTAAGGAGTCTCTATGGGAGTATATTGTATTTAAAAATGGGGTATCAGAGTTTTTAGGGGGCTAACCAGGTTGGGATAGCTGGAATAGCAGGCTTGTTGGTTTTTGAATCTGAAATGTAGTTTTTTCAATTTCATTGTTCTTGTTATGTACTGAAGTTCTCACCCTGGGCCAGCAGGGGGATACTGTAGATAGTTTTCACTCAGGTCCACATATGCAAATAAGGGATTGAAAGTGACATTCAGTGATTGGATAGTTACAGAAAGTGGTTACTGTTGCGTTGTAGTGGAGCTCTATATAAGCAGACTGGCTGAACCCTTCAGTTCAGATCTGTTCTGGCCTGTGAATAAACAAGAGCTGTTTGAAGAATTGCTATGTCGTCTGATATCTTCACCCACAACTTAACAGTTCTATATGGGACAATGACAATAAAGATGATCGTATCGTAGGGCCAGGAACTACAAGCACTGTTTCCAGCGTCTGACTGCTGCTGGAAACTCTGCTTCAGAAAGTTGCAGCCAGCTGGTTCCCATCCGTGCCTCCTCCTCCTTTGTGTCCTTGAAGGCTGATCAGCTGCAAGTAGAGTCACTCCGCTTTCTCCCCCTTCAGGCTGCTGTTCTGCAGGCGAAGTTGACTCCAGGCCCATGACAGTACCCCATGCTTGCATGAAGGTGTAGCTCTGTGAAGTGGCCATGCTGAAACTTGGGTCCAGAATATATTGCACTGTGTTGCCCCAGTTACAGAGAACGTTGAATGGAGAGTCTGTTGACAATTACAATGAAATGTTGATAATTAAAAATGTAAGATGAGCTCTGCTGGATCAGGCCAGTGGCCCATCTAGTCCCGGATCCATGTAAACCGTCCCTTATTTGGTGGGAAAGTCCCTTATCCCAGCGCTGTGTCCTGCTGCTGTCCCTTATTGATGGATATCCCTTAAATTTCCCGGGTTTCAAAGGAAGCAGCTCCTCTCCCTCCCTCCCTGCCGGCCAGGGAGGAGGGAGGCTCCAACTGGGTTGCTTGGCTGCGTTGCTCACCCAATAAGGAGTCTAAGAACGACTGGGGGTGGAGCTTGCATGCTTTGTGCCAATCAAATCAGCCGTGTTGCCTGGGGACTCGTCTTTGCTCAGCGCTTCCCAGCGGAGAGGTGACGGTGGTTTTCCTTGCTGCATCCCCTTTGCCGGGTTGCTGTGCTGTGGGAACCACCGCTTGAGGCTTCATTTGGCTGCTGGCTGGGCTTTCTGCCTTTGGCTTGGAGGGGCTCAGAAGTTGAACATACCTGTGCCTGGAAAATCCCTTATTTTGGCTGCTGATCCCTTATTTTCAAGGCTGCTGGCCCCTTATTTTCAAATCTGTAAGTTGAAAGCTATGCCAGGATCCCGTTCCCAGATGCCAGTGAGAAGCCCACAAGCAGAATATGATTGCAAGAGTGCTCTACCCACTGGTATTCAACTGGTACCTTTGACTGTGAAGACAAAGCATTAGCCATTATGACTAAGTAGCTGCCAGTAGTCTAATTCTCCTTAAATTTGTGTGACCCGCCTTTAAAGCCATGCAAGGCACTCATCCCTGGCAAGCAGAGTTGTGGATTTGTGGACGCCTGCTGACACACCAAGGGAGATTGTGAGCATTCTGTTCTACCCGGACACTGAGGTCCAGCGCCAGGGCCTTCTGGCGGTTCCCTCACTGCGAGAAGCCAAGTTGCAGGGAACCAGGCAGAGGGCCTTCTCAGTAGTGACACCCGCCCTGTGGAACGCCCTCCCACCAGATATCAAAGAGAACAACAACTACCAGTCTTTTAGAAGACATCTGAAGGCAGCCCTGTTCAGGGAAGCGTTTAATGTTTCATGCATTACTGTACAGTGGTACCTCTGGTTAAGAACTTAATTCATTCTGGAGGTCCGTTCTTAACCTGAAACTGTTCTTAACCTATGGTGCCAGTTTAGCTAATGGGGCCTCCCGCTGCCGGAGCACGATTTCTGTTCTCATCCTGAAGCAAAGTTCTTAACCCGAGGTACTATTTCTGGGTTATCAGAGTCTGTAACCTGAAGTGTATGTAACCCGAGGTACCATTGTATTTTAATATTTTGTTGAATGCCGCCCAGAGTGGCTGGGCAAGCCCAGCCAGATGGGCGGGGTATAAATAATAAATTATTATATTATTATTATTCATATGCAACTCTAAAGGAGATGGTGAAGTATTTCAGCTCATCACCTGCTCCTCTGACTCCTCTTTCATTCTGCTTTTCTCCTCCTCCTCCTAGGGAGCCGACGGAGAGAAAGGAGACAAGGGCGAATCCGTAGGTTTGCAAATTCTCCTTGTTAGCCTTGCATGAGCGCCATCAAAGGCACCCTTTCAAGTGGGCTAGCCTTCTGCATTCATATCTTGGGTGGTGGTGCTGGTGGTTTCCATGTCAGCATATGTACGTCTTGTGTTTCTGCAGGGACAGCCTGGGCCTCCTGGAACTCCTGGAAAGACCGTGAGTAATGCTTGTTCTCCTGGGGAAATAGTGTGAGATGGGAAGAAAGAGATGGTGTCTCCTTGCTTGGCAAAGGTGCCACAGATCAAAAGCCAGGCTAACTGGGGAGATTTGCTCCAGGCGAGGACTTTATTAAGGCCCAGGGATTGTATACTCATGGGGTGGTAGATAGTGGATGCAGGACCCTGGGCAGAAGGCCGGGAAATGTTGGTCTCCTGGGGTGAGAAACTAGGAGGAGAAAGCAACACTCCCAGGTGAGAGCTGAGACCTCCATTGGTTCCCAGTGACCTTGGAATGACCTTGGAAGCCCTAAACGGCCTCAGCCCCGTAGACCTGAAGGAGCGTCTCCACCCCTATTGTTCTGCCCCGACACTGAGGTCCAGCTCCAAAGGCCTTCTGGCGGTTCCCTCCCTGCAAGAAGTGAGGTTACAGGGAACCAGGCAGAGGGCCCTTTTGGTGGTGGCGCCTAGCCTGTGGAACACCCTCCCATCAGATGTCAAGGAAATAAACAACTATCTGACTTTTAGAAGACATCTGAAGGCAACCCTGTATGGGGAAATTTTTTATGTCTGAGGTTTTATCATGTTTTTAATATCCTGCTGGAAGCCGCCCAGAGTGGCTAGGAAGGCCCGGCCAGATGGGCAGATAATAATAATAATAATAATAATAATAATAATAATAATAATGATAAATAATAATAAATTTAGTATTTATACCCTGCCCATCTGGATGAGTTTCCCCAGCCACTCTGGGCGGCTTCCAATCAAGTGTTAAAAACAATACAGCATTAAATATTAAAAACTTCCCTGAACAGGGCTGCCTTCAGATGTCTTTTAAAGATAGGATAGCTGCTTATTTCCTTCACATCTGAAGGGAGGGTGTTCCACAGGGCTTCATTTACTTTATTAACTTAAATTATTATTATTATTATTACTACTACTACCTTCTGTGGGTGCTAAGGGCTAAGAACTACTTTTAAGAACTCTGTTCTGTACTTTTGTAATTTTTGTAGCTGCTTTTGTTTTTTTAAAAAAATTATTTACATTAGTTTTCGGAATCTTACTCTATTATGGAAACCTTTAGTAAAAAGAATGACAGCCATCTACATCACCCCCCCCCTTAAAAAAGAAGAAGGAGGGAGTACTTGGAGAACATGGCCAAGCACCTACAAGAGGTGCTTCTCATCTCTGAAAGGGGCTTTCTCCCCTCCCCACGTTCTTATCAATGTTCCTTTGACAATTGTAGGTTCTTCCTCTGGAAAGCAACGTTGCCGTCAAAGGAGAGAAGGTACCACTTCTTCCCCTACTGAAATATTAGTGATATGACTGAATGTCTTGCATGACTTGGAGGAGTTCATTGGCTCGTGTAGAAACCCTTTGTGCATCTCCTGGGGGTATGGTCTTAGCTGCCGTTCTCCACCTAGAGTGGAGAACCTCAGGCCCTGGTCCAGAGATGGATCTCCAGCTGACCACAGTGCTTCTTGGACGGAACGACTCGCCACAGAGAATGCCAGTCCGTGGCTTGGATGCCCTTCATTCCACCGGAATCTGTAGAGGCAGATGCCAGATTTCTGTGAAATGAAGCCCATCAGGCATGGGTTCCCTCTTCGCCCTTCTCGCTTGAGAGCCCATCAAGCGAAGACTTCATGGCATCCTCAGTCGACCGTGTTGTGGTTGCCACAGAACTGGAAGAAGACGTTGAAGCGAAGCGCCCAGATGTTCCTGGTGGTGGTGCCAGTTGTGGAAGAGCAACCTGGTCCAAATCTTATCAAGGAGCACCCTGCCACACACAAAGTCCAGGTTCACCAGCACACCACTTCACATGTAGGCAGCACGGTAACCTATTTACAGAAAATAATTTTGAGAAAGCCCTGATATCTGGAGACAACCCACACCAAGGGCTCTGGACCCTGCTGTGGGGTGGTGCCAGGGGTTCTGCCCTTACATATGGATGTAAGAAAAGGCTTGCTAGGGCAGAGCAGAGGTCCATTTCACCCATCACAACCACAGTGGCCAACCAGATGTATCTTGGGAAGCCCACAAGGAAGACCTGATTGCCACAGACCTTTCCTGATGTTTCTCACAGATGCTGGGCGTAGCATGTGGATGATAATCCATACCATTTCAAAGGCAGCTGCTGGGAATTGCAAGTGCTCAGGCCTGTGGGAATGTTCAGGGTGGCAGGAAAGGGGATATATTGTTTATTAATATCCTTCCTAACTAGCGTTAGGGACGTGGGTGGTGCTGTGGTCTAAACCACTGTGCCTCTTGGGCTTGCCGATCAGAAGGTCGGCAGTTCGAATCCCCACGACGGGGTGAGCTCTTCAGTCCCAGGTCTTGCCAACCTAGGAGTTCGAAAGCACACCAGTGCAAGTAGGTAAACAGGTACCACTCCGGCGGGAAGGTAAATGGTGTTTCCATGCGCTGCTCAGTTTCGCCAGAAGCGGCTTAGTCATGCTGGCCACATGACCCGGGAAAACTTGATTTATTATTATTCAATCAATCAATCTTTATTACGGTCCAGAGACCCAACAAATCGTTACAAAGCAATGCACAATTCAGACAGCCTACTTCCAAGTTAAACAAGCATTTTGTTCAGACTTAAAGATAGGGATCATTGATTCTTGCAACCACCAATAAAAACTTTGCCACTGCTAATGTTCTAGCGTTTGTCCGATCTTCCAATAATTATTCATTATTATGTTTCTATCCCCTTCTTACCTTCTTGTAATTATTGTTTAAGTTTATATCCCACCCTTCTTCCCAAAGCAGCCCAGGTTGGCAAACACCCAGCTGATAAAAACAATAATATTTAAAATACAATAAATGCATGTTTAAAACATTAACAAGCTCAAAGGCTGTATCATGAATTGTGCAACCCGCTTTCTTCTGAGTTGGTTGGTTGCCATTCGTGTATCTTGCAGAAGCAAATGCCACAATATAGCTCTGTGCTGTGCGAAGAAATCCTTTATTTTCTTTTTTCTTTTTTGGCAGTTCTATACATATATATATATATTTTATTAAATTATCTGTTTTACAATTTGAAATACACATTTAAACGTCCTTAAAATATGAATGACTTCCCTTCCTCTCTTTCCATGGTTCATTTTGCATATCATAAATCCTTGCATATTTTACAAAAACCCAAACCGTTCAGCATTCCATTATTGCATCCATCAAAATTTATTTACACTGTTGAATTCAGCTTGTCAATAAATCCTTTATTTTCTTTGTCCTGAATCGTCCAACCTTCTTCACTGCCGCAGCAGTATTGGGTTCTCATATTATGAGACAGAAAGAAAACCTTCACTTTCTTCACACAACGCATTATTGTATACATCTTTGGGTCGTTCCACATCAAATCAACACAAAAAACAAGGGTTTCACCACCAACCATCTCAGATTTTGATGAAACTTGGTGTACACCCTTCCCTTATAGTTGAAAGAAACCCCCTTAAATTTTTTCCCTTTATCTCAAACGGTTTTAATTTTATAGCACTTCAAATTCTAAAATTTTGTTAGAAGACATAAGAGACCCATACATTTTATTCTTTGTTGAGAAAGAGCATGTCTCTGCAATAATTTCCACCATCAAAAACTTTTGATTCCATCATGCCCTCACGCTGAAAATTTAGGTTTTCTGAACCTCATTTTTCCACCAAAAAACTACATTTATACATTTTAAAGGCGTTTATAAAATCTTTTGAGTGCTGATGTATTTTTTCCTGAAATCCTCATCATGTTATTGAGCTCTGTGTAAAATTTCAAAGAGATCTGATCGTTGGTTATGAAGAAAAGAATTAAAATACACACAAGACTGAGGATCTCAAAAGGGACAGAAACACAGATTTCACGAAACTTTGAAGTGCTATAAAAGTAAAACCGATTGAGATAGAGGGGAAAAAATTAAGGGGGTTTCTTTCAACCACAAGGGAAGGGTGTGCACCAAGTTTCATCAAAATCTGAGACGGCGGGTGGCATGACCGCATTGAACTGACGTGGAACGACCCCTTTATCCTTGCCTTGTATCTAAACTACCAAACTCTGCATCGTATAAGCTTCCCTCCCTGGGGACTTTCTGTATCTCCTTGATCGTTTCTGTGGCCCTTCTCCGACAGAAGATCTCAGGGTCACAAAGGATCCTGCATGAATGTTCCGTTTCAGGGTCTGTACCGACAGATTCATTTACTCACCAGTTTTTTTTGCTTCTCTTCAAAGGGAGACCCTGGGCTACCTGGCAGAGGAACGGACATCAAGGTAAATCCAGACAAATGATGGTTTGCATGATGAAACACATTGATCAGCCCTCCGATAGGGTGGGCATAAAATGAAACTTCTCAGTGGCAGCTGGAAGCAAATTTCTTTCTTTCTTTCTTTCTTTCTTTCTTTCTTTCTTTCTTTCTTTCTTTGTTAACGGAAAAATCCGAGGGCTCCCTTGGACAAAAAACAAAGACACCAACCAGGATAACTTGGAGCAAAACAGCAGCCTGTAGGCTTGGCCTTTATTGATCTGTTGCAACAGGGTGCTCCCCTCACTTGCAGGAGAGAGGAGGGACCCAGAAAAATGGTGTGCAAGGCCTTATAAAGACTTTTGAAATTGCCACCCTGTAGATCAAGACCACCCCCAGAAACATCATACATACATCACAGAAGGGGTGTAACCTAAGGCCATCCCTCAGATACATCACACCTACATCACAGAAAAGGCGGTCTAAAACAGAAAATTTGAATGTTGTTTTTCTCCTGTCCTTGTTTATCTCCTGTCTGGCAGGTTACTTGATTGGATTGCCTGGGGAGCCCAGCCATTCTTTTGTAGTGATAAATACTTAGTTCCTGGGCCAGTTCACAGGCTCACACCCTTATTCAAACACAGACATACCCTTAAGACAGGATTTGTGAAGGAAAAGACAATGGGGAGGCTTTTCCAGTTTGACCTTGCAGAGAAAACATTTGCTCAGTTTAGGAATCAAAATGGTTCCAGGGTGGCCTTCCCGTGCTGATTTATGTAGGTGCTTGGTTGGTACACTCATGAACATTACCATATATCTAAGACCATAAAATTCCTATCACAAATTCAATCTTTATTGGTTTATAATCAACACAGTGAAAACAAACAAACAAAAATAGCACATAACTCACAAAAAAAGAAAGGAAAGGAAACAGTACAACGCGAAAACACAAAAATATTTCAGCCATCGACGTCCGACCTCCTTGTTGTGGGTTCTTCGTTTCCTTGTTACTCGCCTCTGTTTTCAACAAACTTAACCTGTGTTATATCTTATTTGCGTGGCAAGTCCCCTCCCCCATGTGAAATGAAGACACTGGACACAGTATTTAAGGTTAATGGGCATAAAAAGGCCACAACTTTATTGATTACAGAATTGGAAGGTATTGGCCTTAGGCATTGGCTCCTACCGACTACCCGGCATGGGGACCGGGAAGGGTTGTCCACAAGCCGTGGGAGTCCTGTTGAAGTACGCCAACTAGGATCCCAGCGGGTGTCACCGCTCTGGGGCGTGCCGGAGGCCCTTACCTCCCTAGGTTTCGGACAAGGCCACGCCCCCCGGAGTCCTCTACCGGACTACCCTTTCTTTTGGGAAAGGTGATGGCGCTTCCTTCCCCCCTTCATTTGCATAACAATTGACCCCTGCCAATGCCTAACCGCCAATACCGAATAAGTTGTGACGTTTGCTACGAGGTAGGCGAAAAAACCAAAAGGCTCGAAGTGTGCCAACTTGGAAAAATTCCTACCAGGCCCCTTGCGGCGACCAACCGAAGTCCATAGCAAGGTCAAAGCTAGCTAAACCTAAAGGGAGGGTCGGATGGGAAAACTGCTCAGCTGGAAAGGGGCAAAGAGGGCGGTCCCTCTTAAATAGGCTAGGCCACGCCTCCCCAGCCCGCTGATTGGCGGGCCGGGTCGCCGACACGCCCGGGGATTCCCTAACCACGCGGGGGCAAGGGCCAGCCCCCGCGTGTGAGATGTGGGAGGGATTTCTGCCCGCAACCCCCTCTCCTCCCAGGTCGGAAATGGCTTTGTGTTCTTTATACCTTATGCAATTCTGAGAGTTATTCAAAGCATTCTAAAGTTTTAATATGGGGACAATGTTCTTTTAAATATTGCCTAGAAATCTTTTTAAACTTTTGGGTCCATCTATCCCTGATCTTTTCTGTCATATTCGCTAGTTCCATGTATTCAAGCAGTTTAACTTGCCACCCCTCTTTTGATGGGATTCTGTCTACTTTCCACCACTTGGCAACCAAGCATCCTTTCTGCTGCAGTTGCTGTGTACAAAAAAATCCTTCTTTTCTCTCTCTTGGGATGTCAGATGTTTTAATTTTATAGCACTTCAAAGTTTTGTGAAATCTGTGTTTCTATCCCAGTTAAACGCGTTGTAAGCTTTGCATGAGAAATCGGATTCGCAAAAACAGAACTCCACAGCGCCACCTGGTGTCGTTGAGTTATAATGCATATAATGGGGACACTGCAGCTGAAAACTATTTTTCTGTCTCTTGCCTTTGCATTGCACACAATGAACAATCCTGTTTATGACGACTGCTGCCATTTGTTCCGAGTGCAGGATCTGGAAAGACTCTTCGAAGCTTATGGCATCAAGGTAGGTTGCAACCTACTAAATGACCTACAGAGAGACAAAACTGATTCTGGAACTAAGGTTATGGAAATTAAGTCTGGGGAACTGTGTACCAAGAGGAATTTTATTTTTAAAGTTCTTTTTTATTTTTAACTTGCTTTTAACTTTTCAATAAAATTATTGCTTGGTTTTATGTTTTAATATTGTTGTGACATATTTTTATGATGCTGTTGTATATATCTATATTTATCTATTTATCTATCTATCTATCATCTATCTATCTATCTATCTATCTATCTAGGGACGCGGGTGGCACTGTGGGTTAAACCACAGAGCCTAGGACTTGCCGATCAGAAGGTCGGCAGTTCGAATCCCCATAACGGGATGAGCTCCCGTTGCTCAGTCCCTGCTCCTGCCAACCTAGCAGTTCGAAAGCACGCCAAAGTGCAAGTAGATAAATAGGTACCACTCCGGGGGGAGGTAAACGGCATTTCCGTGCGCTGCTCTGGTTCGCCAGAAGCGGCTTAGTCATGCTGGCCACATGACCCGGAAGCTGTACGCCGGCTCCCTCGGCCAATAAAGCGAGATGAGCGTCGCAACCCCAAAGTCGGCCACGACTGGACCTAATGGTCAGGGGTCCCTTTACCTTTATCTATCTATCTATCAATCATCGTACCTCGGTTGTCGAACATAATCCATTCCGGAAGACTGTTTGACTTTCAAAATGTTCAACAACCGAGGCACAATGGGCAGTCGGCATGGCGCGTTCGAAAATGGAAGCATTCACTTCCGGGTTTTCGGCATTCAAAAACTGAAACATTCAGCTTCCGACAAGGTACCACTGTATAATTATTTTTCTAAACAGCTAAGTAGATCCACTAAACTCCTCACGCTGTTTTCTTACAGTTATCTCTTACCTTCCTTCCATCATGGAACTGAAGGTGTCATTCACAATTTGGCTTTAGGAATGTAACCCCCACAAAAGTTGAGGGCTTACTGTGTCTTTTCAATAGCCTGCCATATCTACAATCTGATATATTTGAACAGGTAATGACGGAAGATACATGGGAAAACAAATGTCGAAAGATTTTGAATAAATGGACAAGTTATAGGAATTGGATAGCACAGGGGGGAGCTGACCCAAGCATCCAAATTAGAATGAATAATCTGTGCATATGGTTAAAGATTTGAAGAGAGAACAAGTTTTGGGGGGAGGAATTAAAGGAGGAAGTGGAAAAAAATTAGGATAAATGAGTAGGGACAAAAGTATATACTGTTATGTATAACTAATAGGAGGAGGATTTTGAGGTTATTGTTAGATTTTTGACTGAATGATTTTTCTGTAAATTATTTGACATCCCTGGATGAAAGTGTGATTATAAAGAATGGGGTGGGGTGGGGAATAAAAAAAATAATAAAAAATAATAGCCTGCCAATAGCGCAAGGGGAAAAGGGAAGACAGAGAGGAGATCCAGAATTTGGACCGTATTGTCTTGGCAGGATGCCCACACCAGTGTCTCCTCTTGATTGCTTCATGAGATCTAGCCTGTTGCGCCTCTTTGTTTTAACTTGCAGCTGGCGCTGTTGAAGGAGCTGTCTGACCTGCTCCTCCGGGACGGGGTCGAGCTGGTGAGCCAGCAAGTGGCCGGCTCCAGGAAGGCGAAGGGGAAGTCAGCCAAGAAGAAGCAAGGCTCTAAGCAGATCACGGGTGATGTGGTGAGTATCACAGAAGGACAACACTATGTGCCACCCTCACAGGGGACACAGGAGAGGGCCTTCTCGGTGGCTGCTCCCAGACTTTGGAACTCCCTGCCTGGGGAAACTCAGCTAGCTCCTTCCCTCCTTGTTGTCCTTCTGCTGGCAGGTAAAGACGGTTTGTGATATTTATGATACAATATTTATAAACATGATATTTATCAAAATATTATTATTATTATTATTATTATTATTATTATTATTATTATTATTTATTAACTTATTTCACAACCCTACTTAAAACATACGAAACAGATTAGAACAGGAGTCAGCAAACTTTTTCAACAGAGGGCTGGTCCACTGTCCTCAGACCTTGTGGGGGGCCGGACTATATTTTGAAAAATAATAATGAATGAATTCCTATGTGTTAAGTTGTGGGTGAACATATCAGACGACACAGCGATTCTTCAGACAGTTTATTCACAGGCCAGAACAGAACTGAACTGAAGGGTTCAGCCAGCCTGCTTATATAGAGCTCCACTACAACGCAACAGTAACCACTTTCTGTAACTATCCAATCACTTAGCGTCACTTTCAATTCCTTATTTGCATATGTGGACCTGAGTGAAAACTATCTACAGTATCTCCCCCTGCTGGCCCAGGGTGAGAACTTCAGTACATAACACTATGCCCCACAAATAACCTAGAGATGCATTTTAAATAAAAGCACACATTCTACTCGTGTAAAAACACCAGGCAGGTCCCACAAACAAACCAGAGACGCATTTTAAATAAAAAGGCACATTCTACTCATGTAAAAACATGCTGATTCCCGGACTGTCCGCAGGCCGGATTTAGAAGGCGATTGGGCTGGATTCGGCCCCCAGGCCTTAGTTTGCCGACCCATGGATTAGAATGACATGAACTCTCTAAGTGGCTGGGTAGGTTTGGGTGAACAGGAATGCTTTTAGCCAGTGGCTGAAAGATTTCCGCCTCGGTGTCCTGGCAGGCTTTTGGAAACTGGTTGCTTTTAATGATAGGGCTGGGGCCGGGCTGTTCCTATTGTAATTATCGGTATGATTTTAATGGAGCATGTGTGTGTATAAAATGGCTTTTAAAATTATTTTTTCCTATTAAAAAAAGCTATTTATAAAAATGAATTCCAAATAATAATAATAATTGTTATTTGTCCATGGCTGGGATGCGGGGGGCGCTGAGGTCTAAACAACTGAGCCTAGGGCTTGCCGATCAGAAGGTCTGTGGTTCGAATCCCCACGCCGGGGTGAGCTCCCGTTGCTCGGTCCCTGCTCCTGCCAACCTAGCAGTTCGAAAGCACATCAAAGTGCAAGTAGATAAATAGGTACCGCTCTGGCGGGAAGGTAAACGGTGTTTCCATGCGCTGCTCTGGTTTCGCCAGAAGTCATGCTAGCCACATGACCCGGAAAAACTGTCTGCGGACAAACATCGGCTCCCTCGGCCAGTAAAGCGAGATGAGCGCCGCAACCCCAGAGTCATCTGCGACTGGACTTAACTGTCAGGGGTCCTTTAGCTTTACTTTTAGTCTACGTTTGTATTCCTGGGCTCATAAGATTCCTCATGCTGTTCCATTTGATTATTTCTTACTATTTAACTGCCTTATGACCACCTTATACTGATACCTTTCTTTGTATTTTTGATTTTAAATGGTACATTTTTTTCTTTTTCTCACTCTCTGACTGTGTTTTATGTAGGCCGCTTGGGGATCCTGCATTTTAAGCGCTGTGTCAATATTACGAGACCTTAGAATTCCTATAACACATTTGTGTGTGTAATTTTAGCAGAGCCCACGGACGTCTGATGTTCCCGGCGAGCATCTAGCTAGCACCACCGAAGTGGCCCGAGAACAGCCGAGCATCGATTTGGAATCCCCATCTCCAGAAGCTGAGGAATATCTCTTGTCTCCCCCCACTTCCCCGCCTGCCACTCTTGCTCGGGTAATTGCTCAGATTAGAACTAAACTCAAAAAATGGGGAAGGTTTGTATTTGTGGACGGAAGGAATCATCTTTTGCTGGGTTGCTGGTCCCGGTTGGAACAGGTCTCAAAGGACCTGTTGATGGCATTTTACCATTGTACTGTGGAGAGTGTATTAACTACACCAGTGTGGTGTAGTGGTTAAGAGCGGTAGTCTCGTAATCTGGGGAACTGGGTTCGCGTCTCCGCTCCTCCACATGCAGCTGCTGGGTGACCTTGGGCCAGTCACACTTCTCTGAAGTCTCTCAGCCCCACTCACCTCACAGAGTGTTTGTTGTGGGGGAGGAAGGGAAAGGAGATGGTTAGCCGCTTTGAGACTCCTGAAGGGGAGTGAAAGGCGGGATATCAAATCCAAACTCTTCTTCTTCTTCTTATGGTCTGTTTGTGTGGTTTGGGAGCTGCATAGTCAGGGAAAAAACAATGCTGTCCAGGGTTGTAAAGACTGCGGAGAGAATAATTGGGTGCCCTCTTCCCACCTTGGATCAAATCTATGCTTCCAGGTGCCATAAGAAAGCTGCAGAGATAGTGCGCACCCCGGAAATGATCTCTTTCAGCTTCTGCCTTCTGGAAGAAGGTACAAGGTTATAAAGACTAGGACTAACCGCCTGAGAAACAGTTTCTATCCAAATGCAATTTTGGTTTTGAATGCAGTGTAAGGTAGTCTCTATGGGAGCATATTGTATTTAAAAATGGGGTACCTAAGTTTTTAGGGGGCTAACCAGGCTGGGATAGTTGGGATAGCAGGCTTGTTGGGTTTTGAATGTCTTAAGTAGATTTTTCAATTTTGTTGTTCTGTATGGGACAATCACGGGACGCGGGTGGCGCTGTGGGTAAAAGCCTCAGCGCCTAGGGCTTGCCGATCGAAAGGTCGGCGGTTTGAATCCCCGCGGCGGGGTGCACTCCCGTTGTTCGGTCCCTGCGCCTGCCAACCTAGCAGTTCAAAAGCACCCCCGGGTGCAAGTAGATAAATAGGGACCGCTTACTAGCGCGAAGGTAAACGGCGTTTCCGTGTGCTGTGCTGGCTCGCCAGAGCAGCGATGTCACGCTGGCCACGTGACCCGGAAGTGTCTCCGGACAGCGCTGGCCCCCGGCCTCTTGAGTGAGATGGGCGCACAACCCTAGAGTCTGTCAAGACTGGCCCGTACGGGCAGGGGTACCTTTACCTTTACCTTTTTAAGGTAGTCTCTATGGGAGTATATTGTATTTAAAAATGGGGTACCTAAGTTTTTAGGGGGCTAACCAGGCTGGGATAGTTGGGATGGCAGGCTTGTTGGGTTTTGAATGTCTTAGGTAGATTTTTCAATTTTGTTGTTCTGTATGGGACAATCACAATAAAGCTTATCATATCGTATCATATCGTAGGGCAGGAGTCCGGGAGGCCAACACTAGGTGGCGCCAGAGCCAACGATGGGCAGAGCCAACCAATTCGGTTTTGCCTCTGTCATTCTCCTGGCTGAGTTCTGCAAAGACAACACTGAGACCGCAGAGGAAACTGATAGACAGTGTCACCCTGCTCCCCAGACAGGATAGGATCATAGAATCATAGAATTGGAAGGGAACACAAGGGTCATCTAGTCCAGGGGTCAGCAAACGTTTTCAGCAGGGGGGCTGTCCACTGTCCCTCAGATGATGCGGGGGGCTGAACTATATTTTGGAAAAGAAAATGAACGAATTTCTATGCCCCACAGATAACCCAGAGATGCATTTTAAATAAAAGGACACATTCTACTCGTGTAAAAACACCAGGCAGGCCCCACAAATAACCCAGAGATGCATTTTAAATAAAATGACACAGTCTAATCAAGTAAAAACACGCTGATTCCTGGACCGTCCGCAGGATGGATTGAGAAGGTGATTGGGGCGGATCCGGCCCCCGAGCCTTAGTTTGCTTACCCATGATAGTCTATCTATCTATCCTATCTATCTATCCGTCCAGAAATCCAGCATTTTTGTATGCCATTTCAACTCATATACAGCATATTTACCCCCTATTTAAAGTGGCAAGTTATCGTTTCTCTTCTTTCTTTCTATAATTTTTATTAAATTTTCTGTTTTACATTTCAGAATATTCATTTAAACAGCCTTAAAATGTCAATGACTTCCCTTCTTCTCCTTCCATGGTTCATTTTGCATAACATAAATCCCTGCATATTTTATATAAACTAAACCATTCAGTATTCCATTATTACATCCATCAAAACATATTTACACTGTTGAATTTATCTTTTTTTCAAAAAAAATTTATTAGATTTTACATTTTAGTACTCAACGCCTTTATCATATATAAAAAAAGACAAAAAATAAAGCAAAACTCCCCCTACCCCCTGACTTCCCTCAACTCCCCCTTCTGGTTCTTTGACAATTTGTTGCTTTTGCTTAATTTTTTATCTTATTTTTCATCTTTTAGCTGAATGCTCTCATATTCTTATCATCTTTGTACCAAATTTTCTTCAAATTACATTTTACATTTAATTAATTTTCACATTGTTGTCTCTTAACCTTTACTCTTGTTTTCCTAATTGTGTTTACTCAAACCCTGCTAGTTCATTTCTTTACAGTATTTCTGTAAATACAGCATAAACAGTTCCCAGTCTTTTTAAAAGTCTTTGTCTTCCCATTAGTTTCACCATCTCTGCGTATTCCATAAGTTTGACTCGCCGTTCTTCTTTTGTTGGAATCTTGTCATCTTTCCATTCAACACTGTTGAATTTATCTTAATGCTGCCCACGTTTTCAAATATACACAATTTCCCCCCATATATTCAATCAGCATTTTCCAATCTTCTTTAAACGTATGCTCTTCTTGTTCTCTAATTCTATATGCTAGGTCCGCAAGCTGCGCATATTCCATCAGTTTAAGTTGCCATTCTTCTTTAGTTGGGACTTTGCTCATTTTCCATTTTGGGGCTAACAAAACATGGGCCGCAGTAGTGATATACATAAATAACCTTTTTTGAAACCTGGGAATTTCTGCCTGAATTACCCCCCCAAAAAATAGGACTCTGGGGTTTTTTGGAAAAGTACTCTTAAACAGTTTTTTTCCAATTCATTATGAATTATTTCCCAATACTCTTTTACCCATTTACAGGTCCACCACATATGATAGAACGTACCCATAGTCTCATTGCATCTCCAGCACTTACCTGATTCAGTCTTATACATATTGGCAAGTCTACTCAGAGTTACCATATTTTTCGCTCTATAGGATGCACTATTCCCACTCAAAAAATGAAGGGGAATTGTGTGTGCGTCCTACGGAGCGAATGCAGGCTTTCGCTGAAGCCTGGAGAGTGAGAGGGGTCGGTACGCACCGACCCCTCTCGCTCTCCAGGCTTCAGGCAGCTATCCGCAAGCCTTCTGAGTGCTCCGAAGGCTTGCAGATAGCAGCCTGCAGCCTGAAGCCCGGGGAGCGCAGCGCCAACTCCCGCTGCGCACCCCGGGCTTCAGGCAGCTATCCGCAAGTCTTCTGAGCGCAGCGGGAGTTCCTGCTGCGCTCAGAAGGCTTGCAGATAGCTGCCTGTTCTGGGGGCTGGGGTCGGGGGAAGTTTGGACTTCCCCCGTCCCCAGCCCCGCAAGCTCTGGGAGCAGCGGTGAGGTTGCGTGCAATCTTGCCACCACTCCTGGACCTGTGTTGGGTGCTGGGGTTGGGGGAAGCTTGGGTTTCCCCAGCCCCGCGGCTACAAACGAAGCCAAGACAGTGAGCGGGATCCATCCCACTCGCTGTCTTGGCTTCTGCCAAAGCCGCATGCAGCCTCTCCTGGCTGGAGAGGTTGTGCGTGGCTAAAGAGGAAGCCAAGACAGCCAGCAGGATTGATCCCGCTCACTGTCTTGGCTTCTTTGCTCTTTGGGACTGGGGGGGGGAATAATTCCCCCCCCTAAAAACTAGGTGCGCCCTATGGTCCGGTGCGCCCTATGGAGCGAAAAATACGGTAGATACCATCTGCAGAATCATTTTCAGGTTGTTCTCCAGCAGGTTATCGTTTCTCAAGGCTTCTCCTCAACTCCCTTCTAAGACATAGTGGGTGGCTCAGCTCCCAGACATTTTGTTCCCTGGCGTCTCACAAGCTGCATTTTCTTTCTTTCATCAGACCGTTGCAGATCTGAAGATCATGACAACTGCTAACCGCAATCCTAGTGACAACATGGTGTCAGAAGTGACAGCCAACCACACAGGCCTATGGGAGCTGGATGCTGAGAAAGCCAAGGACAATCCGTACAGACAGAGCACAACTCTGCCTCAAAGGACGATGGAAGAGGACTCTTGGGAGCAGGCAGGAGCTACTGAGGCTGCCATCTTGGTGACCCAGGATGGAGTTTGGTCTCTGGAAGAGACATCTGTAAGGATGGAGACAGAGGGAAAGGTAAAGCATTGGTATTGTAAACGAGGAACAAGGATCTTTTACTCTTTTTTCTGCCAAATCATTTTTATTGATTTCCGAAATTTTACCAAATCCACCACAAATTAAAGCAAATTTAATACAATTTTCCCCAAAATTAGTTTCCCACACTCCATCATTGTTGTGTCCATAGTTTCCTTTTTTTATATAATAATAATAATAATAATAATAAATTTTATTTATATCCCGCCCTCCCCAGCCGAAGCCGGGCTCAGGGCGGCTAACAACAACATCCATTATTTTCCCAGTTATTTCTAATTCACACTCTTTTCCTTGCAATTAACCATCTATTACAATAATTTTGTTGTTGTTGTTAACTTATTATCCTTAACCATCAGCTACCCGCCTGCTAATTCCTGCACATACAGTATTTTAACATTTCCAATATCTACAAGTGAGGTGACACAACAAATTATCAATCCACAATAAATCAGTCGTTACTGTTTCGAAAATAAATTCCTTTCCTTCCTTCTGCGTGTATGGAAATGTAATAGTTCATTTTGACTGGAAGTTTTCCCTTTACTTCTTATCTGCACAGTCTGCTTTGTCCAGGAATCCACCGAACAAGGGATCTTTTTCAGCCCATGGTCTTTGATTCAGTAAGACCTCTAGCTTACTTAAAACAATATAAAATATTGATAAGAAAATACCAATAAGATCCAACTTTAACAACAAGCAGTCAATAAAAGTTATCAAAACATAGATAAAATCAACAGTTTTAAACACACACACATATACAATAAAACTACATGGCTGAAATTTTGCAAACAAAAAGGTGTTTAGTGGGTGTTGAAAATAACATAGGGAAGGCACCTGCTTAATATCAATAGGCAGGGAGGTTTCAGAGAACAGGTGATGCCACACTATAGGATCGATTCCTTGAAAATGTGAAGTGAATATTATGTGGCACTTGTAACAGCAATGATAAAAGCAGTCAAGTGGGCATATATCTTTCAAGTAAACTGGTCTCAAGCTGTCGAGGACTTTATATACCAAGAGTAACACCTTGAACTTGGCCTGGAAAGCCAGCCTTTCAGCTGTGTAAACTCTGAGCTTGATCCTTAAGCAAAAATTATAGACCTCAACCAATGTGATAACCCTGATGCCGCTGCTACGTTTACATTTCAGGACATCCTGACCTTTTCTCAATATTTATCCTCCAGATCCTGATCCTCTTTCAAACTCTCACTTTATCAGTCTTTTTTTCCAGCAGTCTTCTTAGCTACACACCAAGAAGTAAGCACAAGATTTCCAATGTGGTCTTACGTGTGCTGAGTAAAGTGCTATTGCTGATTTTTGGATCTTTGAAATGATATTTCCGTTAATAAAAAATAAAGCAACATTGGCTGCATGTGCCACAGTAGCACGTGATTGGCTTGTGTTCTGTTTAATATCCCCTATGAAACCCAAAAAGAGATTATTCTGTTTCTTCAGGTAGAACAGAACTCCCTTCATCTTGATCCAAAGTCTCATCTCTACTCGCTAGAGAATGCACCACGTCAGGTAACAGAGACCCCAGAAAAGATGAAGACAGATGGAGACCTATTCAGTGTAAGCACTACCTCCAGAACTCAATAAAAAAGATGCATATTATTTGTCCGTTTTCTTTCTCTTCCGTGTGGGGGAAAATAGATGAATTTATTCCAAGCCAAACCCATTTGAGTCTGGGGACGTTCTCCCCTCGCTAGACCCTGCTGAAATTTTGCCTCTCGCCCACCATTGAAAGCCACCAGCTCAAAATCCAAACTGCACTTCCGGTGTGGATGGCTTCAAAAGATTAGGCAAATTCACAGAAGAGGATAAGGCCATGTTCTGCCCCCATGGTCAGAGGCAGTCTGAGGCTCTGAATATCAGTTGGACTTGTCGGGGATTGTGGAGTTTTATGGGTAAAGGTTTATGTTCCCGAACTTTCTCAAAGCTTCTCTGCAGCTGGGCTGTGTTTATCAGTCATGTGAGACTCGAGGACAAAATGCTCCGAGTTAGGAGATAAATATCCTGCTACTGAGAATTTCTGTATTCCGTCTATCATTTCTCTTTCTTCTGCACAGCCTATCTGTGTTTTTTGCCTCTGTAATTGGATGCGCTATTTTGAGCTAGGTTTTGCGCCTTGCCTGGGGGATCCAGCAAGAATCGGCAGCTAAAAAAGCCAATGCAATTCTGGGCTGCCTCAATAGGAGTATAGCATCTAGATCAAGGGAAGTAATAGTGCCACTGTATTCTGCTCTGGTCGGACCTCACCTGGAGTACTGTGTCCAGTTCTGGGCACCACAGTTCAAGAAGGACACTGACAAACTGGAACGTGTCCAGAGGAGGGCAACCAAAATGGTCAAAGGCCTGGAAACGATGCCTTATGAGGAACGGCTAAGGGAGCTGGGCATGTTTAGCCTGGAGAAGAGGAGGTTAAGGGGTGATATGATAGCCATGTTCAAATATATAAAAGGATGTCACATAGAGGAGGGAGAAAGGCTGTTTTCTGCTGCTCCAGAGAAGCAGACACGGAGCAATGGATCCAAACTACAAGAAAGAAGATTCCACCTAAACATTCGGAAGAACTTCCTGACAGTAAGAGCTGTTCGACAGTGGAATTTGCTGCCAAGGAGTGTGGTGGAGTCTCCTACTTTGGAGGTCTTTAAGCAGAGGCTTGACAACCATATATCAGGAGTGCTCTGATGGTGTTTCCTGCTTGGCAGGGTGTTGGACTCGATGGCCCTTGTGGTCTCTTCCAACTCTATGATTCTATGATTCTATGAATCTTGGACTTTGTAAGCGTTTCATGCTCTAAGAACCTCAGTAGAAAACATAACTGAATAACTTTTGCTCTCTCCCTCTCTCTCTCTCTCTCTCTCTCTCTCTCTCTCTCTCGCTTTCTCTCTCTCTCTGTGTGTGTGTGTGTGTGTGGTGTAGTGGTTAAAGAGAGCCAGTGTGGTGTAGTAGTTAAGAGTGGTGGACTCGTAATCTGGTGAACCAGGTTTGATTCCCCGCTGCTCCACATGAATCTACTGGGTGACCTTGGGCCAGTCACACTTCTCTGAAGTCTCTCAGCCTCACTCATCTCACAGAGTGTTTGTTGTGGGGCAGGAAGGGAAAGGAGAATGTTAGCTGCTTTGAGACTCCTTAAAAGGTAAAGGGACCCCTGACCATTAGGTCCAGTCGTGACCGACTCTGGGGTTGCGGCGCTCATCTTGCTTTATTGGCTGAGGGAGCCAGCTTTTGTCAGCAGACAGCTTCCGGGTCATGTGGCCGGCATGACTCAGCCGCTTCTGGTGAACCAGAGCAGCACACGGAAACGCCATTTACCTTCCTGCCAGAGCGGTACCTATTTATCTACTTGCAGTTTGACGTGCTTTCGAACTGCTAGGTTGGCAGGAGCAGGGACCAAGCAACGGGGGCTCACCCCGTTGCGGGGATTCGAACCGCCGACCTTCTGATCGGCAAGTCCTAGGCTCTGTGGTTTAACCCACAGCGCCACCCGGTGGTGATAAAGCGGGCTATCAAATCCAAACTCCTCTTCTTCTTCTCACTGGAACTCTGCACGAGACTTCATGCAACTCTACTATTTCCCCCCATGTCCTGATGTGCTATTTTCAGGCATGGAGCCAGGGGGTGACTGGTTTTGGCACTAGCCCTGACAGGACTCAGGTTCCTGTTTGTGAGGTTCCCATTGGGGCATCTGTTTGGCCACTATGAGAACAGGATGCTAGGCTGTGACCTATAGGAGTCCAGGACCGGGTCTTTCTCAACCCACTTGTTGTTGTTTAGTTGTTTAGTCGTTCAGTCGTGTCTGACTCTTCATGACCCCTGGACCAGAGCATGCAAAGCCCTCCTGTCTTCCACTGCCTCCCGCAGTTTGGTCAAACTCATGCTGGTCACTTCGAGAACACTGTCCAACCATCTCGTCCTCTGTCATCCCCTTCTCCTTGTGCCCTCCATCTTCCCCAACATCAGGGTCTTTTCCAGGGAGTCTTCTCTTCTCATGAGCTGGCCAAAGTATTGGAGTCTCAGCTTCAGGATTTGTCCTTCCAGTGAGCACTCAGGGCTGATTTCCTTAAGAATGAACCCACTTACAGGTCACCTAAGAGCTCTGATGGCCTAAATCACTCCTCTCCAGTTCTGTCCTTTGTGCCTCTAAAGAAATGTTCCAGTTGATCAGCACCTGTTGGGCATCAACAGAAACACACCTTGGTCCTTAACCTTGCCGGGTAATTGCATCAAACCAAACGTGCAAGCACCCTATCTCTTTTCCAAGTCAGTTTCCTCACACTGGCTCATGGATATTACTGGAGTATTTGCAAAGGGGTAGCTTGCCGCTGTGTACTTATTGACACTTGCTGTATTCTCTTTCTGCTAAGAAATTTGAAGACTTGATACTTTAGCTCAAGCCAGCCATGTTTGTTCTCTTTTATAGATATACAGTGGTATCTCGGGTTACATACGCTTCAGGTTACATACACTTCAGGTTACAGACTTTGCTAACCTCGGGTTAAGAACTTTGCTTCAGGATGAGAACAGAAATCGTGCAGCGGCAGCGCAGCGGCAGCAGGAGGCCCCATTAGCTAAAGTGGCGCTTCAGGTTAAGAACAGTTTCAGGTTAAGAACAGACCTCCAGAACGAATTAAGTTCTTAACCCGAGATACCACTGTACATTTTTATTGGTTTTTTTAACATATCATTTCCAACAATCATATAACATAACTTCTTATCTTATACAATGTTTTAGACTTCCGTCAACACCTCTGATTTTTCTTTCTTTATCACTTATTCTACATTTCTGAATTTCCCTATTACTCTTAATTATCATTAACTAATAACTTTCCTCATAGTCTTTCTTGCAATATTTCAAATAGTCCTCCTTACAAAACTTCTTGCAGTCCTACTAGGGTAATCTGTTCATTACAATTACTTTTCAAATAGTTTGTATATTTACTCCAGTCATCTAAGAATCTCTGGTCCCACAGGTTTTGAATCCTTCCTGTTAATTTATCCAATTCTGCATAGTCCATCAGTTTCATACGCCATTCTTCTTTCGTCGGTAATTCTTCTTGCTCCCATTTTTGTGCCAATAATATTCTTGCTACCGTCACTGCATATAAAAACAACTTACAATCCTGTCTATTAATATCATCTCCTACAATGCCAAGTAAAAATGCTTCTGGTTTCTTAATAAATGTATATTTCAACATCTTTTTCATCTTATTATATATCATTTCCCAGACGTTTTTCACTTTTTTACATTCCCACCACATGTGATAGAAAGTTCCTTCCTTTTCTTTACATTTCGCCATGATGTTTATGCCTGTTGTCTTTGTCCATGGAGTTTTCTTGGCAGGGATACTGGAGTGGCTTGCTGGTTCCTCCTCCAGTTGGATCGCGTTTGGTCAAAACTCTCCACTATGACCTGTCCATCTTGGGTGGCCCTGCACGGCATAGCTCATAGCTTCTCTGAGTTATTCAAGCCCCTTCGCCACGGCAAGGCAGTGAGAGTCCCATGGACTCCAAGATCAAACCTATCCATTCTTAAAGAAATCAGCCCTGAGTGCTCACTGGAAGGACAGATCCTGAAGCTGAGGCTCCAATACTTTGGCCACCTCCTGAGAAGAGAAGACTCCCTGGAAAAGACCCTGATGTTGAGAAAGATGGCGGGCACAAGGAGAAGGGGACGACAGAGGACGAGATGGTTGGACAGTGTTCTCAAAGCTACCAGCATGAGTTTGACCAAACTGCGAGAGGCAGTGGAAGACAGGAGTGCCAGGCATGCTCTTGTCCAGGGGGTCACAAGGAGTCGGACAGGACTAAACAACTAAACAACAACAATAATGTTTATTCTCGGCCTCCAAGCTTGGAGGCAGCAGTTCTTCTGAATACCACTTTCTGGAAACGGCAGGAAGGGAAAAAAACTCTTGTGCTTGAATCCTGTTTGCAGGCTTCCCACAGTGTGGTGTAGTGGTTAAGAGCAATAGACTCATAATCTGGGGAACTGGGTTCGCGTCTCCGCTCCTCCACATGCAGCTGCTGGGTGACCTTGGACCAGTCACACTTCTCTGAAGTCTCTCAGCTCCATTCACCTCACAGAGTGTTTGTTGTGGGGGAGGAAGGGAAAAGGAGAATGTGAGCCGCTTTGAGACTCCTTCGGGTAGTGATAAAGGGGGATATCAAATCCAAACAGTGGTTGGCCACTGTGAGAACAGGATGCTCGACTAATTGGGCCACTGGCCTGATCCAGCATGGATCAGACATGGCTGAGGCTACATTGGCACAGTCCTCCGTTCTGGCCCAGTGGAGCAGCCTGCATCTTCTGAAAGGGCTTTTAGCACCTCGGGGCTGCTTCTTTGTCATAAAACCTCCTTGATTTTTGTCTCTGTAGGTGCCTTCCAGTCTTGAGCTGCAGACAGAGCCGAATTCTGCAGAGCATGTGTCAGCAACACCCACAGCATCCACAGAACTGCTGGAGCCTTTGAAGAAAAGACCCAAGGAGCGAAAAAGGGAGAAAGAAATCAGTCGGGTGAGTTAAGGGGAAGAAACCCAAGAGAGTCTACTTGGTTTTTTTTCAAATTTTTTCAAATTTTCAAATTAATTTTCCAAATTTATAAACAAACAAACATAAATCCTAACTGTAATAATTCCACTTTTGTTAACATTATTGAATGACTTCCTCGTATCCCCCTGGCTGAATTTCAGTGTATATCATTGTAACAGTTTTCCAAAACTAATTTCTCATAAAATTTACTTAGTCAAGTAACATCTTTCTTTCTTTTCCTATTAACTTTAAACATATTATTCTATAACATCACATATTTAAATCCTAAGCCAATCTGGTAATTGCAAGTATTTCTATTTAAATTATCTTAGCATATTTCGCTAAATAGTCTTTAAATTTCTTCCATTCCTCCTCCTTCTGGTCACGGACTCTTCCGGTCAGGTCGGCTAGCTCCCAAAAGTCCATCATCTTCATCTGCCATTCCTCTACTGTTGGCACTTCTTGTAGTTTCCAATTCTTGGCCAACAAAATCCTAACAGCAGTCGTGGCATACAAAAACAATCTAACATCTTTCTTGGGCAATTCCTATTATTCCAAGAAGAAAGGCTTCTGGTTTCTTAATAAATGTATATTTTTTAAAAAAATTCAGTTCATTATAAATCCTCTCCCAGAAGTCTTTCACCTTGGGGCAGGTCCACCACATATGATAAAAGCTACCTTCTTTTTCTTTGCATTTCCAACATAGATTATCACTGTTATGATAAATCTTTGCTAATTTTACAGGGGTTAAGTACTATACATCGTTTTCATAATATTTTCCTTTAACATGCAGTGAACTTGATCCCTTTCCTCCACAACCTTTCCCAGTCTTCAAACATTATGTTATGTCCCACATCTCTTGCCCAATCTATCATCACATCAAGAGCGTCTACTTGGAAGAGTTTGGATTTGATATCCCGCTTTATCACTACCCGAAGGAGTCTAAAAGTGGCTCACATTCTCCTTTCCCTTCCTCTCCCACAACAAACACTCTGTGAGGTGAGTGAGGCTGAGAGACTTCAGAGAAGTGTGACTGGCCCAAGGTCACCCAGCAGCTGCATGTGGAGAAGCGGGGAAGCGAACCCGGTTCACCAGATTACGAGTCCACCACTCTTAACCACTACACCACACTGGCTCTCTTGGGTTGCCCTTGTGTTCTCGGAAGGCATTCTGGGACGGTGGTGATGCGCAAAGCGGCTTCTGCGCATGTTACCACTGACCCTTGGATCGCGTAACCAAGAAGCATGCTCTGGGTTGACCTCTGTGTAGATGAGAGCCTATTTCGAAGCACAAGAAGGGACACAGCTCAGCAATGCAGAAGGTCGCAGGTTCAAAGAGAAAGCCTGTCTGGCCTCTCTTGGGAGAGATTCCTCAATCTGCAAATGTAATGGGAATTGGGGTTGCTTGTGCGTAAACTCCCAACTGTTCCAAGCTGGTTGTATAGCTAAACCTTTCCCTGGTTTGACAGCCCTCACAACGCGACTGTCTCAATCACTGGCAGAATCCGTCAGTGGGCGTTTCCTGAACTTCTTCCAACATAAGAATTCCTTGACAGCAAGTCTCCGCCTAGCTTCTCTGCGCGGAAGCCTTCTGCGCAGAGTAGGCATGCCAAGCGGAGGTCCTGCGCTCTCCCCGCTGATCTCACTGGAAGAGTCTCGGAGCCTTCCCTCCGAAGTACTCTCAGCCTCCCCTTTCTTCCTGGTGTCACCTTGATTTCCTTCCCCAGCGGAAGCGCTCTCTCTCTCCTTGCTAGTTCCCTCCCCTGCATCATCGGGGCGACTTCCCTCTCCTCTAGTCTCTGATGTCAGTTCCCTGACAGCAAACATCCACAGAAGCAGCTTCTTCTGTTTCCTTCGGCTCTGACTGCAGCAACCAGCAGAGGGCAGCGAGCCCACACAATTCAGACCGGCTGGATTCTTCCTTTTCGAAAGGGGGCTCGATGTTTGCAGAATTCCCGCAACGGCTGTGGGACTATGTTAGCTGTGCTCTTTGATTTCAGTGCAGAAGTTTGAAGTAGCAGCGCATGGGGAGATAAGCAGCAGGCAGGTTTTACTCCCTTACTCCCTCCTCCCTTTAAATAAATAAATATATTTTTATTTATACCCCGCCCTTCCCGGTTGAGAAAACCGGGCTCAGAAGAAGAAGAAGAAGAGTTTGGATTTGATATCCCACCTTTCACTCCCTTTAAGGAGTCTCAAAGCGGCTAACATTCTCCTTTCCCTCCCTCCCCCACAACAAACACCCTGTGAGGTGAGTGGGGCTGAGAGACTTCAAAGAAGTGTGACTGGCCCAAAGTCACCCAGCAGCTGCATGTGGAGGAGCGGAGACGCGAACCCGGTTCCCCAGATTACAAGACTACCGCGGTTCCTCAGATTACGAGGCTCAGGGCGGCTAACAACAAATTTAAAACACTTAATTGATGCAACAACAACAAAAAGCATAAAATACAGTATAAAACGTGAATAACAATAAATTCAGAATTCAAAAATCAATTTAGGGGGTAAATACATCCAATAAACATTAGATGATCACCAGGGCTAGCTGGCTAAGTTAGTCCTATTTGGGCCAGCGAGGAGACCAGGGGAGAATTAGCTGTGGGATCCCAGAGCGGGTAATCTTCATAAAAAGGGGAGGGGGAGGGAAGGAAAGGAAAGGAAGAGGAATAAAAGATCAGGCTAAGTTCAAATTGAAAGCCAGGTGGAATAGCTTTGTTTTACAAGACCAGCGGAAGGAAGTTAAATCCTGCAGGGCCCTAATCTCATGGGACAGACCATTCCACCAGGTCGGAGCCATCACTGAGAAGGCCCTGGCCCTGGTGGAGGATAATCTGACTTCCTTAGGGCCCGGGACCCCTAAACTATGGTTATTCATGGACCTTCAGGTCCTCTACAGGGCAGACCAGGAGAGGCGGTCCCATAAATACGAGGGCCCTAAGCCACAAAGGGCTTAGCTTTAGCGGTAAAAGTAGACCCCATCCACATTTATCTGTTCCTTACATTTCCTTCAAGGTGGAATACACACTTGTCTGCCTCTTCACTTTGATCCTCACAACAACCCTGTGTGGTAGGTTAGGCGGAGAGACAGCGACTGGCCCAAGGGCTTTGTAGCTGAATGGGGATTTGAACCCAGGCCTCCCAAGTCCCGGGTCGATGTGCTAACCGCCATACCACACTGGTACCATGCTTCATAGCTGAACTGGCAGGCACATGCTGAGCAAACGTAGACATGTCTGTTTTGGAAACGGAGACCTGCTCTCTGCTCCTTGCATCAATCCTTTGATCTTGTCACCTGGATAAAACACTATAGCCCCCCACACCCTTACCTTGGAGTAAGGCCCACTGAACTCAGTGTGGCTTTCTCCTGAGTTGTTGTTGTTGTTTAGTTGTTGAGTCGTGTCCGACTCTTCGTGACCCCCTGGACCAGAGCATGCCAGGCACTCCTGTCTTCCACTGCCTCCCACAGTTTGGTCAAACTCATGCTGGTAGCTTCGAGAACACTGTCCAACCATCTCGTCCTCTGTCGTCCCCTTCTCCTTGTGCCCTCCATCTTTCCCAACATCAGGGTCTTTTCCAGGGAGTCTTCTCTTCTCATGAGGTGGCCATAGTACTGGAGCCTCAGCTTCAGGATCTGTCCTTCCAGTGAGCACTCAGGGCTGATTTCCTTCAGAATGGAGAGGTTTGATCTTCTTGCAGTCCATGGGACTCTCAAGATTCTCCTCCAGCACCAGAATTCAAAAGCATCAATTCTTCGGTGATCAGCCTTCATTATTGTCCAGCTCTCACTTCCATACATCACTACTGGGAAAACCATAGCTATTATTATTATTATATTGGCCTATATGAGGTGGGCGTGGCCAGAGGCAAAGTGGGAGGAGCAAAGGGTAAGGCTCATACAGCAGGCTATTTCTCAATCTTCATGAATGCGTAACCCAGACAGTTTGGATCCCCTCCAAACCGATGCCAGAGATTTGTGCTTGTTTTGTGCTGCGAACCGCACGTCGTTTGCCGCCCCTCAAACGGAGTTATTGATACTCAAACCGTGGGCCGTAGGTATTTCCCCAAACCCAACAGTGCTCAATTCACTCCACACTTTTGCAGTAGTTTTGGGCCATTGGGTTCCAAAATGCTGGAGTTACTCATGAATGAAGTTTACAAACCCCCACACCCCTTTCCATCCAGAGTTCAGGCAAGCAGGAGGCATGACCCCATAGGAAGGGATTATTCTGTGGGACGTTTCGCCATGGGAGAATACAGAGGGCTAGATGAAGAGTTTTGGCCTCTAAGCTCCTGTTATGTACTGAGTTGAATAGGATCCAAAAGGCAGCAGTCTGATTGGTCCTAGCACAATAGGATTCAGAATGCAGCAGTCTGATTGGTCCTAGAACAATAGTGTCCAGAATGCAGCAGTCTGATTGGTCCTAGAACAATAGGATCCAAAATGCAGCAGTCTGATTGGTCCTAGAACAATAGGGTCCAGAATGCAGCAGTCTGATTGGTCCTAGATCAATAGGACCCAAAATGCAGCAGTCTGATTGGTCCTAGAACAATAGGATACAGAATGCAGCAGTCTGATTGGTCCACAGGAGCCACCCAATCCAGCTCCAGGTGGAAGTGAATCCGCAACCTGATTGGCCTACAGGAGAATCCCGGAATTAGCCAGTCACGTGGGGCCCATTGTGTAAATAATGTATATAAGGCAGACATTCTGGGGGAACTTCCATTCCTCCTCACCACTATGAGCTGAATAAAGAGCATGAAATGCACTCTCGACTCCGAGTATATTTCAGTTCCCCTGCTACAGCAAATTCCTCCTTTGGCAAAGCTTTTTCCTTTGCAGAAAGCTTTGCCGAGGTGCCGTTTTGCTCGGACCGAGAACGCTTGGCAAGCCCAGAGCACAATTCAATCTCTCTTTCCAACGATGCCCTTGCCTGCCGTCAGCTATTAAAAAACTCCCGTTCCCTTCAAGAGGGAGCAGTTGATCTGAAC